TGTGTGTGTGTGTGTGTGTGTGTGTGTGTGTGTGTGTGTGTGTGTGTGCGTGTGTGTGTGTGGCTTCCTCGTCCTAGAAAAAACCCCTGCGCCAGCGGACTCTGATCTGGAGTTGTAGTTGGATCGGGATGTAGGGGCGTATATAGTGTCAATATACTCGGTACTGGATGAACAAACCTCGGTTGCCGCTGTCACGATAAAGCTGTTTTTCTTTTAAAAAGGGCAAGGGGAGCACCGTCTTCTAGTGGTAGTAGTAATACCCAAATCAGGCAGGTAGAAGCATTAAGAGGGGGAGAAAAAAGGCCCATTTCAAACGTGGTCGTGGTAGGTAGATAGGTAGGTAGGTCAATCTTCCTTATGTTTTTGAATACTTGGTAGAGGACACAGTGTGTCATCCCGAATTATTGCTCTTCTCCGCTTTCCTTGCCGCACTCGTCTTGCCTTCTTCTACCTGCCTGTCTGCCTACTACGGCTACATTCATTACGCACATATTTTTATCTTGCTTTGCAGCTACTGCCCTCGGACCGCCCAAAACCCTCCTCATCCAGTTTACCAAGCAAACTTGTCACCAGTCACCTGCTCACTCCACTCCCACAGCTTGGTGGCTTTGTCCTTGCTGGTCGCGTACGGCGGGGCCGGCTTGGGCTGACAATCGCCCATAAAGACGCCAGGACCCTCGGCGGGAGGAAGGGTAAGCTTGTCGTCAAGCGCGGCGACGAGGGTCGTGCTGCATCCCTGCTGCTGCGTCTTCCAAACCATACCCCGTTTCTTGGCCGCGGTGAGCATGGTCTCGAGCATGACCGGCTCCGTGTTGCGACCCAGCTCGGTCTCTATCTCGCCCGGGTTGACCGCGAAGCTCAGAATGCCGTGCTTCTCGTACAGTTTGTCGTTGAGCCCGACGCTGAACAGCACCGCGGCCGTCTTGCTGGCCCCGTACGCGATCGTGGGGAAATACGCCGTCTCCTCACTCACGGGCAGGTCGTAGGCCTGCATCATGGCGATGTTGGGTTTCTCGTCGTCGGGCAGCGCCGTCACGGGCTTTTCGTATCCCATGTCGCTGAACCGGACGCCGCCGACGTAGATGCCCATGCTGGCCAGGTTGACGATGCGCACTGCTCCCTTTTTGTTGCCAGCAGCTTCCGCTGCTGCCAAGATCTTGGGCATGATCAGGTTCGTGAGCAAGAAGTGGCCCACGTGGTTCGTCGCCATGGTGATTTCCACCCCGTCCTCGGTTATGGTGCGGTTCTGGATATTCATGATCCCCGCGTTGTTGATCACAATGTCAATCGCCGGCACGTCCTCCCAACCCAGCACTTCCTTCGCCGCCGCGCGGACGGATTTTTGCGACGATAAGTCGACTTGCAAGGGGCGGTACTCGACGTTTGGATACGCGGCTTTCAAGTCGTCGATGCATTCTTGAAGTTTCGCCACCGAGCGACCTGCCAGGATGAGGAGGCGTGGAGATTGCGACGCCAGAGACTCGGCTGTGGAATACCCGATGCCTTTCCTGTTGACACCTGTGATCAGGATTGTGCGGTCCTTGATCGCCGAGGGAAAGGCGGCAGCGACATCGAGGCCGTCGGTGGTGGAGCTAAAGTCTGGGTGGGTAGTAGCTGTTGTCATGGCTAGCAGGAGACGTGCTTGATGGCCTTGGGAGCAAGGTAGAAGAAGGAGTCTTAAGAAAGGAAATATAGAAGGACATCTGGACAGTTGGGAGGAAATCGTGCTCTCTTATAGCATTCCCCTTCTGCATTTTTCTCAGGCGTCCTGTAACACAATCGCTCTCTAATGATCGTATAGATATCGCAAGGCTCCACCGGACGTATAGAATCCATACGGCCCCGGTTACCCCACAATACCTGATCGTTGCCGATTCGTGAGTTCGGGTTGCCGACTCTATGATTGGCGGTCGCCTGCAAGCCACATCATGCAACGTCCTCATTCCTCATTCGCCCTCCGAGCTTTCCTGTGAATCCTCGTCCTCGTCCTCCTCGGAATCGTCGTCTTCCGCGTCAGTATCATCCACCTCTGACTCACTTTCCACTTCCTCATCTCCTGAAACTCTCTCAAACGGGTCGAAATCCTCTGCTTCTACATCCCTATCTCCCCACTGCTCCCACTGCTCTATCAACATCGTTGGAAGCTTCGAGACATGCCGCTTTAGTCGTGGCCGGGTCCTGATGATGAAATCGCTGGCTTTGAGGTAGGCTTTGCGGAAATGTCGCCAAAGATCGGGATCGAGACGAGGGTGTGGGAAGTAGGGGTCGTTTCCGGTGACTGCGACGAGGTATTTGTTAACCACATCTGACATGGGATCTTTCGAATCCAGGTCAACCTCGGAGCATTTGTCAAAATCCAGCATCCATAGTTGGGTCTCTCGCTGTGTGAAATTGTCCATGGACGATACTGGACGCTTGTTAGATCCAGGATCTGGATTGTCGCTGCGGAATGGCTTTGCTGTCGAGCTGCCGATGACGAATTCGGTGTCTTGTGCGTCTACTTGTGCATCCCAGTGGAGCGTGGCGAGTCCAATTGCCATCTCTTCCGCATATGCATCGACGTCGAGCCCAATCGTCCTTGCCTGATCAAGGTAAAGAGGAAAGTTTCGGAGGGTGTCGCCTGGCCCGTAGAGGCTGGAGTTTGGATTGTTCTGACCGAAGTAGAGGCGAACGAGACAGTCTTTGTTTGGAGGGTCGTTGAGAACGTCGTTCTGTACCTGCTCGTCTTCCTGGAAGAATAGTCGGACGAGAGCTTTCCGCGTCAACTCAGGCACTGGCAGAATTTGATCGAGGTGGAAAGCTGCGGCTATGGTCTGGTCTGCGTGCGGGAATCGTGAAAGGTTCGCCGCCCAGAAGTCGCGTGCCTCCGGACCGTTGAAACGCTGTGCTGAAGGCACGCGGGGCAGACGGCGTTGGGGAAAGTATGCTGCCAACAAGCGCTTCCAGGTGAGGTAGCTGTCGTAGGCTCGGTTGGTCAAGAGGAAGTCGTTCCATAGTGCGTCAGCATTTGCACCTTTTTTGATTGCTTGTGCTGTTCCTGGTATTTCGAACACACTTCCGCAGGTTCCTCGACCGATATCTCGCAGGAGGACTCCGGGGGCAAGAGACTCCATGTTAGTTTGGGTGCAGGTCAGGTTGAAGCAATGGAAGAAGTGGAAAAGAATAAGGAAGTAGAGGAGAAGGATGGAAAGAACTCGGTGTCGCTTTCTACTTTTATATCCTGTTGAGTCATTAGTAGTTAAAGTTTGGTTCCGCAAGGCTTTATGTGCCAGGAGGACCTCAACGATAAATGACCCAAGTAACAGTGACTGAGGCAGGTGTCTTCCCTAACCCCAACGGCGATATATCTGGTACTAGATGATCGACGGACATCACTCACAAAACAAATATGACTGCCCTTGGAAACAGCGGGGTGGTTCATGTGCGTGTGTATTACTGTCACCTATATTTCACCCAGTTCCATAATCCAGTCCATGATAAAAAAAACCTACAATCCTGGTTACGACAGAAGGTTGTGTGCTCAAGGGATTTGTTGAATAGAAAATAGAGCCTGATCAGGGACGATGTATGGGTTGTCATTATTATCATTTGATGGAGCTCATTTTCTGGAACGTACAAACGCATTTCAACCTGACATATGCTTGTACCTATGATCGACAGTATATCTGCTACCGCGGATCGTACCACCGGATCTGCAATACTGCTTCTCCGCACTTTGCAGCATCTCAAAAGGTCACACATACGCACATGCTGTTTGCATCATCGCAAAATAATAGTTGCAGGGTCCCAAGTCCAAGTCCTCAGAGCAGATCTCCTCGCTGTCCCCAGTGATGGATGGGAGAGAGAGCTGCACCTTGCACCTTACCCCCTGTCCTTCCCCTAGCCCTGGCCCCTGCTAGCTGATCACCATGTCCCTAACCTTCACGCAAGGCTTCCTCCTAGGCCAGCTCTCAGTGGTCGTCTTCTTGGGCTGCTTCATCAAGTTCTTCATCTTCGGCGAGGCACCGCCTTCTCCACGTTCGCCACGCACCTCTCGCACCTCTCGCCCTCCCAAACACGTCCGGACCACGTCCACGTCCCTCCATGGCCTCGCGTCCTCCAAAACCCCCGCGCCGCAGTCGGCGTTGAGGACCACGGGCAGCAGCGCCGCCAACATCCTCCGCCCCGTACCCACCAATGCCACTGACATCGCCTCGATCCTGCGCAAGACTTACTACCAGATGCCCCCGAGCCGAGGTGGTGGTGGTCACGGGCACGGGCACGGCAAGCAGCACCAGCAGCACTCGACGCATCAGCCCGAGAGTCTTGACTGGTTCAACGTCCTGCTCGCTCAGACAATAGCACAGTACCGCCAGACGGTCTACAATCTGCGGGACGCCTCGGGAAACTCCTCAGCGATACTAGCAAGCCTCGAGGCGACCATTAATGATCCTGAAAAGAGGCCGTCCTACATAGACAACATCAAAATCACCGAGGTTTCCATGGGCGAGGAGTTCCCCATTTTCAGCAATGTTCGTGTTATTGCCGTTGATGACGATATGTCAACTGCCACCGGTGGTAGACTGCAAGCTCTGATGGACGTCGACCTGTCTGACGACAATCTCACTCTAGCTATCGAGACCGCGCTCATCCTCAACTACCCCAAACCCTTTTCTGCTGTGCTGCCAGTCGCTCTCGCTGTCTCGGTCGTAAGGTTCTCGGGCACGCTTTGCATAAGTTTTGTCCCTGCTACCGAGGACGACCCATCCAGCGAAAACAAGCATGCCTCCTCGGGCAAGCCCAAAACCAATCTCGCCTTTTCATTCCTCCCCGATTACCGGCTCGATCTTTCTGTTCGCAGCTTGATTGGATCCCGCACTCGCTTGCAGGACGTGCCAAAGATTGCCCAGCTGGTGGAAGCTAGAGCACAAGCGTGGTTTGAAGAGAGGGTGGTCGAGCCAAGAGTGCAAGTGGTTCCTTTGCCCGGCCTGTGGCCACGGATGGGCAAGACCAGGGTGAGGGAAGGCCAGGACGAGGAGCGGCCTTCTACTCAAGATGACCGCCGGTCGTCTTCATTCGTTGATCATCGCAAAGAGCCGAAGCCAGAAGACCAATTTCCCTCTCAAGAAGAAACTGAGAGGATCTTCGAGGGCATTAGGTGGCGTACTGGTCACCATCGTTCCGACAGTCAAGTCATCGAACATGAAGATGATGCCCCAACTCCACAACCCTTGCAAGCTATGCCCGGGGCTCTTCCAGCTTCATGAGAAAGAGTTGATCAACAAGCATTCTCGGACAGCATCCGGGTCGTGCCTCGTCAGAGCCATGGAAGCAGGTGGGTCGCGATTCACTTGAGTATATCTCGTGGCTCTGTGCAAAGTCGCAATAGGGGTATGATATGACACCATTGTGTCTTTCTCTCAAGTGGCTTCTATTGTGCTTGGTGGGAATATCTCATCCCATAGCCACCGAAGCGGCTCATTGCAAACAGGCTTCCACCACAAGAACCTGGAGCAAATCAATGCCAGTATGGACGAGTCCTGGATTTGTAGGAGTAAGATCTGCTGTAACAGCTGCTCAATATACCAAGCTCGTTGGGGTGTGAAGCTCGATGCAATTGTGCCCAGCGTGAGAGACCACAATAAGACCTGGCCGTGCAAATCCCAACAGCCGAGAAGGTCGCAGGCCTCGAGAGTCTGTTGCAGCATCAGGGCCAACCTGGGCTTCACTCCTTGCGGGGGAGGCAGGGGAAAGATAACCATCTCGCTGAAAATGAGTGCTCCCAGGCGCACGGCATGATGGACACACAGTTCGGGGCTCGACAAATCCAAGGGGCATGGCATTTGAGAGAGGAGTCGGTGCTGCGCGCAGTTGCGGGCTTCTGAGAGCTCCGCAAGCTCCGGGGCAGTGGGACCCCCACGGACATGGTGATCCAAGGCCACAGTCACCTCGGAGTACGCATCCAGCACCTCGAGCAATTGCTGGCCAGCAGGACTTTGACGGAGGTACCGAAAACCTGCGCCGAGTTTGGAATCCAAGTCAATTGCCACGGGGTCGAGGATATGTTTTCCTGTGGAGACGAGTGACCTAATGGGGCGATTCCACGGGAAGTTCGGTCTGCATGCATATTTCGAGGCAAAATACAGATCACACCTGACATGGTCATTCAGCATCACCGCTCACCGCGTTTTGGATGGGACATAGACAGCAAGCAGACTTACAGTTGCATTGTATCGGCCATTCCGTACAGCTCGATGCCACCAAGGCCTCCTTTCTGACTAATCAGTAGCAAGATGCCCTGGATATGCTTTTCATCATTGACCATGGCGCCGTAGACGTGGAGATTGTTAACCTTGGCCATGGGAGATAACGGATGGACTTTTGGGTATTCGGTCTCGTCCCTGGTGTTGTGAACACTCATGATGGTGACGGCCATGATTAGCGCATCGGTGGGTACGGTAGTTGTGTTAATAGCTCGGCCTCCGTTTCCGCTTTCTCTCGATGTCGTGTTGTAGTCTCTCCCTTTCCGTTTGGTAGGGGAGGAGAGACTGAGCGACCGCAACTGCTCATTTACCAACTTTATCGTCTCGACCTTGTGCGACAGACGGAGGAGCGGGGCCGACTCGTTGATCTCCCGCCCGTTGTATGCGCAGAGGATGTGATACGACGCCGCGTAGACAAAGGCGTGGAATGCGACGGGGTGCTCCATGCCGCACTTCAACCAGGCGGATTTGACTGGGTTCATGGTATGAAGAGAGCTCTTAACCGGCACAGTGTTGGGCCAGGAGTGGGACAAGGCCTGTGTTAGCATTGTGTCAGTCAATGATTCGATTCGCACATTATCATCGGAAAATTTTGACGAGAGTTCCGCCTTTTCAACACTCCGACGGGGAAAAATGGTACGTACGTGGTCGAGAACTTGATGAATGAAGAGCGGCACGCCCTGCACCGGCAAGGCATCGAATGGGTCGATTCGACCCTCACCGAGAAGCGATTGAAGGCCGCGGGCGCTGCGTAGCTGGAGGGCCAAATCCTCGCGGTCATCGTCAACAGGAGGCGTAGGGTATGGTTTGTGCGGGGAGAATTCATCGCCATCCTCTTTCTCCTCGTGCTCCTCGATGGCGACATCGCCATCCTGAGTTTCCCCTTCGCTCGTCTCCCGTGCAGGGCCATCGCGAGGTTCTAATTTTGATTTCTCGACCGGGCCGCCGCCGTCTTGTCCCTTTCTGAGAGCCTCGAGACGCTTGACTCTCAATGCTCGGTGGTAGTTCTTGGTGATGTGCTAGAACTTGCCTGTCAGAAAAGGCAACACTCTAAACCCCCCCAATTTAACCAGTCGCCGAATGGAGCATGCCTTGACGTGGAAGGACACCTCTTTTTCCAAAACGCCCCCCGATTCCGGACGCTCTCAGATTTCTGGGGTGAGACAAATAACAAATAGCTTACCGCGCGCACTTCACTGGGACCGCCACGACGCCTCTTCTCGCCCTTGACCGGTTCGACCGGCTTCGAGTATTCGACAAACATGAACCGACCTGCGGGGGCGTTACCCGCCATTTCGGGGTGAGCGTGCTCATCTACCACCTCGCGCCGATACAGGTTGCTTTGCGACGATCGAATGTCGAGTAAGCCGGATTACTGTTTATAGGTATGTGGTTGTCAGGAGGATGCGAAAAGCGGGGGCGGGCCTGGCAACCACCTAGTTGTACTAAGGGAGGAATATTGAGTAGTACCTTGATGGTTGTTGGTAGCGCAGACAAAGTAATACGCCGGCAAGGGGTTTTTTTTGGCGACTGTCGACCAAATATCTAGAGAATTTCGAGGAGGTCGTTAAGGCTTATAGAAGGAGCTTGAAGAAAACCATGAAACGGGCGAAGCGATCGATGTGTCGATGTGTCAGCAGCAGCAGGGGGAAGAGAAGTCCGCGGTTGTGGATGGATGGAGCATTTATGAATGGAGCAATTGAAGAAAACTAACAGGACGTCGGGGTTGGCTTGTGACCCTAGAGGGCGGGACGGGGACTGCGAGTTGCAAAGTGGCCGCCGTATACCGTATACCTGGAGGTAGTCGTGAGTTTTGCTGGGTACTCGGTCGATAGGTGAGGTTGCATGTGTTTTGCCTGTATCTATGGACCCAGGTGGTGAGCGTGGTGTGGCTTCAGCAGACGAGAACTGGCGGTCGGCTACCCGGGCAAGGGCATGCCTGCCCGGGGACGTAGGTAGGCGCTCCGTTAATAATGATAATAATAACAATAATAGCTAAAGCAGGCAGTGAGTGGCCTTTCTCGGCAGCTTGTTGGGCTAGCGTGCCTCTGAAGCCCGAGCGTCCAGGGAGTCAGGGACCAGGGGACCCAAGGGGGACAAAAGAGGGAAATGGTGTGTGGGCAATGAATGAGCGCTTCTGCACCAAACACTGTTCGACTCCCCGCGTTTTCGTTTCCAACAGAGAGGCTTCCATCGCTTGTTTTATTTGACACGCCACTCGACACCACCTACCCACTATGTCCCTAGTGTGGAACACCCCTCCTCGGTCCCTTGTACAGCACGCTGCCCTCGCTGTCTACTACCTAGGTACCCAGCGATTTCATATTCGCAGCAAACTTGGGGTTGACGCGGGATGGTCCTGAACAGACACGCCTCCTTCTTTGCCCTTTGCGTAGGTATCGAGATGCAGAATGCGAAGTGATTAACCCTGGACCAGTGCCTCCAATGCCCTGCAACCCCTCCTTCTCCCTGCTCTTCAGCCTTTCACAGCCTCGAGACACTCTCGTCGCCCGGATCTCCGGGTTTTGCGACCTACCATTTCGCTTCTCTGGAACGGTGCGGCTCATTACTAAGCGCAGCAGCACCACCTGCCTATAGTTCATCTCGCGGTTCAGGTCCCGTCCTATTATGACCTGTTGCGCAGAAAGACAACTATACCGTTATAGCTTTAAGTCAGAGAAGGCCCAGGAAGAACAGGCCTGTTTGATGACTACCCAGCGGCATTCGAATATGCACAAGTCCTCAGTATTTCCGCGGAATACTAGTCACTGTCAGTTGAATATCCACCGTCAGCCTTCCCCGAACGTTGCTTCTCCTGGCCACTAGGATGTCGTTGGATCTTTGCCTGCATATGGTAAATGGTGCATTGCACTCAGAAACGCAAGATCTGCGAATTCGCCCATTTCTAGCGATGGCACTATCCAATACAACATTATATGACAAAACGTCTGCTACACTACGAACTTGTTGGGGGCTCCTCATATTCGGAAGAGGGCTTTGGCGACCAAGCAAAAGCAGAAACATGCGCAGGGCCAGATTGGTCCTGAGTTCTCGCTTGAAAAAATATGCTTTCAATGGAGAAGTCGGTTTTATCATTTATACAGCTCATGCTACGTTGTTGCAAGTGGTCTGGTGGTGATGGAATGATTTCCCTCAGGCTAGACGATACACCATACCACTGCCCTATTCATTTCATCATGCCACAGAGATACCGTCTCTGGTATGGAGGTAGTTCTTGCGATGCTCATTGAGGTCGGTGCCCGCACCACGGTTTATTGGTGTCCACTTGGGCTCGTCTTGGAACAACCGCATAGCTTTGATGTACTGTGGTTCCAGTCAGTGCCTCGCCCACCTCGATCACAGTCTTGCATAGGATGAAGCCTTTCACTCACATTGTCCTCGTCAGTGGTGAACCGGTGATAAATACCGGCAGGTAGAATGATCAGATCGTCCTTTTCAAGCCGAATTCGGACCCAGTTGTCGTCCTTTGATCGAACATCAAAATAGCCTGCGCCGTCCCGGATATAGCGAATCTCCTCATCTTCATGCAAATGCTCGTCGAAGAACATCTTCACTTTGTCTTCATAAACGGCGCCCATGGCCTGTGGAGAGACGGTGATCTCATCGCGGTTCTTATAGTTTCTTTCTTTGGCAATGGTGTCGACCGAGGACAGTTCAGGGCAGTGGTGGTACAGGACGCCGATTTGGGCCAGGTACGAGGCATCAACTGCGCGGCCCGAGTCGTGCGCGAGGCGCTGGTCGCCCTAAGAACAGCCGTTAGCAGCGAAAGGAGGACGAATCTGCGCGAGAAATGTTGTGTAGATACCTCTTGGTTATCGAACCAGTATGCCTTCATGGTGAATGTGGGGAAGAGCTTTCAATAGGTAGAAGTGTTCGAGGTTGCGCTGTAAACAAACGGTCTGGCTATGTCGAGAGGGGTAGCGATGAATCAACAAGCCAACACTGGGGAGGTATGTCGGGGGTTTAAATGTCCTGCAAAGACAAAACCAATGACTCGGATGGCAATTGCACGTTGAGAGAAATCTTTTTGCCTTTGGTCAGATGAAATCAAATTGGAGAAGGCGAGCCTCTTGCGCAATAATATTAATGGGCGACTTTGGCCGTTGGTGGGGATGCATGGGATGCAAAGCTACCTCTACTCGCCTGGCAAAAGTGATCGCCGTCACCTCCATCAGTTAAACCCGGCTTCATACCACTTCTGACTACAACCCATCAGATATTTGTATCGTATCCACCATTCACGGCTGACGACTGAAGTCAAATATCACCTCAGAGGAGATACCAGCCATACCTCCACAACTGAGCGATCCCTCCAAAAGATATTGGCATTGAGCCTGTATCCCGACCTCTGTCCCAAGATCAACCCTCTACATATCGATCCCCAGAGGAACTGCATCCGTACTATAGCGGTAGCTAGGAGCAAGCCGTTGGCGTTCCTTCTGCAGAAGACTGGGTCTTGTCATTCTGACCAAAGAAAATGCCACTCGAATCCTTCTGATGCGCGGCTGCAAGTACTTGAAGGCAACAGGTAAGCACTTTCCAGCCCCCAGGTCCACATTGTCCACATTTTTCTCCCGCTTTGTTCCTATCAGACTTCGACGACCTTCTTTGTTTTCCTTAAACCAGAGCTGATCCGTCTGGCCACTGCCATCGCCATCCCATTAAGGGATATGCTTACATACTGCTTCAGTACAGACTCAGCACCTTTGGAATTCCCGAGACTGGACCCTTGCCTCCATCTCCAACGTGCTCAGAACGGTATCGCCGCCGGAGTTGGGCTGTGAAGGCAAACCTTGTCAAGCGGCGAGTAATTGAACAGCCGGCAACGTGTTTTCCATATGTTTTGCTCGAATGGATTTGGCGGTCGGATGCGGTGACTTGTCTGCACTGGGTATTGGTCCGTTTTGAAGCCTTCCCTTGTATTCTGCATGGGACCGCCTTAGGTTGTGGGCACAAATCTTCACGGAGATACATCGCGGCGCAAGATCAATTCTTTGACGCCCAGCAAGGATGGATGATCTCAAACGCACCAACTCCAACGACACTTACTCGGCGTCACCCAGCGCTGCCCACCGCTCTCCTCGAGCTACAACGACCAGCATTGGCAAACTCTCCCTACCATACACAACCGATCCACCCTCTCCAGCCAATCCGCCGCAACAGAAAGTATGGCTTGTCTTCGGCGCAACAGGACACATGGGGCGCTCTGTGACAAAAGCTGCCCTGGCCCACAACGATATCGTTGCTGCTGTTGGCCAATCCTTCCAAGATGACATGGCGAGCATGAAGAAATGGCATGATATCCCCGACCGGTATCTGGGCCTATTATGTGATGTCCGTGTACGCTCTAGCGTTTCCTCGGTCATGGAACAGACGATGAAAAAATTCGGCAGAGTGGACATCATCGCCAACTGTTCGGGATATGGCGTGATTGGTGCCTGTGAAGACCAGGATGAACATGAAATTCGAAACCAGTTCGAAACCAATTTCATGGGCACGCTGAACATAATCCAACTGTCTCTACCCTATTTTCGAAGACGCCAGGACGGGAGATATCTGATATTCAGCTCGACGAGTGGCGCGCTCGGAGTCCCGGGCCTGGGACCATACTGTGCGACAAAGTATGCTGTAGAAGGTCTAATTGAAAGCATGCTATACGAAGTCGACTCGTTCAACATCAAACTCACCCTCGTTGAGCCGGGCCACATGCGCCGTGACGACAACGACATCTTCCCTCCTCCACAACCAAATCAACCTAGCACGACCACGACGACCACAACGACAACCAACGGGCGAGTCCCACAGCAACAACAGCAGCCACCATCACAACAACAACAAGAACAAAATCAAAAGCAGAATAAACTGGCCCTCTTCGGCCATTTCAAAGTGGCCCGCCCCTCCTCGCCGTACGCCACGAAAGACGCCCCGGCCGCCCACGCCCAGAGGACTCTCCAATGGATGGGCACAAACCAACCAGTCTCGGTGGTCAAAGCCGCCGAACTGGTTTGGCAGCTGGGCCACTGCCGGTACCCACCCCTGAGACTCTTGCTGGGGAGTTTCGCCGTGGAGAGCATTCGCGACCGCTTAAAAAGTATCATCGAAGAGATCGAGGACTGGAAGCATCTGAGTTTCCCGCCGCTGGAGGGGTTCGAGGAGAAGGAGGACGGGGATGAGAAGGAGGAAGCGGAAGGGGAAGGAGACGGAGACGGAGAAGGGGATGACGGAGACGGCGATGGTGATGGCGACGGTGACGAACAAGATGAACAGGGGGAAGGAAATGAAGAACACATCGAAAGGCATGGCGAGGACTATCCCTCTGGAGCGGGTAGAAAGGCTTTCGATCCGGATGACCACCTGCGGGATAAAGAGGCACAGGATGGGGGAGAAGGAGGAGAAGGAGGAGGACAGGTACATATAAAGCTGGAGAGTAACATGGACGTGGACGACTGAAAAGAGGCGACACCAGGTTAAAACGAAGAGGACAACTGACGCGAAAAGGACACCAGGCCGTAGACGGGAAGACGAGGATGAGACCAAGACCAAAGGCGACACAACTGGTTTTTCCTCTGGACTGTCTGGAATCTCTCAGGTTTCAAAGGGGGTTTCCTTCCATTCGACACTACCTGACAGCTTCAGGTCAGCTCACAGCCTTCCGCCATCCAGACACTAGCTATCTTGCTATGGCCACTTCGCTATTCACCCACCCTCTCAGCTATTTTCTCGAGACGTCCATGCCTCAACCAGCGCCGTGTTACGGGTACCAGCGCACCGATAGCTCTCGAGCCCTCATCATGGCTGAAAGCGATCGAAGCATACGACGACCTGCAGGAGTGGATCGATCACTGATTCTGACTGGATAGATACAGGCCCTTTCTTCGAATCATCTTGCCCACCGCCTGAGTATTCCTCCGACGAGCATTGTGCGGTGAGTCTGCAATCAACGGATGAGCAGCCACCAAAGTTGCCCGGCTCCACCACAGACTTTCCAACAGGTCATTCCGAGCGTGGCTTTTAGCCCATTCGCTAATGAGTTGCACACCCGATGTCGGCCAATTGTCTGAAAGATTCGCATGCCGTGAGGCGCAATATTCGTACACTTACAGGATAGGCATGCTTGGGCTTCTCCGGATAGCCCACAAAATCTAGTCTCGATCTTTGTTGGTTGAGGTGGAAGTCGGAGTTCTCAAGCACCAAGTCGTATGCGATGGACTTGGCCTTGGAGTTGAATATCGATATGATACAAAGTCTCTGGACAGAAAAACTCTTCACTCTCAGCAATCGACGATCAAAGTGTAATGCGCATATGATCGTTCGCGCCAAACGCTTTCCCGCAATTCGGGCACTTCCTCGCCCTCAATGTCAGTCTCTCGGCCACACAGTCGTTGCAGAACGTATGCCCGCACGTCTTGATCACGGTGTTTTTCAAATTCCGCTTGCAGATATTGCAGTATGCAAACTGTCTCAATATCTCGTACTGCTCGGACTGTCCTGACTTGGATTTCCATGTCTCGAGGTTTCTGCGCGTATCTTTGAGTGAGGATCTAAGGTCTTCAACTTCAACTTCAGCCGCACGGCAAGCGCTAGTTGCGGCGGCAAGTTTGGCGTCTTTGGCAGTGGCCTGGGTCCTCAGCTCTGTTATTTGGGTGTTTAATCTTGAGATTTCGAGACTTTGCGTGATGTTCTGTTGTTGGACGGTCCGATGTTCATTGGTCTTGTGTGCGAGGGCATCCTTCAATTCGGACAATTGCTTGTCCGCCGTCGCCATCAAAGCTCGCGTGGCTGCTTCAGCTTCTTTCAACGCCGCGATTGCCTCTGCGGACTTGGCGATCTGCAGCCGCAGCGTTCTGATCTCGCCGGCCTGGGTTTCCTTGCTTTTCATGGCGGCAAAGAATTTTTGATCGGCTTTGGTCTTGTCCATCGACAGCTTCAGCACTTTCTCTTCCATGGCAGCAAATTCGGAAACTTTTTGACTCGCGATCTTTGAGGTCTTTTGGAACGCTGTAGACATGGACGCGAGTTCACCATTGAGGAGATTATACTTCCTGTCAAGTTCATGGTATCTGGCCCGCAGATCTTCCAGATTCAAAGCGTCCAACTCTGCGTCGTCCACCACCATCTCGGCAGCTTGAGTCGTTAGCCGCTCATTTTCTGATTCGAGTGCCCGGATACGGTCCTCTTGCGCCGAAGCCAGCTCCGTTATCTTTTTCACAGCCTCCTGGTTTTGGTCCAGAGAAGCTTGCTTAACAGCCTGATCTGCAAGTAATTCATCTCTGCTGTGTCGGATCCTTGCGAGATTGGTCTCTGATGCCGCTAAAAGAGATTCCTTCTCTGCTATTGCCACTCGCTGCTCATTTTCCAACTGAAGTTGGTATGTCGTCCTTTCCGATCGTAATTTCGAGGCTTCTTCCTTGAGTTCGGTATTGGTGGCATCCAGATTATTGAATTTTTTGATGGTATCCTCGAGTTGCGATTTCAATTGCTTGAATAACTCGGTTTTGGCATAGTCATCATCCGTCAAAGTTGCCGATTTTGTTTGCAGCTCCGTTAACTGTGCAGTCAACTTTGCATTCTCCTCCTCTAGCCTGTCCAACTGCTCTTTCTGCTTTTCTGACGCTGCCACAGTCTTGTTCAATTCTTTTTCTAGTTCGGCTAGTTCTTCAGAATTGTCAGTTGTTCCGTTGAGCGTGCTTTCTTCTCTCTTGACCGGACCACCTTCCTCCGCTGCGGGTTTGGTTGCGCCTAGTAAAGCCTGTTTCTCTAGTTTGGCGACCGTCACACTCTTTGCCCTGTCAATTTTCCGTTCGGCCGTCATATACCTGAGAGAGGCATTTTCTAGTTGGTGATCCAGATCATCCTTTTCCGACTGCAGCCGTTGTAATTCGACCAGGTGACATTTTTCCGCCGCCAACAATTTTGCGACGTGCGACTGCAATTCAGCTACGTCCGGCGATGACGGCTTTGTAGGACCGAATAATCTTGATATCACATCTTGTATCTGCCTTGAGCGGCTGCGGAGATGTTCTTCGAATTGTTCTTGGTCTGAAAAAAGGAGCGAAGAGGGCAGAGACACAGGGTCCATGTCTACATCGTCATCCGCTTTGGCGATGACTTTGACCTCATCGACAACTTGTTGGAACCATGCATCAATGATCCGGAGATGATCGTCATGATATCGAGCCTTCTTCCGCATCTCTTTCAATTGAGCCTCCAAGCTATTTTTCTCTCTCTTATATTCCTGCATCTGCCGCCATATCGCATCTTTCTGGAATCTCTGTGCACAGAAAACCGCATTAGCTTGGTTTCAGAGAGACAAGGGGAATATCAACGCTAGGCTTACCTCCAGATCATCCTTCCAAGGCATGTCATCATCCTTGTGAGATTTCGATGCGCCATTTGCAGAAGTGGCTTGCTTCTTCAGTGGCGGAGCGGATTCTACGGAATCGTAAGGAGAAGGTCTTTTACGCTCTTCCATCTTGACTAGGCTCTGTTGAGAGAGGGAAAGGGGGAGAGATTCGATGGCCGTCATCAGTCCTGCTCCACGAAGGGCTTCTGCTTTTCGGGAGTGAGTACCCTTGGAGGAGGCCCACGTTGGCAGCAAAACGAATGACGCCGCGGAAGAGGGTCGCCGATAAAGTGGTGAATTGTTGACGGACAGATTGCGCAGAGGCGAGAACAAAAAGAAGAATCAAGATGTCGAGTCGCTGCAGACGCTGGCAAACGAATCCGGTTAGCGGCCCTGAGATCTTGGCATGTTTGCCGATCAACTTGAAACCTGCACTGCGGTGTGACCTGCGCTCGTGGTGGAAAGTGACGTTGGAAGGGTCAACGGCTTGGAGCAAGCAGAGACAAAGCTATGTGAGCGTGAGTGATATTCATATCCATCTGGTAGGGAGCGGAGAGCATTGCGCCCATTATGTCGACCTTCAGTTCAGTCGTGCGAAAGCCAGGGCAGAAGATAGTCCCCAAGGGTCCCAGAAAGAATGTCCAAAGAAATGCTCTCCGACATGCTGCACCGCCATCCCTGACGCCGGAGAGCCAGACTGTGAGTCCTGCTGTTGAACTTGTTGACGAACCAGTTCAAGGTCAAGAACGGGAGCCGCAGCTAGAAGCGGAGACAACTCAGGTGTCCAGCGAAATACCTTCCGTTGCCAGTTCAATAGATACAGCAGGAGTGCCCTTCAATACACCGCCTCAGAGCGAAGAAGCAGTGATCGAAAGAGTCCCTTCAACCTCCGTTGAAGTTATTGTTCCGATTCAAACAAGTCACGAAATCGAAATCATCCATTCCACCAGCGTAAGCCAGATTCGTCCCCAACAAAGTGTCATTCCCTCGATTTCAGTTTCGATCCCTTCGTCTGTTCGCCAGAAACGAAGAGCTACCCATGAGCCAACCTCTCCAGCATCAGAAGACCTTGCTCAAGAAAGAGAAAGCCCGGATACTTCTAGAAAGCGGCAGAAGACTACTCACACAGTCGAGGATCTGAGAGACTCAGAATCACATACCCCTCCCCCCCTCGATTCCACGCCACCAGTAGTGAGGACCAGCCCGCGAGCTAGGCGGAGCGAGTCACGTACATCGGACGCGTTACTACAAGATGCGACAACCCAAGCAGCCGCAGTATCAGAACTTGCAAACTCTATTGAGAACAGAGCAAGATCGCACCAGCCGCGCTCAGCGCGTCGATCGGTATCGCAGGCAGCAGAGACAGAAGAGAATGCGGTTGAAGATGCTCCGCAACCCAGAACGAATCGTTCAAAGAAAAAGTCACAATCGAAAAGGATACAAGAGCTGGCCCAACAAGTCGTGGAAGATGCCGTTCGTGGAAGCACAGACGAAACAAGCCGTCGTCGTTCTCGCCTTGCTACTCCGGACAATGCTGAAGAACTAGAAATAGACCCGCAGGAGGTCTCGATGGCAGACCTCGTCAAGGATAACAAAATAGGCAAGAAATCAGACACGGAGAAGCGAATGCAGGAGAACTGGCCGGAGATCAAAAAGCGACGCAAGGAGGAGGTTGAGAAGCGACGCGAAGCTGCTCTGGGGGGAAAGAACGCCTCGACTAACGAGGAAGAACACGAGGGAGCACAGGAAGCGGCTGTTCCCAAGCAGATCATTGTCAACGGACAAATTGTGGTGGCAGCCGAGTCTCGAGAGGTCGCATTCGGCGCAGGCGTTGAAGAAGCGGTGATCCACGACGCAAATGTTGCACTCGAGGATGACCGGATTTACAAGTACGTTACACAGGGTACATTGGGGAAGAATGCAGGTCGAGTGCGCCCGAGCCGTTGGGATGAAGATCAAACCAACCTCTTCTTCAAAGGTCTACGCATGTTCGGCACAGATTTCAGCATGGTTGCGAATCTCTTCCCAGAAGGCGTTGACCGGCGCATGATTAAGAAGAAATACTTGATCGAGCTAGAGACGGATCCGGAGAGAGTCGAGACGTGTGTTGCCGCCAAAGAAACTGTGAGCATTGAGGAATACCAGGCGATGACAAACCAGGAGTTTGAGGACCCGGAAAAGGTAATGAAGGAGCTGGAGGAACAAGAGCGAAGACTGAGGGAAGAGGATGAGAAAAGAAAAGCAGACCAGGGATTTGTTGATCATAATGTGGGAGCGGACGTGCCGTTGCCATCTACGGAGAGGGATGAGGCAGGTATCGACGAAATTTCGATGGCAGGCCAAGGAGAGCAGGCCTCTGCGGATGCACACTTGGCTACGCCAGAAGCCACAAGACGGGTAACTCAGGCACCAAGCATGGATCGAATCGAGCGGATCTCAGCTTTGGCGGAGAGGGTCGTCCAGGCCACTGTGAATCCCAAGAAGAAACCGCGGCGTCAAACAAAGGAGTCAGCTGGGGCTGGTCGTGGTGGCAGACAGCCTAAAAAGGGACGGAGAGCGGTTGAAGGTGTTGAGGAGAGAATTGGACCTATTGACGAGGTTGATCAGTGATTCCTAGCATGGCAATTCGCCATCTCTGTTATTGCAGTTGGGGACGGTGATTTTGAGTTTCTTCAGCTTATTGATACCCTTTTTGCAAGGCCTCTCCGTTGGTGCGAAGACAGTGGGAGGATTAGATGCGATTTGTTCTGGCAGACACAATGTCATTTTATTCCCAAGATGGACGCTCTTTGGTTGCTTGCTTTTTGTAAGGCGCCGCTGCCCTGTCCATGAGCCCTCTCTGTTCGTGGTGGTGACGACTTGGTGCGGCCTTGGGACCGTCGCCTCTTGCATGGGCCTGGTTCACTCATCATGCCTAGTTGGTATCGCACCTTTCTGCAAGAAAAGATTCCCGTTCGACGTCTCCAAAAACCACTATTCCAATCCAGCTGGCCATCCTGGTTGACGATGAGAGATCTTATCGTCTTATCCAACATACTGCTCTTCCTGACTGCAGGTCCAACTCTGCGTTCAACGATGATTCGGTTAGGTGCTCAGTACCAGGCCCATCTCCATACACAGTAATCCACGCACTGCGGCGGCGTGACATTCGTGGTCCGTCTCACAAGTTCGCAGCGGCATCTCGAGGGCTGCTCGTCGATTCTGTTGCTGATATCACGGGTGGTCGTGGTGATTGTCGGCTGGGGAACGGTGAGGAGGGTGTTTGGTCGCTGGTACCCTCTTACCGCGAAGGTTGGCGCAGCGAAGAACAGCAGGAGTAGAGCCGCTATGAGGGCAATGTTCGTCGCAGCCTTGTTCGGCATCATTTTCCCGTCCCAAGTCGCTTCGTTTCGATTGTGTCGGAGTCCTAGAGACTGCGATGGATTGTTTGTTGGAGCGTAGCACGAGTTGTTTGACCCTGTTGCAAAGGTAACGCCGTCCTTGGTCGATGGCTGACGAGAAACTGGTTCAGTCAAACTGTCACTCATAAAGGGGCCATCCACTTCACTGGCAAACACGACAGACGCGTCGCTATCGCTGCCGGACCGCATGGAGACAGAGGGCTTTTCAAGCCGACAAAGAACTTGTGTCCTGAAAATCCTTGTCCCATCGTAATCAATCCATCATTCACGAATTGAAAATCCTACTATAAAGCAACTCGTGTCTTCCCACCCACAGATCCATGCTTGGAACTACCTGTCCTGCGTCCTCCGGTCTCATCAACCAGACTTTCTCCAGACAGCCTCTCAATAGCTCTTGCAATTCTTTGGATGCGAGTGCGTTCTGCGCCATGTAAGGCCCCATCACGGATGCGCGAACACCCGCACTAATGACGGCTTTGGAGTGGTTGAGGAGGAACAGGTAGCCTGACTCTTCCAGGTTGAGGCCTAGAGAGAGACAGACGACGCCCCAAAGAGGAGCAAGGTGTCCGTTGGCTGTGGGAATTTGGTGAGAGTCATTGTTGGAAAGGCTGGCAGAAGATAGCGCTGAGAGCTTTAAGTCCCGAGAAAAGACTTGAAGCGCGGCAGCAGCTTCACCTCCTTCCCCTTCGGCTTCATGCTGCAGTTTCGCAGCGGGAGCGAAAGCTTTCTCCCAGACACTCAACAGGGCACAGCCTTGAGCGACGCTGGCTCTCCTCGCGACCGTGCAGGGCGTGCTCGCGTCGAGATCATTATCGAGATCCATGAGTGCCAGTGGATCACGAAAGGCAGCAAGAACGTACGGGACGTTTGTGTACGCTACCGACTGGATGGAAAGCTTGAGGAACTTGTGGAAAAGGGACAGGTTTGTCTGCCCGGGCGTGAGGGAAACTTGCTTGTGGTGGGCTAGGAAAGACTCGAGACCGCTTGAGTAGGCGAATGATCCGAGGGGAAGGGCTGAGTCGGAGAGGAGCATGAGGTTGTGCATTGAGTGGCCTATTGGAAGGGTGAGAGGCAGAGAAAAGACCATGCTTCCTCCATTCTCACGAGGATCTGGAGTTGATGTCGAGCCGGACCTTTCTATGTTTCGAAGGAGGCCTTTGGTCGTTTGCAGCTGGACCTCGAGCTCGAGGACTCGGGCGCGAAGGGCGTCCGCATCCTCCACTTTCATAGTATCATGAAAATGACTCGTCTCCTCCTTGACATTTGTCCTTTCGGCGACAGAGGCTGGATTTATATATATATATAATCGGGCTCGGACAGACGTCGAGACGTGTGCATAGTTTGATGTGTGGGGAAGAGCAGGGATTTGACGGTGGTGACGTTCCACATGCAGAAAGTTCCGACCAATTTCTCCAACCAACTGCGCTTCATATAACGAACAAAGCTCTGCCGACTGCTTCTGCATGTATTCAAAAGCCATCAGAAAGGGTCCTTGACTCTCCCTTTGTTAACCATCATGTCCGGCAGGCATATACTTGATGCTCTAGCCCTACTTAGCGTATCACGAAATATCGCAGCTAAACACTTCGATATTCGACTTGCCCAAGCTCGAGTCTATGGTCAATCTTCCTCTGTCGTCAAGGCCATAAGGACCCAAGGCCTCCCAATCCTAGCTACATCTGTCTCGCGGTTCGCTTCCTCTTCCCAACCCCTTTCAAAATCGTCGAAAGAGGGTATCGAGCAAGACCACTTCTACAAAAGAACCGCCGAGGGATCTCAATCCCAGGACTCCTCTAGTGACGCCTTAGACATTGAGCAAGCCCAAGCGAAGAGGGTGCCACTTCCAGATGGGACAATACCGTCAAATGACAGTCCAATTGGGGGAGAGGAGGGAGATGGCATAACTTTCAACCAAGTACCTACGGGGGAGACACCTCAGCATCCAATCGATTCTAGAGCTACTCAAGACCTCAGTTTCCGATCATCGACGAAGCCAAACCTCCCCGGCGCTAGGTCATTCGGAGCCCTGTCTCCAGACGAGGCCAGAAAGGCTCAAAGACAATCCGAAGACCAGATCCCTGCGAGATCCGCCGAACCTCCGTCAACTGAAGAGAATGCCCAGGAATTTGGGGTGGAACAAGAGCAGGACGTCTTCTATCAGCCACCAGGGAGCGTCAAGCCCGTTCTGTCTGCATTACCTCGTGTCCGTGTCCCTAAGACGGAAAACGACGTGCAAGAGGGCGATTCGCACATCGAACCAGGTCTTAACGCGGATGTCTACTACTCTGGCTCCAAGCGTGAGGCAGACGCGGAGGACGAGCCTTCCGAGGAACAGCTATCCCAGCTATTTCGCAACCCAAGGAATGTAAGGACTTACGGGCAAAAGGCAAGATACGCCCCTGGCGGAGTTACAGCGAGACGCTTTCATGACATGAGCGTCATGCGTCAGAAAGTCTCCGATACGGATGCGGAAAGTATCAAGCAACTTGGTGCTGAGATTGCCAAAGACGTTCAGAAAATCAATGTGATTGAGCCCCGTCTATCATTGATTGATCCTGACTGATCAACTGACAGATCACCTAGACGCAACAACCGCAGACAGCACGACCGTATCAGATGCGTGAATCAAAGGTGCCATCATCTAGAATGGGCCGGATATTCGAATTTGGAGGGCTTGCAGCGTCAATGGCTTTTGGAGCTGTCAGCGAGAGTATCAGTCGCTCAGAAGGTTCCAATGGCTCGTTGATGTTGAGTGCCGCAAATATGGAACGTCTTGTCGCCAAATTGTCCAAAATGCGGGGTGCGGCCCTCAAGTTAGGTCAAATGATGAGCTTCCAAGATTCCAAATTGCTTCCAAAGCCCATTCATGATGTGCTGCAACGTGTTCAAGACAGTGCGGATTACATGCCAGCGTCGCAGAGAGACGCAGTCATTGCTGCGGATCTGGGTCCCAGTTGGCGTGACCATTTATTCCAGCAGTTCGACGAGAAGCCCATGGCCGCCGCCTCTATCGGCCAGGTTCACGGGGCAATATTGAAAGATGGCAGGAGAGTTGCGGTCAAGGTGCAATATCCCGGTGTGGCCGAGTCGATTTCTTCTGATCTCAACAATCTGTCTCTGCTACTCACTGCCTCCCGTCTGCTGCCCAAAGGGCTGTACCTGGAAAAAACTATTGCCAATGCCCGTACCGAGTTGGCATGGGAATGCGACTACGTTCGCGAGGCTGAATGCGCAAAAAGGTTCCAGAAGCTCTTGGCAGATGAACAGGCCACCTTCACAGTTCCTGAGATCATTGACGAAGCATCAGGCAAACGGGTCCTGACCATGGGGAGAATGGAAGGTATTCCAGTCACAAAGGTCCAAAATTTCACACAAGAGCAGAAGGACTGGATTGGGGCACAGATCCTACGACTTTGTCTGCGTGAAATCACCGAGTTCAGGTACATGCAAACGGATCCCAATTGGACCAACTTCCTCTACAACTCAGAAACGAACAAGCTGGAGTTACTCGACTTTGGGGCGTCCAGAGAATTTCCGGAAAAGTTCATTAAACTCTACATCAAAACCCTCATCGCCGCCTCGCGAAAAGACCGGGATGCTTGCAGAGATTTTTCCATCCAGCTAGGCTATCTTACTGGATATGAATCCAAGGCCATGTTGAACGCCCATATCGATTCGGTTATGACACTGGCCGAACCCTTTATGGATTTCAGTCCGGACATCTATGACTTCAAAGACCAAACCATCACTGACCGAGTTCGGGCCCTTATTCCCGTCATGCTGAGAGAAAGACTGGCACCTCCACCAGAAGAGACCTACAGCCTGCATCGGAAGCTGAGCGGAGCGTTCCTTCTATGTGCTCGACTAGGCAGCCGGGTTCGATGCAAGGAGTTATTCGAGCAGGCGCTCAACAAAGCTGGGATGCAATAAACCCTCCGAGGTCTAGACGGTCTAGAACACCGAGTCGTCCTCGTCCTCTTCGCTATGTTCCAGGATCGTCTCCTGCAAAAGGCCCGGCCGGCTTGGTGCCGTATTGCTTGGGCTCACGGGGCTGAGCGGACCAGCAGGCGCCGCACCTGATAAGGACATTTTCCTTGCTTCCCGAACCACTTCCTGTAACAAGGGTTGCGAAGCAATCAACCTGGCCTCGGCGGCTAGTCTCTGTTGTTCGTCCAGTTGCTTTCTTTTCTTTGCTTCTCTTGCCTTTCTGTACGATACGGCATCGTGGCCTCTGGCTGGGATCGGCTGCGGAGCGCTGCGATCGAGGCGGAATACAACCACAAAGATGCGCATGGTGAAATGCAAGGCAAGCGCGAAGAGGAGGCCCAGCAGAACCGCGCTACCGAGAAAGTACCAGACAGGCTGTATGATAGTTAGTACCTGGTTTGTTTGGGGTTTCAAGACGCTTGCTTGAGCAAGACAGACCTCGAAAGCGGCGAAGATGCGCCATGGGATCAGCGAAAAGTGTGCCACGACACGTCCCATGTATATAAACGGCGCTGACAGAGACGCCAGAATGTACCATATTGCTCTTAATAGGAGGAAGACAGGATACAGCGCGTAGGAGAGGATCAAGAGAGTGTACGAGAGGACGACTCCTGCGACTGAAAGCCATGCCGGCCAACTCGAGTCGCTGGTTGCGTTCATTTCCGGACCAGTCGATGAATCATATTGAAGACTCGGCAGCTGGCAAATCTACGTCGAGAGATGGTCAGAACCGTGACCAGAAGCAGGTGTTGTGCAACAATCGAGATAGTCCGCAGCAGCTGATGAAATGTTTTGTTTACATCAGTGAGATGTTAGAGTTGAGCCTCAAATAATCGCCTGCGCAGTCAGGAAGACGCTCCCTGTACCGCGTGCTACTGCGTAGTGACGCCTTGCTCCCCCGCAAATGTCCCTGAAATTAGTTGGGGCCACCCAGGGTGCCTGGGCTTTAACTAAGTGACGCCCCTCGCGTCCTTCTAGCGGGCACCCACTCACTCATCACTCCCTCCTCCGGGCCGAAATCTGCCTCGACTAGCGCAGCCTTCACTTCACCCACTACTTTACACCTGCGCTGTCGGCTTGATTCGAGCCCCTCCTTTGTCTTCGTTCAAAGTTCTCTCAACCTCGAAGCCCAACGTCACCAGAGCCCGGACGCATTTCCCACACATCCATCAATTTGCTGACACTCCTTCCCCAGCCGGCTCTGGTCTGTCTCCTGTTCTTGGAATTTGGCACACAACACCGAATGCTCATACACCTGGAGCCAACAAAATTCCGCTCCGACTTCCTATCTCCCTGACTTGGCCTTCCCTGACCGGCCGACCCTCTTCCACCCATTTCCGCAAGGTGTCGCACGACACTTTGAAATTTCCTGTAATTACAACCGACTCCATCGTTCACCATGGGCCAGCAACAATCAGCCGAGGATAAGAAGAGCTCGGGCTCCAGATCTGGCACACCACAAGCTGAAAGGGAACGCAAGATCAACCGAAGGGTTTCCATCCAAGCCCTTTCACAGGGCCGAGGCACCCCTGTAGACGCTTCTGCTACGAAAGACACCGCTGTTGCTCAAACCACTTCCCAACATCTCGAGAAGCCGGCATTACAGCAGTACCTTCAGGCCTCGTCCTCTGACCCTCATGGCAGAGCCACCAAGGTTGAGAGGTCCACCTCGAGGACATCTCGAGAGAAGAGGAATGAGTTGGAACACAGACAGAAATATCAGTCCTCAAGCCAGCCACCCCTTGCTGTCCCACAGGCTTCGGGCCCCATGGATGTACCCATGTCACGAAGCAAACAAGAGACTATCGAGGAACGCTTTGAGGAGAAGCAGGAGGATTTCCCAGACGCTCATCCGTACGAAGACCGGCGTTATGCACCCGTGGCTCAACTTCGACCGCCTCGTCTCCCTCTTCCGATCGCTGATGTGCCGGTCCCGGAATCACCAACCCTGATGCCAGTTGACAAGGGCAATGCCGACGTCCCAATATTCGAGACTGATGATCCTCTGTCGACTGGAGAACCTCCGATGAGAAGAAGGAGTTCCATGTTGAGCACGACCACGCAATCCGAGGACGAGCTTGGCGAAGAATTGCAGCCGTACGCCGTTCACCCTACGACTGAAACTGTTCCGACTGTCATCGAGTGGAATCAAGGTGGGCACAAGGTATACGTGACGGGAACCTTTGCAAATTGGGAAAAGAAATACAGACTGCATCCGAGGTAGGTCGTGCCGTCGTGATTGTTTCGTGTTGTTGTCTTGTATTATTCTGATTTTGACCGATACGCCGTTTCCCGACTCGGTCATTCCTTCCCCGTTATCAAGAAATCACTACTTACCTGTGATGGGTTCTATGGATTCAATGTTATATTTCCGATGCTAACACTGGCTCTTTAGGAAGAACGCGCCTGGCATGTTCACCACTATCAATCTGCCTTCAGGAACGCATCATCTTAAGTTCGTGGTGGACGGAGAAATGGTCACCAGCCCTGAGCTGCCCACCGCAGTCGACTTTAACAATTTCTTAGTCAACTACATTGAGATTGCTACGGAAGATATCACCAAGCCCAGAAGAGAAAGCACCCAGCCCGGAGCTAAGGCTACCGCACTACTACCAGAGGAACAACGCGAACAAGCCGAATCCGGAGAGCAGACTCCTGAAGATTCCGACATGGAAGAACCACATCTTGAGGAAATCCCAATGGGTGATTGGAGGCAAGTCGTTCCACCGTATCTGAACGATGTCGACTTGCCTGAAGACGACCCGAAATACAAAGCTGCGGGTAATATCATCCAAGAACTTGGCAATCCGCCAGCCCTGCCGCTCTTCTTGAGCAGGTCTATTCTGAATGGTATTTTGCCGGTCAAGGACGATAACAGCGTCTTGACTCTGCCAAACCATACCGTCCTCAACCATCTCATGACTAGTAGTGTGAAGAATGGTGTCCTGGCGACGAGTGTGACGACCCGCTACAAGAAAAAGGTACGTATTGAGTGGGCCGAGTTCTCGCAAGGTGCTAACAATCTATAGTACGTGACTACGATCTCCTTTAAGCCTGTTCCAAGGGCACAAACTGCTGAATGAGGAACCGGCCTGGATGTTCTTCCTATTATGACTTGGCGGACACGGGTTGGCGTTGATGAAACTGCCGGGTGTTGACGAACTCATGACCACTAATTGGGAGGATGTTTCGGGGTGGCCTCTCAAGGAGCTCGTGCGATAGAGAGCAGATGTCTCACGGCCTTTCTCCACTCAGAAGACATATCAGATTCATTTCATCATATAGAATCGTTTGGGTCCATTCAAAGTCGATGAGAGAAAAAGACTCAATCATCCCTCCATGCAACATACACATCATCAGTCCGAAATCTTTGCGTGCAGGTGCTTTCTTCTAGGGTCGTCGTAAACCCGGTCTGATACGCGAGTAATCCCGCATGTGCAATCATGATGCCATTATCGATACAAAATCTCTCGTCCGTCGCATACACGTTGCCGCCTCTACTCGTCGCCATCGTGCCCATCATCTCTTGAAGACGCTCATTGCATCCCACGCCTCCGACGATGAGGACCTGGTTCGAGCCGACATGGGCCATGGCGCGCTCGGTGATTTCGACGAGCATGGCGAAGACGGTCTCTTGGAGCGAGAAGCAGAGATCTTCTGGTGTCACTGTATTTCCTGTCATCGAATCTTTCAGGGTGCCGTTCTTGACCTGGCCGGCGAGTTCGTCGACACGAGCCAAGATGCCCGAGAATGAACAATCCATCCCTTTGACGGCGTAGGGCAAATCCACCAACACGCTACCGGATTTGGCGAGTTGTTCGATGTTATACCCCGGGGCCGGGTCATTGGGGATATTCAACGTGCGTGCAAACCGGTCCAGGCAGTTTCCCACGGCGATGTCGAGCGTTTCGCCGAAGATGCGGTATCTGTTGGATGTATAGGCTATCACCTGCGTGTTTCCGCCAGATACATAGAGGACGACCGGGTTGGTGGCCCCCGTGATCGATCGACCCATTTCGATGTGTCCGATACAGTGGTTCACGCCTATCAGGGGTTTCTTCCAGAGAAGGGATAATGTGCGCGCGGCTAGAGCGACGGATTGCAAGGGTGCACCCATCCCGGGACCCTTGGTGTAGCATATGCAGTCAATGTCTGAGGGCGTGAGGTTCGTCTCGCGCAGGGCTGCGGAGACGAGAGATACGACGTGACTGCGGTGGTGCAAGGCCGTGTCCTTGGGCAGGAAGCCCGCGCCGGGAGGAGCGTGATATGTGTGTCGGATGTTGGATAGGATTTGGACAGGGTGGCGTTGGTCTTTGGGGGAGTGCAGGATTATGCCCACGCCGAGTTTGTTGGCGGAACCCTCGAGACCGAGTGCGATCATGGTGGTGTTTTGTGGACGAGGGGGTATTGAATCTCGCTTTGAAGAAGAAGGGATTGGATGTGCCCTCTTATGGCCTCCCTGGCCGTATTTCTTCTAGACTCGCGGTTGCCAGTGCTGTGGCCGAAGCCTCTGCTAGCAGGTGGACTGGCAGGCAGACAACCCTTTGCTGTCCTGGAGCCTTGATAGCCTACAGTTGACTGTTGATCAACGTATGATCTTGTGCCTGGCGCAAAGGAAGTCCGCCTCAAACGAATTCTGTATGTTGGTGGAGCACTTGTTGGTGGCGTCGACGTAGAGCAGCAGGTATGTCAACCACAATATTCGGTCAGACTAAGTTTCCCGAGCAATTCGATCGGTATGAATTTTATTGGAACAGATTCGACACAGAGCTGCGGGTAAGTTCAGGCCCGGTGGTTTGGTATTCGAGAAAAAAATAGTCTCGAGGCTCTGAATCACAGGGATTGAGGCAAAGGGGTGGAGTCGATTTATGGCGCCGGCTGAGGCTGACAGACCCATCAGCCAATCGGAGATTCGTAAATTTCTCCGGTCTTGGCTGCCAACTGCCAGTGGTCTCGGTCATTCTTCATCCCACTATGCTTCTCTCTTTCCACACAACAACTACTCATTCCTCTGTTCTGTTAAACTTCTTTTTTCTTCGTTCCTCGCTCATTCGCCTTTTCCACAGAGATGGGAGACACAGATGGACGCTCGGATTTTGACCAAGCCACTGCTCGTTTCGTTGAATGGTTCACGGCCGCCGATGGGACTCGGTTGAGTTCCAAGATCCGGCTCAAGGATCTGAGAAGCGAGAATGCGGGAAGAGGAGCTGGTTCGCTGTGTCCATTACTCCTCCATAATCCAGGCCACTGATTCCTCCCTACAGTCGCTGTTGGGGACATCGAGGAGGATGAGGAGTTGTTCGCAATTCCTCGATCCCTCGTGCTCACAGCCACAACGTCAGACATTCCACCTGCTGTGCTCGAACCTCTCACTGAAACCGGACAATGGCAGCCGTTGATTGTCACTATCATTTATGAGCGTCTGCGATACGAAAAATCACCATGGCATCCTTATTTTCAAGTCCTCCCTACGAAGTTCGACAGTCTGATGTTCTGGAATCCTGCAGAGCTCAAGACATTGCAAGCTAGTGCCGTGGTTGACAAGATCAGTAGGACCCAAGCTGAAGAGTCCTGGAAAGAGAAAATGATACCAATTATGCTCTCACATCCTGAGCTGTTTCCCGTGGCTGGTCAAGGTGAATCAGACCGCACAGTGGAATTGATTAAGCTTGCCCACGTAGCGGGCAGCTCGATTATGGCCTATGCTTTCGACATTGACAAAGATGATGACAAGAACGATGCGGACAATGACTCGGAAGACGAGTTCGAAGACGACGATGAAGACGAGCCGCTTAAGGGTATGGTGCCCTTCGCTGACATGCTGAATGCCGATGCTGACAGAAACAACGTACGTCGTCCTCTTCTACCCATGTGCCTCATGGAAAGCTGACTCGCCGGTTTTACATACAGGCACGACTCTTTCAAGAAAGCGACTACCTCATCATGAGGTCTACCAAGCAGATCAAGGCCGGCGAGCAAATCTTCAACGACTATGGCCCACTCCCTCGTTCGGATCTCCTCCGCATGTATGGCTACATCACTGATAACTATGCTCAGTACGATGTTGTCGAGATATCGCACGATCTTCTTCTAGAGGTGGCAGGCAAGAATCATGGTGCTAGAGACGCTGCTTGGTTGAAACGAGCCGAACAACTTGAGGAGATCGGTGTTATCGACGATGGCTATGCCATACCCAGACCTGCACCAGCCGTGGAAGAGCTTGGACAGGCCATACCGGGACAGCTGCACATGCTTTTGCGTGCTCTGTGTATGGACGGCACGAAGACACCCAAAGATGCCGTCACCATCAACGAAGCTGCACTACTACAGTCTGTCCTCACAAAAAGACTGTCAGAATATGGTACATCCCTAGAGGCCGACCGGGCTATTCTAGAGGCAGTGGCTCATTCTGAATCACCCCAGTCACTCATTCCCTCCGATTGTAATAAGAATCGATTTGTCATGGCGCTGCAAGTGAGGATTGGAGAAAAGGAGATAATACACCGGTTGATCAGACTGTGTCAGGTCCACATTGAACAAAAGAACCAAGAGATCACAGCAAGATCTACCAAACGGCAAATTCACGATGACACGGACAACAAACCAAAGAAAGCGCCGCGGAAACGCAATGCACGCAATTGAAAACGAAGGTAGCAATCGAAGCCCTCTGGCCAAATCGACTGCGGCTCTCTCTTGCGACATGACACCGGAATTGATCAACTTTGGCAACGGACTGTCAGTTTTCAACACGAGCTTCATGCGATGTTTTCATCGTTTTCATTGACGAAGGCGCTGGCCTCGATACTATGTACAGTTCTATCATCCTCCAAACAGTCCACCGAGTCGACTCCATGGCTAGGAAGCTCATGAGCTCCTCCGAACTTGATCCTTCATCTTACAATGCCACACAAGAGGGCAAGTCTGTTGTCACTGGAACGCTGACAAGAGCCCGGGATCATCCGGACTTTGAGGAGAGAGTCTTGTGAATTGTGCTCTCTGAGACAGTGGAAAAGATGTTATCCAAAATAATCAAAACATTTCAAGAAGGTGCAGGTGTCGGTTGTGCATGCGGCCCTGCTGGAGAAGAGTAACTGGGGCCTGCGGCGTCGGACTGTGATCTCCTCGCTGCTATCAGCTGTGCATCTGTCGGTCGGCTGCCGCCGATGAGATACGCCCGCTGGGACATGCGAGCAAAAGTTAAGTCGGGTAAAGTGGGATCAGCATCAGAGAAATCTTCGTCGTCCGAGTCAAATTTGAACCGATCATCTTTGGACCAGTCATCTGCCGAGTCTCGTCGCATCCGAGGCAGCCTTCGATCAATTATGATACGCCCTCCACGCCCTATTCTCCGTCTGAATGAAGGCATATGTCCGACGGATTCTTCGTCTGCTGGACTCGCATATCGGAAAGGTGTCGATGGTCGGGATACATCCTTCATCACCACGTCTGTTCCATTCGGCGGTTCCTGCGACTCTTCATCCGAGATACTAGCTGGCGGTGTTGGCAAGTATTCAGTCGCGGCCATTGCTTCGCGGAAATGTTCGCCGGGCGAAGGATAATCATCCTCAAGATCAGGGCTAAGTGGTGCCATGGTCTTGTCGACGAAACCTTCATTCCATCTGATGTGTTTCTCAACATTGGTTTGGATCTCCTTTTGGATTTCACGTTCCCGAGCAGCGGTAACTTCTTCCAAGGTACGCAGTTCGGGACCTGGACCAGGAGCCATGGGCATTCTGAGTTGCTGAGCGAGAGCGGCTTGGTTGGGCGTCATTCCTGGTGGTATTTTCTGCTTCTGCACAAAGAGGTGAGTCCGAGTCCACTCTTCTGGAACGGGGTTGCTTTTTACCTTTTGATTGATGAGGAGATCATCGTCACCCTTCATGCCCAATTTCCTCTTTGTGTCGCGCAGCGCTTGCCGCTGCTCGAAGACCAGTCGATCAACCTCGATGGCTTCCTTGCGGAGCTGCTCTCTTCTCTTGACCATCAAGAGCATGTTTCTCGCAGTCTCTAGCTCCATGCGCAGTTTTCGCAGCTTCTCGGCACTCTGCGCATCACGATTCCTGGTCTTTCGAATTTGCCGCAATTCACGTCGTCTAAAACAAACATACGGATCGCTGTCGTCGGACTCCTGTCCGGTCTCGAATTTGAGGCGAGGAGCCAGTGGACGATTTCCAGTTGCCGTCCGCCGCGATTTCCAATGTTCGTATATGAACCTGGAGAGGTTGCGGACGAAATGAGGGATGGTGTCATCGATTTGCTCCTCGAGTTCTTCTAAAGGTAAGACGGGGGGACTATCGACGGCAGCAAAAGGCTGCTTGGCCTGCGCGGTTTCTTCAAAAAAGTTCATGACCACTTCAAATTGGTCTTCAGTGCACGGCTCCTGTCCAGCAGGCAATCTGCCGTTGATCAACTTCAAGGCAAGTTCATCGTCTTCATCCATGCAATACGCAACTCCTGCACAGTCTTCGACCGTGGCGGAGAAGCGGATATAGGTGGCGGGTTGTTGAAACCCTCTGGGGTAGAGGACATCATACTGGACATCACTGGCAATGGTAGGTGGGGTGGGAATGTAGGCATCTTTGATTTTGGCGTCAGCCTTTGCAGCTTCGGACGCTTTGATGGCCTGTTGGAGATGGTATTCCTGCAAAACAGTGAGTGTTGTGCCAAGAGGTGGTGATGACTAAGCAAGCACGAAGAGGACACAGCGACACAAGACTGGGTGAAGAAGAGGTGACGGGGAATAAGGAACACATACTGATTCTTCGGCTTTCTCAACACCGGTTTCTATTGCAGCACGTTGGGTGTCGTAGTCAGAAATAGGATCAACTTGATCCTCGCGGAAAATCTGCACATTTTGCTTGGAGTTGAGTTTCTTTGGACGGGTGGCGCGGCCGCGGGTGGACATGAGGAATTTTCAAGGCGGTGACTCCTCATGGAGGGAGCGAGGAGTGAAACCACACCTAGCACACGGCACCACAACAACGTGCAAGACCACCGTGGAAAAGTAGCAAAACGGGGTCCAAAATTCCTCAAATCCGCATCACTAGTAGTCTGATGCACTCTGACTATGAATCCGTTTTCAAAATGATGAAAAGGATAAAATTAGGACGACGATGGCGGGTGATTTTTGATGGCAGGCGGGTGCTGGAGTTGTGGTGGTGCAGTTGCAGGTGAAGCGTGGAAAAAGAGGGTGAAAACTCCAAGGGCAGAGTGACGGGGGATCAGCTCTGCACTGCGCTGCCACCACCTGCGGGACACGACACACCAGTTGGGAAGGGAGAAAGGGGGGGCGAGCTTGCGGGAAGTTGTTCAGGTGGTGGTAGCCTAGAAGCTAGTAACTTTAGGCATTCATCGGGGCCCTTCAGGGCCAGTACCATGACAGCACCACCAACACTGGGCAAATTGTTTGGGGTGGTGTCCCCCGTCCGACGGCCGCAAGGCATCTGCAATGTCCAACCAGCCTTTCAACCTTTGGCTAGAAGCGTCACCCTTTAGTGCCCAACTCCCTTTTTCCACTACCTCGTTACTCGCCTAAGAAAAGTAGATCGACGGCGGGTGATGGTGATTATACCACTGCAATAACTGGTTGATTCAGTCATGGCCCTCATAATTCACCCGTAGCCAACATACTACCACATGCAATCTCTTCACCTTTCGAGTTCCACACGGCACGCTCCAGCCACAAAGCATGAGCCACCTGTGGCTGGAAACACCAATCCAAAAGCGGCTAGCTTACACGTGATTCTCGATCTCCTCACCCGATTGGGCGAATCGGGCACCGTTTGTACTGGAGCCCCCCAATTGTGCATGCGGCTGCACTGAACTCATGGCTTGAAACTCGCCTTGTGCTCCGTACTCTTTATTCAGCTTCTCAGATTCCCTTCTTACACACAGATCTTACTTCCTACGACTTCACCTTCACGAGTCCATACTTGACTCCAATCCTCCGAAGAAGCTGCTTCGCACTCGAGTGCAACAACAAACCCGGTCTCCAACTGTAACTGTCCCACCCCTCAATCGCCCACCATGGCTACGCCAGCATTTGGCGCCCAAGCCTCCGCTGTTGCAGAGCCCAATAATGCCGCTTTATACGATGCTCGAAGACGGCAGCAAGTCACGGGCTCCCAGATTCTCGATAACATTGTCTCCTTCTCGAATTGTACGTTACAGCCTCAATTGAACTGAATCAGAAGTGGTTATGGGATGGCTGTGTCGGAGAAAGCAAGCCAGCACGTGCTAACCAGAGCGCTACGGTAGTCGATCGCGAGGAGGTGGACAGACTGCGAAAACGATTCATGAAGTTGGACAAGGTGAGGCCATACTCTGCACGTACATTGCAGGCTGGTTTGCTAACTTGGATGGTTCGCATAGGACAATAGCGGCACAATTGAACGCGAAGAGTTCCTATCATTACCTCAAGTATCCTCCAACCCTTTAGCGACGAGGTATAGTCATCTATGCGCCTTCCAGGTCGACTCCGGCTAATTTTCTTACAAGAATGATTGCTATCTTCGACGAAGACGGTGGCGGCGATGTTGACTTTCAAGAATTCGTGCTGGGCCTTTCCGCCTTCTCCTCCAAGGGCAACAAAGAAGAAAAACTGAAATTCGCCTTTAAGGTCTACGACATTGATCGCGACGGGTACATTTCCAACGGAGAGTTGTTCATTGTGCTCAAGATGATGGTGGGCTCGAACCTGAAGGACCAACAGCTGCAGCAGATTGTGGACAAGACCATCATGGAGGCGGATAAAGATGGCGACGGAAAAATTAGCTTCTCCGAATTCACGCAAATGGTCGAGAACACGGATGTTAGCATGAGCATGACGCTTGGTGAGTTTGGAGTTGCTCAAAGACAACTCGTGGTGATCGCTAACTTGGTGATAGATCAATTCTGAGGTTGGCATGGCGTTGCGGTCCAGATTATCTTCATGGCTGATGGGCGAATGTGACACTTACATACCTGTGACGAGTAATGAGACAAGCAACTCGAAGACACCAAATCTTGCCATACTGGGCGAATCCGCTAACAACGGTGGTGTGGGCAGAGATGGCCTGCTCTCCTCTGTGTTTTCCTGTTTTCCAGTTTTCCATTGTTGGTCAATCTCCGATGCTTCTTCCCTCAAGGACTATCCACGTCTGTTGTCCCTGAAACCTGCAAGCCCACTTTCGAGTTGATTCAATCCTCCCAAGCTCTCTTCCGACTGCCAGTGCGAACCTTGGGGTACTGCTCGTCCCCTTTCTCTATGGCTGCCCTTCCAATACGCCTATGGAAGTGAGTTACGAATATTTCAGGCACGGCCCAAGACAGAAACAAAAGGAAATCGTGACATCCCCGTTTCCGAACTCCTTTAGCCATTTGAATCTGGTTGGCTAAGTTAACGACCACAAAAGTCCTTAGACAACATGACCAGCACGGCATTATTGGTTCTCGCGAAATGTGAAGTACGTTGCGAACCTCTCATTGTTCCCAAAGTCTTCCTTACAGGCAATTAGTTGATGCCGCGAGACGTGTGCCTCGTCGCATGAAGCCAAAGAGTTGTCGTGCTCATGCCCTGATATGTTGTGATTTATATGAAAGGTCGCTTGAGAAGGAGCGTATGGATCGCATCAGTCCTTTTCCATATACTGAAGTATCTACACCGCTTGCGCCGTTACGGATCAATAAATGGAGGACGTTAGGGCTGCTTCATCCTCGAGGCTTGTGCTCATTGCGGCATAGAGGGTGGAAGAAGGAACAACCCCGTTTGATCTAATATCTTCCAAGAGAGAATCCAGTATACACACAATCCTGAAACCACAAAACATCGAGTCGCCCCTCATTGGAAGTTTCAGTCGACCATGAGATTGGGACTCTTGGACAAATCCATTTTTTCATTCCAGCTCACAAAGCCAATGCCTCCCTTGGACCGGTGGGAACACCCTCCTTCTCCAGTTTTTCTTCCCATTTCTTATTGTCCTTTGCATGTGTCGAAAGAGTGGTCGTCTGGGCAGTAGCTGCAGCGTTTGATCCGAGAGCCGCATCTTCCCCGTTCACTTTTTCAGGGATACCAGTTGGATTGCCCATCAAGAGCTCTTCAAGGACCGAACACACGGCATCGCCAATCTCCTTGGTCGTGGCGGTTCCACCCAGGTCGCCGCTTCGAATCTCGAGGCCGCCAATGTCCTTTCCATCAAGGACCTTTTCCACCGCGGTTTCGATGGCGGCGGCCTCGGCTGCCAGGTTGAACGAGTACCGCAACATCATTGCCGCCGAGAGGATTTGGGCAACGGGGTTAACGATACCCTTTCCAGCGATATCTGGCGCAGAGCCGTGCACGGGCTCGTAAATACCGTTACATCGAGTCTTGCCATCCGGAATGCCAGAAAGACTGGCACTGGGCAACACGCCCAACGTGCCGACCACGCCGCCGGCTTGATCGGACAACATGTCGCCAAAGGTGTTGTCTGTGTGGATGACGCCGTTGAACATGCGTGGATTTTTAACCATCAGCATGGACAGGCTGTCTGCCAATTGATGCTTCAGCTCGATCTGAGGAAACTCCTTGGCGAAAACCTCCGAGGTGACTTTCCGCCAGAGCCGGCCTGAAGCGAGCACGTTGGCTTTGTCACTGGACCACACGGTCGCGGGTCCTTCGGGGCAATTGCCGGTGCCTTTGCCGTCCTTCCCCATGGTCATAGCTAGGGCAGCGGCAACCCGTGCGCTCCGTTCGATCTCGTCCCGTTTATAGGCCCACGAGTCGCTGGCGAAGTCGGCCTCCTCGACTTTGGGACCATAATAGGCACCGCCGCAGTTCTCGCGGAGGAGGATGAAATTGGTGCCCTCGGCGATTGAGGGCTTCAGAGGGGAAAGCGGGATCAGGGAGCGAGAATAGAAGGTGCACGGGCGGATATTGGCAAACGCATTGAGATGTTGGCGAAGGCGGAGGAGGCCAGATTCCGGGTTCGGATAGGCCGTTCCCCTTGTTCGTTGTTAATAACTGTAATGGACAGACCGAACAGGAAACGCACGGCACAGGGGAAAAGCCAGAGGAGTGCACGAGGGACGGTTAAAACCTTACCATTCTGGTCCGCCCACGCTGCCAAACAAGACGGCATCGCTCTCTTCCTTCGCGATCCTCAGCACCTCATCCGTGATGGGCGTTCCGTGCTTGTCGATACTGCACCCACCACAGATCTGATGGTTGAATTCGAACTTGAGCCGGCCCTGGGAGGTTATCTCGACCGTGTCCAGAACGCGCAATGCTTCGTCCATGACTTCAGGACCGACATGGTCGCCGGGGAGAACGAGAATGCGGAATGTCTGTGTTGAAGTGGTGGTGGAGGGTGTTGATGCGCTGGATTCGAGCACCGGGGCGGCCATGGTCGAGAGCTGCTGCCGGGGACTTGAGGTGTTTGAGATTGGTTCAAGTGTAATAGAATAGTCACCAGGCTGAGGGTTCAGTCCTCCCTCGTCTCCGGAAAATATCTGGGGTGCTTGTGTATAACCCACTGCTTTTGGAAACTCCTCGTAGAGGTATAGTGATTCCTACCACGATAATACCAATTTACTTCGCGGAGAACACACAGAAATGATGGTGACGTAGGTCTTTTAGAACGACGTCCCCTCCTCAAGGAAACGCAGCAGCCCCAAAATATTCAGGGGAGAAAGAAAGAAGGTAGATAGAGGACTTAGAAAGGGGCCAAAGAGAAAGTTCTCCGCAACCTCGAGTGATCGTTATCCCTTGGGTAAAATATACAGAGCTTGCTATGTTTATGCTTCCCGACGTCCTCGAAACCCCCGCATGGAGGAGACGGCAAGGCGCAGGCCGGCAATTTCTCCGCTCCGATTGCGGAGGGGGGCTTGGTGCCTGGGGGAAAAGAGCCAATCACCATCACCTTCTCCGACAAGGCTGAAGCCGGCCTGTTGTTGGCAATGTACTATGAAAACCACAAGGCTTTCTTGTATTTTTTCCACTAGGGCTTCTTATGATAGATCCAACGTCAATCAGACACGATGATCAATTGGGAAGCTTTAGGACGAGGTCTGTCTATCGAGATTCAAAAGTATAAATGATACACCGCACACGGCTCCACAGGGAACTATAAACCCTCAATCAGGCGTACCGACATTCTTCTTCCGATTGACTCTGATGTAGTCCTTCAAAAGAAACACAATGCTGATGCACAGTCCCAAACCCGCGAACCCGATTCCTAGATACCACGCTCCACGGTACCCGAGTAGAATGTCGTGTGGCGTGCGCCCACCGCGATTGACGTGCACCTCCACCGTCCCTGCAAAGCCCAGGCCCAGCGAGATGCTGTAGTTGACGATGGTCGTGACAAGACTGGCCGCGATACCCTGGTGTTCCTTGCGCACCGCGTTGGAGAGGATGATTGTGGCCGCGGGGAAGGACATGTCCATTCCCCAAGGGATGACTACCAGGCAGACGAACGTCTGGGCCCAGTATGTCTGGTGGACGGGCGTGGTGGCGACCAGGATGTGGCCCACGGTGAACCATGTGAGCGCGATGGTCATGACCATTGCGGGTCGAAGTTTGGATAATAGGATGCCTGTGACGACCGAGGCGCAGGCCCCCGACACGGCCACGGGGCTCATGTATGCGACGGTCAGCAAGGGTGATGCGCCGCGCAGGATTTCCAGGAAGTTGACCAGGTAGAGAACCCATATGCCTAGATTTCCCTTGATTAGTTTGAAGGCAAAGTGCTTTTGGGAACCGGTCCATACCAAATGAAGACCAGCCACAGACAATGCACGAAAGCACGAATCCGACGTCCACCGTCAGTGCGTCGAAGGGCACGAGCGGAGCTTTGGAAACCCGGAGCTCAATGTAGAAGAACAGGGGCACCAGCAGGATGCCGATGATCATGGTCACGTAGACGTATGCTTTCTGCCAACCCACAATGGGTGCCTGGTTCCATGCGAAATTGAACAGTACCAGAGCCGTGATGCCCACGGCGGCGCCGGGCAGGTCGAGGAGCCCAATCTTCTGCCGGAGGGAATACTTGTCAAACTCGGGTCGTGGTGGTGGACTGGGAATGACAAAGTATGAGGCCACTGCAAGGGCAGCGAGGGCAATGGCGAAGGAGAAGAACGCCCAAGGCCACCAGGTTAGAGCGAAGAGTCCTGCAAAAGCACAGCCGATAATGGAGCCACCTAGAGATATGGCGAGTTAGTAAAACAAACAACAAAGTCGATCGACGTGAGGGTTGCTCACTAACCGGGAGCACAAGCACCAAAGAGCGCAAAGACCATGTCTTTCCGAGGACTGCCATTCGCATAACTTGCACCGAGGAGAGCCACGCCATTTGGTAGGAGGATGGCAGGCCCGATCCCCTGGAAGACTCGAGCGAACACGAACAATACGTGATTTGAATAGATGGCCAGTCCTGCGATCATTGACCAGACCGAGAACCAGGCATACCCGATAATCATCATTCGTTTGTAACCAAACATATCTCCCAGTCTTCCGCTGACGAGGATGAATGTCCCGACCGTCAAGCTGTATCCGGCAATCAGCCATGTCAATTCGACGGGATTGGTGATGTTGAAGCTTCGTCCTATGTCATGGAGGATGATGAGTGCTTGGCCCAGGCCGACTTGGGTCGTCATCTGTGCAGTGCAAATGATGCCCACGAAGAGGATCTCGTGTGGTAGAGAGAAGGACTCCGCAAGGGGTCTGCTGGTTTGAGGCGACATGCCATCACCGATGGCGATTTCCTTCTCGAGAGCTTCCTGCGAGGGTTCTCCATCTCGTGCTTCGCAATCAAGCGACGAACTCGGGGGTGTTTGTTGCGGATTTTCGGTGGTCATTCCCCCAATACAGTCGAGCTCTGAAAGTGAAGAAAGTACTGGCTATCCCTCGAAGATTTCGCCATGCCCGCACAAAAGAAGCGTCTCTTTTTATATGAGTATGCGGAAGTCGTGGGGCTCGTTCCCGAGCTATGGCGGCAATGCATTGTATCTTGCACAGTGGATTTAGCCTGTGCATTCGTGGCAGGGTCTGGCATGTCGGAAATTTACGAGGTATTCTACGTTTGGCAATTGTGGAGATGCCTCCGAGTGGGGTTCAGGTTCAAGATAAGATGTGTCCGAGTCGGCCAAACGACGGCATCTTCTGCTCAAGCATTGGGCCCAGAATATATGTCAGACTCGGAAGGCTTTACTGGCAAGGCCGCCAGCGACTCGGCCGTCGAGCGCGGTGCTCGCACTTCACTGTCATGTTGGCATGCTTTCAAGAGCATCCGAGTGGGACTGGGAACTTGATCCGCAGATATATTTGCAGCTTGCGGAGGTCGGAGCGTTCGCAGCCTCCGGGACCCTGGGGCCCTTGGACAGGGGTATCATTATTCAGCCAAGAGCGGTCGTCTTCCGCAATCCTGTGCTCAGTAGTGACGGGAGCTCCTTTCAAGCATTTGTTCAAATACAAGCTGTACGAGGTACCTCGTAACCCTTCGTGGGCTTATGGCGCTAACTTGGATTGGTATCTGGCAAATTGTGGAAACAAGACATATAGTGACCGAGCCACCGACTTAGATTCCCATTCATGCGCTCTGAGATGGAATCAAGGGATGGTCTAATAGATATTTCTAGCACTCTCGACGTCGGTGAGAGCACTTCTCTCTTTTTTCTCTCACTCTCTCTAAATTAAAATCTTAGTCCTGCTGCCATCCATTTGGTTGCTTTCAGAGTATTCTTCATCGACCCAGTGCCTGTGTCGTGACCATGGTGTGTCCGAGTTCCAGGCCAGTGTAGTCTCCCTTTCTGTCGCCTCTCTTAGTTTTGAAATAGTTCAAAACCCCGGCAGTCGTGTAGAGAGCAACGACTATGACCTCTGGACCAAGGCCAAGAACGAGGTATAGAGCCCAACTACCGGTGACAGGATTGAATTTCCCGGTATGGCCTGTTGATTTGCTGGTGTTCAAATTGATGGCGTTGAGCCCTGAATAAATGATACGGACCAAGAGGAAAGGTAGCGCTAGCAAAACGGCCGCAAGGAGCTGGACAAATCACAAGCATCAGCAACAGAACCTGAACAAGTTCTCGGTAGAATTGGTTGGGCTTACCGTTCTTTGCATCGGCACATATTGAGACCTGGTGCTCCAGAAGATGAGGCTACAGAGGCATAGTATTGCCCAGACGATAAAGAAGAGCAACGTTGCAAGCTTCAATAACGTCGCTCCGGTGTTCAGATCATTCTGGTCAGTTTTGGTTCGGTCGAGTGAGCCTGATATACTGAGTACAAGTGCAACTACTATAAGGAGATGAACCGGCTTCAGGAGTCTGGGGAGAGACGAGTTTGACCAGGACTTTCGCACTTCATTTGAGGTTTTGCTGGCACTGTTCTCGTTGAAAATCGTCAATCATACAATCTCAATGGCTGAACTCCTTTGATCTGAGCGATACTTACCCTCCGTTGACGAAAGACAAGGTCGCGCTAAGCAACGGCGACAATGCGATTGTATTCAAGATTGTGGCGGTAGTAACGAGATTCTCCTTCTTTCCCAATTCGATGTCAATGTTCATGCCCGCTCCAGTAAGTTTGACTTGTGTTCTGTTAGCCTGCGAGCTGGTACGCCACAAACAGATGACCTACTGATGCAGAACAGCAGAAGATATATCCACCCTGCATCACGCCTGAAACCGTAGCGGATGGTGTTGAACAGACAAAAGAATGCCGTTGGCGTGTACACAGCAATTTCGACGATGCTCAATTTTCCATGACTATCGAGCATATTGAAAACTGCGCGCTGAAATTCAGAACAATAACGTAGTTGCAATCAGTCACACAATGAGACAGAGACACGGTTGTTGAATCTTTGGAGATGTAGAGCTCGAAATCGAAGACTTCGGTTTTCGCGACTTTATAACTTACAAAATGTCTAGGATCTGCTCTACGTTTTCTTGTAACCACTCCATCTCTGACGAGGGGTTGAATCAAGTGAGATTCGGTCTTTGGAGGCGCAGGCTCCAAAGAGATCAACCATGGCTGGTCCTAGGGTTGAAATCTCGGGATTGCAGTGGAGGCTTTGCTTAACGGACGTGCGACGTCACAGATATGGCAGGATCTGTCCATTCTGCCCAGGTGCAACACCCTCAGATGAGATTTTTGCTGCGCAAAAACAATAGATGGAATATGCCCTGTTACCGTGAACCGAAAAGCCACCAATTTGTCGTCTGAGAGGAAATCCCTGCCAAGTTGGGGACAGACGCTAGCCTCGAGACTGATGGCTTTCAGCGAGGTGGTCGTCTAATGTCGTTAAAGATGCTCCGCCACCATCTTTGGAGCATTTTGCGAGAGCCACGTTCTCCTTGATAGACAGAACAGTCTGCGGATGATCATCGTGCAGTCCGTAGCTGAAGACGAGGGCGCATCGGCGCGTCATAGGGTCCCCGCTCTACCCATCCTCGGCCAAAAGCCTTGATCAGGCTGCCGCAAATTGTCCGATTTACAGCTTTCGACTAGGCCATGAACTTGCTTCGTGCGTCTTGGGCCCTGAGGAGCCAGGAGGAGGGCGGCTATCTCCGGTGCAGCGTGAATCCGTGTGCGAATGGGCGGACAAGCGGCCTTTGCGCCCGCTGAATTGTGAATTTGGTCTTGGTGTTGTGTGTTCTATCTCCACAGGAAAGGTTCGTTTTGGAGAAAAGAAAAACCACCGTCCTTTCCAAGAAGAGTTCAACTTATTTCATGCTATGTCGGGGCGATAAGTCACATACTGGACTTGCTCAGGTTGAAGCAGTGAGGCTCCGGTCATGCTCAGCTCCAAAGACGGAATCGGAAAGTGCTCATGTCGAGATTCCGACATCGATTTCGCTCTTTCTTTGGCTATAACATCATGCCTTGATCCACAACCCGTATGACTACGGCCGTGTGGAAAGGCTATCACCGTGCCGGTGGCAGCGCTGGAGGGTACAGGCAGAGGACTCACTTCGACAAGAACGGAGCTATTTGCGATTGGCCTGCGATCATGGATTGTTATCTGCCCCACTGCACACCTACATGTCGCCCCAAGGCTGGCATTGCCGAAGCATACAAGAGTCATGTAAAATGTCCATACCGTGGAATAAAATATAACCAGAGCAACTGGTTGTATATGATTTGCTGCGCGTTGGATGGTCGTGATCGAGATTGAAAACCCCCTGTTTGCGGAGAAGGATAAGATATATAATAGTTTTATATCTTGTGCACTCGGGGTCTATAGGCCTTGGCCTGTTCACCCTTGACCTGTTCACCCTAGGGAACGGTACAGCTCTTTCATCAATCGAGGATGTCTTTTTATGACGGGTAGTGATGATGAACAGTTGATGCCAGATGGTCGACGAGGCACGGCATGGTGGCCACTTCAGCCGCAAAGAAAGCGTAATGACGTCAATGCATCCCACCGACGCGTCGTGATTTCTAGAATCCTGCAGAGGCTGACAAGCTCAACTCTTACTTCCAGAAATATGTGTACCTCGTAGCACATCGTCTTTTTGTTGGAGAGCTCGTCGGTTACCGTGTGTGGCTGATGAAAGATATGCCCGAGCATGCGTAGGTAGCAAGTCATTTTCGGTCTAGGGGGAGATGGTGTGTGATGAGCCCCGATCTCAAACTGCAACACCGCTAACAAGACCAGGCTTCCCTTCTCCGGCAGATAGTTGCAGGCCCCCGTGCCAGACACCCAGAAGCAGGCCTCGACCTGTGTTATGTGACAGATTACAGTACGTTGGAACCTGGAAACGAGAAGTGAAGGCCTTTTGTGCTAACATTCATCAGTTGTCGTCACTTCTGGTCCTAGCTCAGTATGGCCCAGGAAAGCCTATCGAAACCCCCTAGATCAGCTGGTCGGCTTCCTCGATCGGAAACATGGCGAAGATTGGGCCATCTTCGAGTTTCGAGCCGAGGGCACAGGGTATCCTGATTCTGAGGTCTACAACAGGATCCACCACTTTCCGTGGCCGGACCACCACCCTCCTCCCTTTGCCATCGTCCCGAACGTCATGGCTGCAATGCGCAACTGGATCCAGCGGGTGGACGAAGACGCGGATAAAAGCAAGGATAGAGACAAGAAAAGGGTGGCTGTCGTACACTGCAAAGCGGGCAAAGGCAGAAGCGGGACGGTCGCGTGCTCGTATCTGATCAGCGAGGAAGGGTGGAAAAAGGAGGAAGCTCTCCAGCGCTTCACCATCAGACGTATGCGGCCTGGGTTCGGCCTTGGCGTGAGTATCCCAAGTCAGTTGCGTTGGGTTGGCTATGTGGATCGATGGACAAACAGTCTGGGCAAACGATACGTCGAAAGACCTGTCGAGGTTGTTGAGATCCAGGTTGAGGGTCTCAGGGACGGCGTTAAAGTCTCAATAGAGGGTTACGTGGATGGTGGCCGGCGCATTCGAACTTTTCACACCTTCAACCGGCAAGAGAAGACCGTGGTGGCAGAAAGCAGCACTAAACAATCGAAGCCGGCTTCGGACTGGAAGAAGGACAGCGAAATTCTTAGCACGCCCCAGAGTGCCTCCCCACAAGCGTCTTCGTTGAGCTTGAGGAAGGACTCCCCGGGTTCAAGTCAAAATGTCATCCTCAAACCATCTTCACCCGTCATACTACCCACTAGCGACATCAACATCGACTTTGAACGACGAAACAAAGCTGGGTACACAGGCCTCACAATGGTGACGGCTATTGCTCATGTCTGGTTCAATGCATACTTTGAAGGCGGCCACGAAGGGCACAGTTCAGGCGTCTTTGAAATAGAATGGGATGCGATGGACGGTATCAAAGGAAGTTCCAGGAAGGGCACCAGAGCCCTTGACAGATTGAAAGTCGTTTGGCAATACGCGAAGCAAGAAGGAGATGGTGCTTCGATGGAGCGAATCATTACGGAGCCCGAGAAGGGCGAGCCGGTCCCAGAAGGACAACCTGCAAATTGGCAGGGTGAAACCGATGAAGAGGCCCAACCGGCAGACGGCGTTGACAGCGGCCGAAAAGGAGGTACCGCGCTCACCATCAGTGCAACGATCAATCAAGGAGCGAGCACCTTGGGTAAAGAACTCGGCCTGAGAAAATCTCATCCCGACAGTGCAAATGTCAGTCGCGCGTCGAGCGTGAAGGGCGAATCTACCACGTCAGACATGGGCAGCGCTGCACAGCGAGTCGAAGAATCAGAAGACCAGGGGGTGAAACAATGTGGTCCAGAAGGCGAGGATCTCTCATATGACGGCTCTTCCGACCCTGAGGGTGGAAGCAGACAAGACACAAAGGCCGGCCATAGAATGGAAGCTGGGATGGCCAAGGTCGCTCACGTGATCTCCAAAATGAAGCCCTCGCAGGACAAGGCTGCGGAAAAGGGAGAGGGGACCGACCACCAGGCGCACGAGCAGGATACAGCATGATCTTATGGTTTTAAGGCATGGATACCCTTTGCAAAGCGGGTCAACATTGCAAGGTGTTTGGCATTCATCGTGGATAGACAACAGGGATGTTTGTCTCCTCCTTGGATGGCGAGGGCGTCTGCTTCGCAAATTGGTTCACGCACAGCGTTCTTCCCAGCGTTTTCGTGAACGGGTATCGTTGGACAGTCTGTTTAACAGCTTCCTCGACAAACGTGCAGACTAAGAAGGCGCTCTTTTTTTATACCTTCTGATAGACCTGATTTCTCTACAGCAGCAATCTCCAGCCCAAGAAACTGTCCAAGAACCGATCTCGAGATTCTACAGCAGTAGGAAAATGGAAAAGAACAATGACCATTTGAAAGAGTCACAGACTCAGCCTTCCAATAACGGCTGCGGCAAACCTGAAACCTCAAGCCCACCAGACTCAAGCACAACAGACTCATCCAGTCCGCCTCCACCATACGTCCAGCCTATCCCCATTCCCACTTCCCCTCGCCCTCGAGCACCAACCCAATGTTCAGCGCTGGTGACCAGTCTGCCGTTTCGGCCCCATCCACGAACAGTCACGTCGTCTTCGTGGCAGGCCCGGCCCAAGGAGACCACCATCGGCGGCCTGCAACAGGATTCGGTGCCAGACATTGTTGTCCAAAGGGGCTTTGGCACCCTGATCCACAGGCCGCCCACGCCCAAACCGGTGTATGCCGAATTTGGCGGACGCTGGTGCTGTACGGATGAAAATAATGACTCGAGAGATGCGGGCCGAGAAGAGGGCCCAAGAGAGGCTGCCGAACGTGATGGTAATGAAAATTAGCGAATAGGTATGTGGAGGACCTGGACGTGGAATATCGGCTATCTCGAAGGTATAAGCTTAATAGTCGAGTAGTGGTTGACGGTTCGTTGTGAACGGCGTTTTCCCAGGTTCTGCTTGCGCGACACAAGCTGGAATGGCAGCAATTAGTGGCCTTTTGCAGCATCCGTATCTTCTTCTCGCTACTTGCTGGATTTCAGATGGTCCACGTTCGGCATGCTGCCTGCCTGTCAAACCTTCTCACCTGATCAACGCCGACGCCTTCTCCTCCGCACTCTGCGAATACCAGCTTCCGGTGAAAGGGTATCGTCGGCGGAGAGCGGGACATTCCCAAGAACCCTCGGAGTCTCCGTGGACTGGAAGAGCCCGAACAAATTCGAAGGCCTCTTCCAGATCCCTACCCCGTCCAGCATCTCCGGATCGGTGTTAGGCAAGTTCAGTTCCACGGAGCACTTGCTATTATGGACGAAGCCGTGAAGACAGAGAGGGTGCAGTGCTTGCGCGAAAGCTATGGGTTCCTCGATGTGGAGTTGGCGATATGTGGGCATTAAGAGATGGAAGACGGGGTCTTTGCCCCATTCCCCGGACTTGGTAAACAGCGCTCGCAGGTACCGCATCCAAATACACAGCGTGTCGAGGTTCTCGGCCATGCCGAAGAAGTTGTTCGCGAGGGGTTTTCGTTCCACCAGCTTGCAGAAATAAGGGTGCCAGTCGGTATCCGGGTGGTAGACGAAGTAGAGGTGCTGCTTCATGCTGCTGTTGGATTTGGAGGTGGAGGAGGTGGAGGTGCTCGTGCTCTTGGTCATCATGTCGATGTAGCCGTGAACCTGAGTCGCGAACTTTTCGGGAGCGTCCAGACGCGTCTGCGCCGCCAGCTCTCGTCGAATGCCCCGGAGCTCGGCTATGATCGCCTGTCCTTGAAACACCTGGATGCACTGCGCGGGCAGCACGGCACCGGCTGCAATGAAATACCCTTGAAACCCGGCCAGATATTTGGCATGGGACGCCAGGATCTTCACCGTGGGCATGGCTTTCTGGACGACATTCGCCAATCGTTCTGCAGTGTTGATCACACCGGGTATCTGACTCAAGGACTTGTCGACTGCACTCAGAGTACTGATTATCGTTTCTTCGGGCCGCTGTGACTGCGTTGGTGGTACCTCTGGCAGGCTGGAGTTCTGGCCCATGTTGACGGAACACAGACTCGATACCTCCAGATTGAACAGCGTCCTCGGAGATTATTGAGCGAATAGAGCACTGTTGTTAGCTGAAACTCCAGTGTCCGCTATATCGTCGTTGCTGTCGTGGTAGGTGGTTTGCAAGCTGTGACGCTAGAATATATGAGTGCTGGTGCGTTCATTTTGGCATGTCAATCAGCTTTTCTTGCAGCGAAGGATATGCAGCCTCGTCAATGGAGGGTATCTAGAGTGCAGGACTAGTTATTGAGGTTCCGGGTGAGAAAACTTCGAGGACATATTAATGTGTAGGCTGTCTCGATACTGAGTGACTGGATTGGATACTCCCGGTGGACAACATCCTGAAACGAGGCGCACATGTTTGTAGGGCAAACGGACTGCTGCCAACCCATCTGTGGCTATTTCGTTCAAATATGGTTGTGTGGCGTCCGAATGACCCCGTCGTGGTTTTCATAGGCTCACTGAAGGGCCCCTCGCTCAGTGCTGGCTGAATCCAATTGGTCTTTTGGAGTTGCCGTGAATTTTCGACTTGTAGCCCTGCCGTTGACGTGGCAGGCTCGTCTGTGGTATAGCCCTTCCTAGCTCTGGCCACCAGCATTGACTTGTTCGCGCCCTGCTATGCAACGTTGTCAGCCAGGGCGACCACGCCTCGAAACCACTAATCAGCGCGTCGCTACCATCATTGAGGCACATAGCCTCAGAAGGCGGGCTTTGCTGCAAGCGTAGACTTAGCTGGAAGTCAAGAAGGACACAACATCAGAGGCATGACCCATTCACATCATGCATGCGTCTGAAGCTGCTGGGAGAACACGCCACAGCAAACATATCGATTTAGAGTAGCGGCAGCGCAGCCAAGCAGGTTCTGGAACCGCTAAGAGGCTGCAGTAACGAAGTGTTCGTGCCTAGATCAATCCACCACGCAGTGTTTGAGATCTGATCTCCAAGTACAACCCGAAGAGGGCTGGTGCTTGCTAATCGAGATCCAGCATGCGATGGACATCGCTCCTTTGCCAAGTTGAAATCAGTGTGGTCCGAATTCAAAAGTCATCTGAAGATGATGGACCTGTATCGCCGTATCCTTGGAAAAGGCGCCACTTCATAAGAGATCAGATTAGGTCCGCAGTTTGCGCTCGAGACTCTCTCTCTCAAAATATAATGATAATCTTCTGGGGTGTCACCACGGCTTGATAAGTGAATGAGATACACAAATAGTGACCGAGGGGCCAAAACATCTCCAAGCGTCCTCGGCCGAAGGTCTCGCAAACGCTCTATTAGCCCCTTTAATTACCCACCAGGACTACCTCGTGTTAATATCGAGAACGCATGGACGACGAATCTGCTTGATATGAAGCCGCCATTTACGCCGTATATAATTTTTGATCATATCTCTCTGCCGAGTACATCTCGTCGCAAGAACCATAATCCTAGGTCTTCATTCCACTACGGGACAGAGAAAAGGCCCGTTCCGCTGGCCCCAGACACAACACCGACGAGCGACTAGACGTGTTCGAAACGCGCTTAGTAACGATCGAAGGAGTCGCTAGTCACACACTAGTCGGTGGGGCGTCCAACTCGCACTGGGCACAGAGGACGGACAAAGATTCGACTTTACCGAGTACACTGCTCGTATCAAGAAAGACAGCATCCTTTCAATCTTGACGATAGCCTACTCCCTTCGCCAGCTACAACGTGGAGGCAGTGTATCCATTGCGAGCCGACTGTGTATCTAAAGTGTTAGGTGTGGACGGCGGCCGAGCCCCGTGAGCGCCGATGAAGCTGGACTCTGGAGATTGATCACAGAAAGCACTGTCTTGATTTGCGTGCAGCCGATTCAGCGTACGAGAGATCAGCAGACAATGGCTGAAATCATGGAGGGTTCCACGGACATAGCTAGAAATCAGCAGGACGGACGACCCGAAGCCGCCACTCCTGCTCCTACTCTGCGCTTTGCTCCCAACACCAATGAGCCAGCGGAAGATGACCTCCTCGCCGAGGAGGCACCTTCTAGCCGCGACGTCAAGGCGCCGTCTCCGGATTACGCATCCAGCAGACTCAGCCCGCAAGTGTCCAAGTCGTCGAAATCCATCCGCCTGGAGCCGCCACCGGTGGTGATGCGGCCGCCCAAGGTCAAGTTCGACGGGTTCGGCTCCGCCGCTCTGTCGTGGTTCGCGTGGACGCGGAACGAGGAGAAGGATCTCCCGGACTGTGCAAGGTCCATGCGGCGGTCCTACACGTATCGGTCCACGTTCCGGCTCTTCGGGTTCAGTCTGTCCAAGGATATCAGCTACAAAACGTCCGAGAGCGGGCTCGATGTCGCAATGCAGAATGTTCGCCTGGTGAGTCAAAGGAACCCACGGTGGTGGCCGGTGGTGGTGGAGATTGTATGGTGGGGACCATGCCTTGTTGTGTGTATTGCTGATTCTATGCCCCGTCATCGACTAGGGCTGGGGGAAGTCGGAAACGAATTGGATGCGTGACAAACTACCAAAGGCACGGCAAAGATTTGGCCTCTCCAAAAGCGGGCAGACAGAGACCCCGGACGAAGAGGCGCAGGACGCTGCTAGCCAAGATGCCAGTAGTACCACGGCAGCGGTGGAAGGCCAGAAGGCCCCGAAAGAACCCAAACACACGATCCCTCGCATCGCACACCCGTGGCACGTGGATTACTATTACGTGGTCGTCGGCATCATGGGCGACGAGATCGCGCCCAAGGAGACTTTGCGACGTGTCATGCAGATCGACGGCCTGTTCCAGCAGATACGCAAGGCTCACAGATACCTGCGAAACCCCATCCGGCGGGCATTGTCGCTGAAGGAAGTCTCGGGCTTCAGCATCTACCAGTGCGATCCCAGCAAGGGCTACCACCGCGAGGTGGAACTGGACGGCGAGACCGAGAGCGCACTCGCAGAACTCTGGCGGAGCTACAACACCCACAAGCTCGACTACGAGGGTCGCTGGATGCTCTGGATCCACCAGCATTTCAACAACAGCTCCAAGAACCCCGAGGCGGGGACGCTGGCTCTGGAGCTGCGGCTGCGGTGGTCCGTCTTCAAAGTCGTCTTCTGGGGCGTGGTGCCCATCCTGCTGAGCTTGGCTGTGGGATTTTCGTACATGTATACGGACCACGGAGACGTGGACGACGTCGCAGTCGCGGAGGCCGCGTGGGTTATTGCCACTTATATCATCACAACGTCGGCACGTAAGTCTAATTCTCTCTTCCAGAAGAGTTTTGCCCTGGTAGGAAAGCTGACTTGATGGGAAAAACAGTGATCTTTGCACTTTTGGCCGTTATCACACAGCTTGGGGATATTTGAACTGGCTGCCTCGTGGTGAACTAGGTTGCTGTTACCATGCTGTCCGCAGGTCGTGACCGCGGCATTGCTGGCTGGAAGACGCTTGGGTCTTGATACGATCACTCGTGGCCGCACCCACCATACGGAGAGGCCGCCAGAGGGAAACAAATCGAGCCGGCGATCAGACGTCTACCTGTTGATCAGAAGCACCGGCGGTGAGGACCAAGAGCGAGCGAATGAAACAGATACAGAAGCTGTATATATAACTCATAAACCTGGAAAGAAAATGCGTATTCATCATGTAGCTACAGCGAATTTGCTAGCAGAGACTCCCAGCCTGAGCAGACCGTCAAGGAGCTTGTTTAGTGGCTCTCATGTCCTCCACTGAAGCCATCCACTCAGATCTACCAGCGGTAGCGTGATGGGGAACTCCACCGAGCCCAACAGCAACGCCAGGAGCAGGTACCAGCCGGCCACGCAGCTCACGCCAAAGCTTGCGCCGCCGATATACAGAGTGATACCTGCGCCGCTGCCTCCGTCGGCCAGCAGCCAGAACGTCGTGGTCAGCAGCGTAAACCCCCAGAACAGGCCCGCAAACATGACCACAAAGACCAAGTTCGTCCGCAGAGCGCAGACGAGGTAAATGAGACACAGCACGGCCATGAAGATCATGAAGAACCCGAACGAGGCGTTGAAGCCTTGACTCTCCAGCCCCGCCGTCAGGTCTTTCGGGTCCGGCGAGTATGCGCCGAAGGCGTTGAAGAAGGGGAGCAGCGTGGCGCCGTAGGAGAACCAGAAGCCGCCAAAGGAGGCAAACACGACGAAGGGGAACGTGTTGCCCGCGACCCATTCGAGGAAGCCGCCCAGGAGCATGAGCACGCCGCCGAGGAAGAAATACGCTCCGCTGGTACAGGATAGCGTCGTCAGACTTCTTCTTTTGTTGATCACGGTATTGGGTATAGGGGTGCGAATATGCAATACGTACACTGACGCCGCTCCATTTCCACCCGCGCCTCGCCAGCCCATCAGGTCACAGCTCAGCGGGCTCAGACAAAGCAAGAATCCAACAACAGACAGTGGCGTTGGATTGCCAAATATCTGCTGCTTTGCGCTTTTCCTGCCGGCCCCGGCGGGCTCTTGTTGGCTCTGCGCCTGCAAGAACATCCGGTCGAACATGTCGGCCGGGATGGACACCATGGTTGCGTCTTGGAACGACGGCGGAGGCGCCGTGTGTAACCTCGGGGGTGGTATGTATTTGGTCTTCTCGTCCATGTAGAACTGGGCCTCGTATGAGTGCTGCGAGAACGCCGGATGAGAGGGCTCGTAGGATTGTGAGTAGGGCACACTATGAGGAGAAGGCGGTTTGTAGTAATTTGAAGATGGTGGCGGGAGAGGACCTCGGACCTCGAAGGGTGTAGATGTCATTTTTGAGGTCAGAGACAGGGCAAAAGATGTAGCGTCTGGCTAGACACGAATAACGATACTCGGAAAGCGTAGTGGTTTCGAGAATGGGCAAAGCTACAAGACACAACAGACCGTAACGAGGAGAACAGCCCTTTATATCCCACCATACTTGACCACGATGAGAATGCTAGCCGTTCCAGCTCTGTCATGTCGGCAGCGGAATACCAACGGCATGCAGCGTCTGCGACATGTCGTGCTTCAGCCTCAGCGATCATCACTGCCCTAGTGGCCAGTAAAAGAGCAGCAATGCCATGTTTGCAAGCATTGGCGAAAGTCTCTCCATGGCTTTGCGTTTGGTGCAAGCCGCCCATGGAGTGTTTGAGGGAGCTTGGAAGTTCTTGGAGCATATACACATTTACCGAAACTTTCATGTTCTGCATTGTGTCCACGGTGAAACGACTCCGGAGTCTGGGGGGAACCAAGACAGCGGGAACTGGTGGAACACTGCATCAGGGGGTCGAGGAAGAGGCTTGGCGCTCAGGGGCTCGGGTGCGCTGAGCATCCGATTGGTGCGGATCACAGCCTATCGGGGTCTATGGAGGCGCAGTAGGGCTGCAAGGGGAAGGGTGAAAGTCTATCAACTCGGATCCCACAGATGCTTAGTTCACACAAGCAAGGAATATACAGTGGCCAGTCCACCATACGGCCCAAGCGTTGCTCGTGAGACTCGGAGGGAGCAGTATACCGACGCAGATGGTTCGCACTTCCAGTAGTCGTTGGAGAGACCCAAAATAGCTCTGCAGCCCCTGACGATCAGAGCATTCGACCCTTTGAAGAGCCGCAGAATGACGCCATGTGTTCATTGTGAGGTTTGAGAGCTTAAACACCGAGAGCGCAGGAGCACAGGATCTCTGCTCGGTCAGCAGGGGGTTGGGCTCCCATTCCTTCTGTCTGCGGGTAAATGCTGACAGCAAAGAAGCAGAGCTATTAAGCTGTGGAAATACTTCTTCAATCGAATGAAGCTTGCCTCGACCAAGAGCCAAATGTCAAGGATTGAAGACGCCTCGCGACTTCGCCAGAGAGTCTGTTGCGGTCGAACATCAGTGGACAGAACAAGGATCTCTGCCTGCCAAACATTCACCCGTCCATCCTTGTGTCACGAAATTCATACGCTTCCTGGAACAAAAAGGAAAAGCTGAGGTGCAAAATGGATGGCAGGAAGGCATTGCATACAGAACAGACACTCGCAGATGAACAAGGGTAGGCTTGTGCACCGTTGACTGCTATATTCCAGCCCGCTAGTCCCGTCATGAGTTGCTCTTACTGTGTCAGCCAGAAATCAAACCACTGGGCAATAGCTCTCAAGCTCTCTTCCTTAGCATAGCCTGTCAATTGGTCAGCTAAGTCCAAATCGGAAGCTCAACACCTCCCCTAAAGTTGCATGGTTAACGTACGTTCATAGGGATTGTCCAAGTTACAGCGAAGCGCAAACCCATGTTCCACCCCAGAGAACAGCTGCAAATTGTACGGTTTCTTCTCTTCCTGGAGGATCTTGATGGCATCGTTGCGTGCGTCAGTCCCGAATGTGTGGTCAGTCTCGGCGCAAGACAGAAACAGAGGTTCTTCAAGAGGATTGTCAGTCGATCCCAGTTCGCGAAAGAAGCTCAAGTCCTCTTACTTTTGAGCTGCCGGAAATGGGATTCCTTCAAGAACGCAGGGTGCGCAAACGCGCCTGCAGTGCAGATGTCTCTGGCCAACTCGTTGCACACATACGGGGCCCCAAAACAGTACCTGGCACTGCGGTCAGAGCTGAACCGGATCGTTCTAGTACCACCAGAGACAAACATACCCCACGCACGCATATTTTGTCGTCGGTGAGCCAAACTGAGCCTTGACGGCCTCGACCCAACCCGGCACCACCTCATCGGCGTATGCGATGTGCTTCTTCTTCCACGCCTCATAATCAAACCCTGGAGCAGGGTCATCGCGGCCCTTGCGGTGCTTCCACACCGGGTCCTGCGAGTTCGTATCAGCAATAGAGGACCACAATGCCATGCAAGCAAGGGTACACTCACTCCTCGGAAGTAATCCAACCCTATACACGTGTAGCCAGCATCTGCAAATCCATCCATAACCAGGAATCCATTGTTAAAGAATCCCCATACGTCAGGGAAATAGAGCACGATGTTACCGTTGTTCTTGCCCTGAGGAGTTGAGATGTATGTCTCAATGCCGGCAACTGTCTCGGTGCGGCCTCTGGGTTCCCCCTCGTGAAGAGAGCCCGTTAAGCAGCACTCGCCTGACGGCTTTGCGAGATAGCCTTCCTTATCCGCCATGAGCACTCTGTTTATGCCGAGTAAAGGTCTCTCGTGTCCTTTGGCAAAGGACAGTGTTCACGGTAGCCGTCTTCCCCTCTCTCACCTCAAGGGTGTGCTTCTTGTGCGATTGCCGAATCACGCAATTCTTCCGACTGCTATTTCAAGCCTCGGATGGCTGTCTCACCCCCTTCTCCAACGGCATGATCTTCTCCAAGCCGGTTAAAAAGCCGGTAATCCAATCAGAGGCACAAGAACTCCGTCAAAAGTACCTAGGCACGGTGCTAGGTACCTTGTACAAGCTTTCGCAGGACCAGGCCAACCCCCCACTCTCCTCCCCCCACTCCCACTCCCCGCCCCCAAACCGGACATCGACCGTAACCGAGTATGAGGCTTCAGGGCCACATATAATACTCAGTTATGTGCTGTGATGATGTCGAGAATGTCGGAGGTTCCAAGAGCTCACACAAAGAGGCAAGTGGGTAGCTTGAGGGTTTATTGCGATTGCTGCCACGAGAGTACCGGCTGAACAACACGCTTGATATCGGTCTTAACATCAACACCTGAGAAGGACTGAGTCTGGAAAGAACAATGGCTTCGAACACACCCCCGCCGCCCTTCCGCTTTGACGGTGAAGTCGCCATCGTCTCTGGCGCGGGCTCTCGCATGCCTGGTAAGGCCACTTACCCAGCCTCAGTCTCCTTTCATTACCGTAGACTGATTACCTGTATAGGCGAAATTGGAAACGGGCGTGCGACAGCCATTCTTCTCGCCCGGCAAGGCGCCAAGGTCGCCCTCCTGGACATCAACGCCTCTTGGGCCGAGGACACTAAGCGCATGATCGATGCGGAGGGTGGCATCTCGGAGGTCATCCCCACGGACGTCACAGACGAGTCATCATGCAAAAACGCAGTGGCCAAGACAGTCGAGCTGTTTGGCACCGTAACCATCCTCGTCAACGTCGTTGGCGTGGGCGGAGCCATGGGAGACGCCACGACAGTGGACCTTGCGGCTTGGGATCGTGACATGCGCATCAATGTCAAAAGTATGGTCCTGATGGCGCGCCACGCGATCCCTGAGATGCGTAAGAACGGCCGTGGCGCCATCGTCAATATTTCCTCGGTTTCCGGTTTGCAAGGTGGTAATCCAAGCTTGTTGTACCCAACGAGCAAGGGAGCGGTCATTCAAATGACGAGGGCGATGGCCGCGCAGCATGGGACCGAGAACATCAGGGTTAATTGTGTGTGTCCCGGCATGGTCTACACTCCAGTAAGTTTCCGCTTTGCCCACATTCAATTCTTGTCCCTGGTACACTTCCGCCTAGTTTTTTCAGATGATCTCTTGCTTTTTTCCGAGATCTTCTCTTTCAGAACCCCAGTCCCAGCGACGATACTAACTCGCCGGTAAAAAAAAAGATGGTGAGGAGCCGCGGTGTCTCCGGAGACTTGAGGCAGGCAAGGATAAACCAAAACATGTTGAAACAAGAGGGCACTGGATGGGATGTGGGATACGGTATTACTTTCCTTCTTCTGAGATCTGTGATGTTCTGATGCTGACGGTTTCTCCCCAGCCATTTTGTTCTTGTGCAGCAAGGAGGCCAAATGGATTACTGGCTTAATCATGCCAGTCGATGCTGGCACTACAGCCGGGAAGTCGGTTAAGGACAGACCCGCGCTGGCGGCGGATGTGTTGGCGGAGCAGATGACAGGCATACCCAACAAGGCAGAGCAATAAACCCTCGCGGAATGGCATGGGGCCGTTGTAGTTTGACGGATATCGAGATTGCGATCTTCTGAAGGCACCGAGCGACCAGGTGAAAGACATCGGCTCCTGTGTTGGAGAGCCCTCAATGGCCAATATGTCAACCTTTTGTATGGTCTCATGTTCATCCGCCAAAAGCGAAAGTCACAGTTTCCATATAGCAACGGGAAACCCCAGGCAGATGCTTCCTTCCAGATTTCAAAATCCGCACAACGTATGTGCAACACTCGCCCTATGTGAGGTAGTCAAGCCAAATGGTTACTCGACGGTGAAGATGAAGTGAGCTGTGAGTTAGACTCAGCTAACTGTATAGGTAGTTGAAGGACAGAGCACGTCGGCACCACATGCCTAGCACGCTAAGACCAAGTCCGTACAACATTCTGAAATATGGAGTTGGCGACGAGTTCATGACTGTGGCCGAGAAACTGTGGCTTATGTGGCCTGGCATGAGTGATGCCGAGACGAAGTCTTGGGTCAACGATAGAGAGCAGAGTTGGTCCCCACCACAGCAGCCCATGGCGGCACTTCTGAAAGAAGGAGATACACTGATTATGCCTGCCGGATTAGTACATTCCGTCCTCACCCTCAAGGGGTCCCCAATGACGGGCACGAAAATGTGGCACATCCCGTCGTCATGGGAGTTTCGCACACGAACGCCGCCCTCATCAAGTTGCGAAACTCAGAGACGTTCCGCTGTTCCCTACACAGACTCAGCTCGAGTTGTAATTTCCGGCCACTCTCATGCCAATAATGAGCCAATAAAATTCTGGCATCAAGGGAGGCGCCCTTTTCAGATACCCCCCAGCTTGTTTCGAACTATAGTCCGCCGCTTTGCTACTCTCCGGCCCCATCGTCCTCATTGTGGGCTTGTAGATGTTCCCTCGCCTCTTTAAATCTGGTTCGACAAGACTCCAGGTCCTTGTTGACCAGAGATTTCAAGACCATATCGAAGGTAGTGATAGATTCCTTATATTTATATGAGACCTAGCGAGCAGTATTAACGCCAAGGAAGAGGTCGGATCTAGCGTGGAAGAGGTTCCGGTACCCCAACGAGTTGAGTACCTAACGCCTTAATAGCCTTCCTATAGGTGCGCTCGTCGAAAGGCGTTGTTGTATCTGTGGGGACACACACAAAGGATTTCTCGAAATTCTTGCCTCAGACTAACTAAAGACGCGACCAGCGCTCGCCTCTCTAAAGGCACCGAGGTTCGAAGGCGTTAGCCTCTGGCTAGCCACTGCAGTGGCCAGGCCGTGCCTGCCACAGTTGTCCGCTCCTTTGAGGGCTGATTGTCCTTGGCATCTGTCACCTCTTCCTGGAATGCCTCCAGAAGTATAAACAATAAATGGGATATCAATTGTCGACGCTCGCTAAGGCTCAGGGCAGCGCCTCTCACCGCCGAAAGACAGAGGCAACAGGAGAAGAAAGCGCCGAAAATCGAATAAGAACAGCATATCAAAGGCGGTCGCTTTTGCAAGAAGACGACGGCGCACCGGGCGCGAGCACGTGCCAGCCCCGGACCGCAGGTGGGTTGGACACAGCAATTCAAGGCGAATAGTATATATTATATGAGAAGACACGGCAGAGATTTTCATCCCTCCTCAGCTTCGAGATCAGCCTCACCCATCCGTTGAACGTTGCGAATAATAACGCCAGCATCCTTGACGCGAGCAGAGACCGTGCGGTACACCAAATGCAAATCGATGATGATGTCGAAGAATGGCGGTCGGGAGTCCGCTGAATACAAGTCGGGGAATAGTTGTCGTATCCTACTATCCCCAAAAGGGCTGTTGGAGGTGGAGTGTCTTACTGGGTCAGGAAGTACGCTAGCCAGATCTGACAACCATTGGCCCATCCGGAGGGTCTCTACAAGCATGGACGGAATGATGAGATGGCAAAGGTGGTCGACAATCGGCCGAAAGAGCGTGAAGGACATATCTGCTCAGGGGATACGCCTAGCTTGCAATTTGCATGAACCCTTATTGTCCCCTTCAGATCAGTCCCTTGGCTTCTTCAGACACGTAACCCAAATCGAGCACGTGAGTGACTAACTACTTCCCATCCATACCAATAACGGCTCCCCTCCCCTTGAAGTAATGTCTTGCGTCCGTGTTCTCCAAAGCGTAGCAAGGGTGGATATATCAGACCTTGGATGGCTCTGTTGAGGTGCTCTCCACCTGCACCGCGCCGCCCTTGTCCTCCATGACCGCATTCTCGACCGCGAGATCGGTCTCGGTCAGCAAGACGACCTTGTCACCAAAGGCGGCGGCGATCTCTTCGAGAGTCTTCTTCTTTGTTTCTCTGGGAAGCATGGGGAGACTAGGTCAGCGAGACGTGGCCAGCGGATAGAAGGGACGAGGGCAGGGGTTGGAGCCGAGACCCCCGAATTGTCTTCTTTAGTAGCTGAGGGCGGTGGAATTGGAGGACTTACGGGAAGTAAAAGTAGGCCACGACAAGGAAGAAGAAGGAGCATCCGACGAAGACGTAGTAGTAGTTCTGGCTCGGACAGACGGATAGATTAGTCTAGAACCAAAAGATAAAGGGTTGAAGAAAAAAGAAGGGGTCTCGGTGGAAGGGGTGGATTCCCTTGACAGAAGAGGTCGACAACTCACCTCTTTGATATTGGCGAACGCCGATGGTCCGGCCTCGGTGACTGTAGAGAGTTGAAGAAAGCGTGGTTAGCTATTCTGTTCAATTCATTCTCTCCCTTATACAAATTTCGCCGGCATCCGCGATGGGTGCGAAGAGGGTTGATTTGCGAGCTTCAGGCCACGGAAGCTCCTTTTTTCATGTGGTGGAAATTAATACTTACTCCCGACATTGACGATGAAGTGCGACGCGGCCGCTAGACCCATCACTTTCGACCGTAGAGCAACAGGAAGCACCTCTGATCCGTACAGCCAAGTCGTGGAATTGAGTAGGCCATCTTTGAGTGTTGTCAGCATGGGAAAGACGAAGGGGGACTGAAAAGAACGGGGTGTGCGACGACGGGCAACTCAAAAGCCACCTACAGTAGGTCACCACAAACAAGTAGATGCCCAGAATAGCAAAGCCCTTGCCGACCTTGTTGGTTGTGTTTTGAAACTCGCGCTGCATGACGGCCGTGTATATCTCGATCAACACGATGCCCGAGAGCCCGGCAAGCATCATCCTGTGTGAGCAAAGTTTAGTGCCCGGTAAAACAGGGTTGAAGATTTTGCAAAGGCAGGGATTTTGTAAGGGTAATCAGTAATCAAGCAGGTAACAGGAGTGGTGAAGAGAACAAGGGACTCATAGAAGGGCTTCAAATCAGGACATGACTGGTTGGACATTTGTAAAAAGCGGGGACAAGGTGTGGACTGTACTTTCGACGACCCCATCGATCGGTCATGAAGATCGTAGTGAGAACATTTGAGCTAAATGCGAGTGTGCCGTATATGGAGGCGAGGGCCAGTATCATGTGGCTGTTGATTCCGAGGGATTTGAACAGGATTGCTGGGAATGGCCACGCGTGTTAGCTAAGCGTAATCGGAGGATGCTTTTTCGGTTCTCCTTGAAAGAAGAGGTAAAGAAGGGAGACTGGAAGCAGGAATGGTCTTACTTTGGTAGTACTATTGTAGGGAATATGGTTAGCCTAACGATGGCCCACGTTCGTGGCGGTCTGGCGCGGAGAGGAAAAGCGTACCTGAATGACATTGACACCAGTGAGACTGGTCATGGTCTGCACTGCTATCGATCTGTGTGGAAGCGGTCAGCATCGTTCTGGGTCGTCAACAGCAGATGGCAAGGAGAGTTGACCATACGTAAGAGCTCTGTGTCTGAACAGCTTAAAGACCTCCTGCAGACTCTTGACCTCTCTCTGTTGTTCGAACTCGATCTGGCGCCGCATGAGTACAAACTCCTCGTGCACTTCGTGGTTCGTGAGATCTTTCCTGATCCTCATGAACTCGCGGCGTGCTTCGTCTATCTTGCCGTTGCGGATCAATTGACGGGGAGAGTTTGGCATAAAGGTCGCTAGACCGATGAACAGTAGAATGCCGAAAGGAATCTGAATGCCCAGTGGAAGTCGCCATTGAACAGGGCCGTATGGAGCATAGCTGCATGCAAATCCGACCCAGTTGGAGGCCATTGTCCCGAGGGATATCCCACATCCTGAGATACCCCCAATCAGGCCGCGGACGTTGGGAGCAGCGATTTCGGATAAATAGATGGGAACTGTTGCAACCATCCCTCTTCATTGCTGGTCAGTTTTGGTTCTGAGAAAGGGCGGGACAACGGTCGTCAGTATTGCATGATACTCACCCGACAGCATATCCAGCCAGCACACGACCAGCCAGGAACATGCCAATGCTTTGAGAAGCAGTCTGAATAATGGTGCCGATGGTGACAATCACGGACATCAACTGCAAGAAGCGAATTCGACCGAGAGCGTCACCGATGAAAGTTTGGGTCAAAGCTCCGCCTGCCTCGCCAGCGATGTATACAGAAACCACCTGTCACGATTTAGGAGCTTTGTCACGGGCAAAAGGACTTGTTAAAGCGCAACATACGGCCCCGGTGAGTCCCTTGGATGGTTTGTCCATGTAGTCTATCCAGCTTTGGTGTGCGATTGCTGATAGCCTGACTTAGTAACTTTGTGTAATATCGCACCATTTCCCACTCACTCGTCGTAGCAATGCCGGTATCAAAGCCCTATTCGCGCCCATAGTCAGTGGTTGGTCGATCGCAATCAGGGCGCGGACGAGGCATACAAACACAAACGTGCCAATAGCTGCAAAGGACGAAATCCCGAGCGTATACCACATTGTCCCCGTCATGTTGGGCCACAGTTGAGGAATTCAGTCAACGAAACGGCGATACACCCAGGAGGATAGAAGTGAAAAGATCCAGCACACGATGCTGGGCAAAGATCAAGGGGGAATACCCACGACATTTAGAAATGATCAGCATTCTCACTCTCTGCATCGATCATTTGCCGTCGGCTCCCACGCCGACGGAATCTGTCTATCATTTCTTGCCCATTCGCCGAAGGTGTGGAGGAAACAGAAGCCATGCATCATGCTCGGTCGAACGTAAAGCGAAGCCAAGAACCTATTGGCACGCTCAGGAGGCGTAAAATGCGCCTACTGCCTCCAGGATTGAAAGTAGCAAGCGTCAACTGGGCATAGCTTGCGGCAGGTCAGGCGACCACGAGACACAGGAGACTTGTTGCTGCTGCTGCACAGGGAAGGGCAAGCAACGGCGTCTTCACCGGGCACTCGCCGTCCTGCTGCAGGAGGGGCATGTTCCTGGCAGACATCTCCGGCACGACCTTCTATTGGCCTCCACGAACCTGGGGACTCTGGAGTTTGTGGGGGTTGTGGGGGTTGGAAGGCACATGGCTTATTGCTTATTAGCTGTCGCGATGGGTGATAGAAAGACCAAAGACCGTTGGAAGCCGATCGAGCGGAACGGGACCGCCTTTTCGGTACAATGACGGAGCGATCAGGTCGACGCCAAAACTCTCCCTCGGTGTGGAAAGTATCGTGGCACCCCATTCAGTCAGCCTTGTTATTTAGCTGCTCTTGAAACCAGCTCGCCAGGTATGCCACCCTCGTGTTCTCCGTAATCTTCATGCTCTTCCTTTTGGTATATCCGTGTTGAACCTGCTGGACCTTTTTGTCTAACCCAGAATGTTGAAATGCTCTGGTGACAACAAAATGCTCCCGTCAGCAACCCAAGTATGTATGTATATCAAGCGCACGTCAAGGAAAAGGCTCCCCTCCACACCCGCACACACGAGACCAGACCGCCTCACGGCTCCCCCCAGATCTCATCTGCGATTTGCCTGATCAACTTCAACTTGTTCTCTTGATCCTCTTGGCTCAAGGGGTACCCGCTCTCATGAGTGCTGAACCCGCACTGGGGAGAGATTCCAATTCTCTTGAGAGCTTCTTCCCTCGATTGATTCGATCCCTCGGCGACGTACTCCGCCGCCTTATAAATTCTTTGTTTCATTTCTTCCTTGTCTTCCAATTTCCTCAGCTTCGTACTGATGCAACCGATGATCACGTTCTTGTTCTTCGGCAGGTGTTTCAGGGGTTCAAATCCACCCGCCCGTTCAGTGTCGTATTCCAGGTAGAAGGTGTTGACATTGAGATTTTGGAACAGTTTGCTGGCTATGATGTCGTACGCTCCCTCTGCAAAATGCCGCCCGCCGATAAAATTTCCCCGGCACAAGTGGACACCGGTGTGCATATCGGGTGGACACTTGCATATCGAGTCGTTATAGAGATTGATGTAGGCGTCAAGAAGGTCATCGACGGAGCCGATGTTGTCGGAATCCTGTGCCCAGCCATCTCGGAATTGCTTAGAGCAAAAGTCTTTTTGGCACACCATGATCAGTGGTTTATGTTGGCAAGTACGACACACGCAGAGGATACTTACATGCCAGATTCGGGTCGTCGAATTGGACATTTCTCAGACCAGCTTCATAGAGAACCTCAAGCTCTTTTGAATAGGCCGCCGCAACGTCCTTGAAGTACTCGGCATCGTTCTTGTATGCTTCCGGCGTGTATGCGCGTCCTTGTTTGTACCGCATGTGGAACCACTTCAGGGTTGGGATGATCAGTTATGACAACCTGGGAGCGAACCACGTCACCGGGTATGTGCTGGAAGACTTACAGACGGTGTAATCATGGTGAGCTTGATATTGCCCCAATCTTCCTTCGGGACAAAAGCCTGTACCAGCCGCAGCTCGTGGAGATTTGACTCTGTGCCGGCATGTCTGATCTTGGCACCAGCAATCACACTGTCCCCAGGCATGACTTTTCGATCCTTCTCGATCAAAGAGACCACATCGGGGTGATACAGGCGAAACATGCTCGCCTCGGCATCCTGTAGGCGCTTGGTGCCTTCCAGCTCATCCCAGAACAATCCCCAGAAGCGTGTTCGGCTGTATTCGCCCGAGGTGACGGCTTTGAAGCCCAACGAGAGCTGCGTCTTGACGATCTCTCCAATGGACTCCTTCTCAACGGCAGGAAGACCTGCTTCTTCTGGGGAGAGGTTTTTGTCCCGTATGGCGGCCCGGACATCGAGGAGCTTTTGGGGGCGAAGCAGTGATCCCATTTGCTCTGCCCGGAAAGGGGGCGCCCGGTGCAATGTGAAGTCAGCCATGTTGTTGTGATGTAGCGGAATACCTGAGTCGTCAATGAGATATAAAATAATGCAGAAACGAGCTGAATGGAAAACGTCAGAGCAGAAATGTGAATCCTTCATGATTGCCAAGCCTCCCGCAGCCCCGCCATGCAACAGAATTTTCCCCGCAAACCTTAAACTAGGCTTGAGGGCCTTTGACCAAAGCACAGCGCCGCTTCCCAGTTGTCTAGAGAGGATCAGCAGAGACATGGGGCCGGAACCATTGCACGGTCGACTGAGGAGCCAGCGAGAGATGTTGTCTTCCTGCTTGTTGGCTACTTGGGTGGTATCATCAGATGGCAATTGTTGTAGCTAGAAGTGAGTCTTGCTGTTTCCGGACCAATGCGCTATTGGTATAGTTGTAACGCAACCTCATTCTTGGTTGGCACCCTTCTATGGTCATATCGATGAGCAAACAAACAGCCTGACACTCAATATTATGACCATGATTCAAGTGTGGTTGGCGTACAAACAGGCCTCCCCCCACGGAATCGTCAGCTCCAGCGTCGTGGACAACTCACGAGGCTACCACCCCTTTTTCCTTCTTCCCTCTTCCCTCCCATCTCACATCCCATCAAGCACATCGACCACTCTTCACGCTTCACCCACACCTCCACTCCTCCAGCACAGAAGAGGAACAATCCATCCGGCCATCCCCTCCCAGTGGTGCGGGCTCACAATACGCGTAGAACGCCCATCCATCCCCGCCGGCATGCTCCTGCAGCTGGAACTCGCTGGCCTCTCCGCAGTGCTGGAGTCGATATGTAGCCACATCATCGTCGCCGTCCTCGTCTCCAGCGACGTCGAATTCGACGCCACACTCAGACGACCCGTACGGGGAAATCAGGACCGGGTTGCATGGTTGGGACCCCGTGAGCCAGGCGTAGTTGTTGAGCGTGTCGTGGCCGAGCGAGATTGTCGCCGCGGTGGGGACGAGATGGTTCGTCATGGCTACGAGAAAAGTCACGGTGAAGGAGGTTGAGGATTTCATGCTTGGAAACGGGGTTGATCGACCTCCTAGAACTCATACGAAAGAAAGAACGATGGGAATGTCATTTGATATGGCTGATTCTGCCCGCTTGAAACCGAGTGCCACTCCACCCTGACCAGCCTTTTTATATCCAGCATGCTCTTAGGAAGAAATCTCCCTACCGTATGACTCTCCATCGAGGCAGGGCAGTCACTTGGTCTTGGCTGCACCTTGTTGGGTCAGCTTACAATGATCAGGCCTTTCTGAACGTTCTGGCAAGAGGCTGAGGTCAGCCTTGGGGAGCCTCAATGGCATCTTTGCAGCCAGAGAAGACATGGCCGCGAATGGAACAGCACAAGCAGCGGTGGTGCCAGGACTGTGGTTAACGCGATTCAAGACATTAAGAAACGAACTTTTGCAGTCTATTGATGGTACACATTCATCGAATCAGGAACAAGGCAGAAAAACCTGATGCATCTGCTGCTTCCAAATAGCTCCCTTCGATGCCTCGAAGTTACGCTCCCGACTTGGGACAAATTAATGGCGCCCTACAAGGCGTCTTACTCCCACGGCGCATTTGTGTCCTCTTGTCCTCGTAATACCACGGATGGGCGATTCCTCGTTCGGTCTCCCTGGCCCGAACCACACAAAAATACTGGCTGTTGGCCGTCATATTATTCACCAGTCCCAGAAACCGAAAGAAATGGCACCTTCGACGTAGAGGACAACATTCGAGCAATCACCATGCCAAGGGGACGAATCCCTCTCTCCACTGTCGATCAGATCCGATGTTTCTCGCTCTCTGTTATGCGGTTAGTTTGTACACGAAATAAAGGTAGCAGCTTCAGTCATGGACTTACCCAGCCTCGAATAAAGCATGTACAATGCCATCTGGTTGCATTCTTGCGTTCCGGTAATGGTGACTAATCTTTCATTGCTGTTGTCCTGTGGCTCATTGATCTTGATGACACTTCCACTGAGATGCCGAATCTCATTGATCTTCGCGCCACCTTTGCCAATGATCGCACCGACCATGTCGTTGGGAATGAAGATCTGCTGAGTGATTGGTTGTCCTGGCATCCCGTGCGCTGGTTGCGCCGGTTGTCCATGAGCGGCGGGCTGAGGTGGCATTTGGCCATACGCTGCCGGTTGCTGTGGGCCGACTCCATAGCTTGGAGTCCGTGGCGTCGTTGCTGCGTAAGGCTGAGCAAACGGAGGATACGGCTGTTGGGGAGTACCGTGCATCTGCGGTGCGCCATAGGGCTGAGGAGGCACTCGTTGTGGAGGATGCGTATTGTGCCTCTTGTACATGTCCGGATGGCCGTACTGACCGCCGGCTGGCTGAGGAACATATGGCACAACCTGCATTCCACCAGGGACGACTCCTGCCGGACCACCACTTCTTGTGGCATAGGCGGACGCGGCAGGGCCACCAAAACGTTCCGTCAATTGCTCAACCAATGTAACGGCAATATAGTATGTGGCAATGTGAACAGCATCAGCAACGCCCAGGACGACGAGAGAGCGCTCGGTGGAAAGAGGCAGGCACGAATCTGAAGCGTTGAGGCGAGCGCCAGAGGCTTCCTGAATTTCTCGGATGCGCACACCGGATTTCCCAATGATAGAGCCGATCAAGATGTGCGGAATCAGGAGTCGCAGTGGGTAAGTCTTTGATTGCGCAGTCGACGGAGCTTCGAGGGGCTCGTTATTTAGAGTGCGAATGATGAGGCCGAAAGCCTTTGCGACGGCATCTTGAGCACCACTAACAGTCAAGATGCGCTCAACAGCCCCCCTTGAGTAATCGCTCACAGTGCACTTGGCACCAGAAAGTCTTCTGATTTGGGTGACATTCTCGCCCCCTTTTCCAATACAGGTTGCGGCTTCTGCACTGGAAATGACTGCACGAATATGAATCCAGTTTGTCTCGTCCTGCGGCGGCATAGATGGAGCCTGAGACGTGGCTCGATCGTTTTCGGAACCCGCATTTTGCGACTGTGTCTCGGGTAAGGGAGCGGCTGGTGCGCCCTTGGTTCCCACTGCTGTAGCACCATCAACATGACCTTCTGTCGATCCGTTTGTCACAGGTGCCGGTAGTGGGTGCTTTTCGGTGGGCTTGAGGCCTTCGGCTGATCCGGTGCTAGGAGGAGCTGATCCCTCAGCCACAGCATCTTCTCTGACCACCTTGTCTAGCGCTGGCCGCTTCGCGTCTGGCAGGTCAGTCGGGGCCGAAGGAGAAGAGGGATCTTCCAAAGGCCGTTTTGCTGAAGACATGGCGTGGGAGGTGGGTGAGGCAGACATATCGCGTACTTGGATGGGTCACCCGGGGAGACAGTGTGTGGTCAAATTTTTCTTATTATTGTTCTGTGGGGTATATCTCTTTTTATGTACACCAAGGGGCGGTCGAAGGAAAACTTGCTGGTGTAAGGGAGATGATCGAACTGCGAACGCGAGAGCGAAATGCCAGGGATAGGATTGTGTGTGTGAATGAGGATGACTTCAGAATTCGTGCTGGGGTTGGTTGAAAACTGGAGAGATATGCTGCGTACTCTGCAATGGTTCGATGAGGTGCAAGAAAGTGCGTATGGAGGTGAAACTGAGGGCGGAAGTGCGAGATGTTCAACGGAAGAGTCGTAGAGGAGGAGACAGTGATGGTGCTGGTGGATGAGGAGGTGTGTGTGAGGGTGGATTTGACTAAAGCAACGCCTTTGAAGATGATCTTGATCCTCTGTCCTTCCCGTATCTAGCAGAAGGGTGAATCTGTACTTAACTCAGACGCCCACGATCGTTGGAGGAAGGACGAGACGGAATGAGATGCAGGGTTGGAATCGGAATGACGGGCAGTGACACTTTTGACAGATTCCGCAGCACAAGGAGAGAGGAGCTTGAAAAGCGCAGGTAGAGACCGTAGGAGAATTCAGGTTGTAGAGGGTCGGGGAGGGCACCGCGACGCGGAAACACACAAGGACGGTCGAAGGGTGGTTTCTGGGAAGAGGAAGAAGAAGAGGCTAAAAGGATGAGGAGATCCCAGATGAATGGAGGGTTTGAAGTTGGAATGATTTAGGGACGATCGACGCCTCCTTAAGATGCAGAGGTTGCAAGCTTGACCAAGGGAAATGGGGGCGATGGCGTATGGCGTATGGCGTGCGGCGTGTGTGTGCGCTGGGGGCAAGCGAGGTGCGAAGATGAACAAACAATTTCGATGCGCGAGAGGGGAACCTTACAAGTTAGTTCAAGTCACACTCGCCGAGTTTGATTGCAGTGCCAAGCCACGGCACCAACGGTCCATCGCGTTCCTCTCACGTGACATCGGACGTTGACTCTTCCCCACCACCGAGCCACGTACCCTACCTACCTACCTACCTACCTAGGTACCTAGGTACCTAGGTAGGTACATAGGTATTAATACTCAAGTCAATATCAATGTTGGGATTTCCCAACTTTTGGCCGCTGCTACTTAAACCTTGCTGAATCTAGACCTGGTCCCGTATCATTTCCAAGACGGCAAGATCCTCCATTGCACAGATCCCTGATCCCGCTAATCTCACATAAGTATGAGGACTGAATCTCTCGTCCATTTCATCCCTTGACCACCTTTGCAAACCCCTTTTGTTTCTCTTCCAAGACTTCCTTCAACATGTTGGCAACGTCCTTGCGACGACGCGCCTTGGCCTGCCATCGTTGCTTATCTTCTGCCGATATCATGGTCAACCCTCCATTTTGACTTGTCCGGAAACCTCGAGCTGGACGCGTGCTACTACCAAATTTGGAGTCTGGTGTATGGTAGACGCTGCCTGCACTTCCCGGCGTCGTCGGGCTCCTCGTCTGTCGGCCAAGCGGGGGAGTGCTTGGAGCTCCACTGGATATGTCGCCATTGCTGATCAGTGACGTTCCTGAAGACAGACCCATCTTTTTGAGCTGCGCTTCGAGGACGTCGATATCTGCACTCTTCTGTTCCGCCATAGACATCATCTTTTCCACAGTTTTCTTCACAGCTTCCACGGTTGGTTTCTTCCGTGAAGACCCTCGTCCCAGAGCCCCTGTTGTTTGACCCGAGCCATCGGCTGGCGCTAATTGAGCAAGCTTCGCTCGAAGGACGGAGAGCCCGTCTTCGATCTGAACAATCTGCGTCTGCACACAGGTAAAAGACTTGCGAAGATCATGCTGGATAGAAGTCTGCTCAGCGGAAAGAGGTGCGCTCACTGCACCGTCGGCAGCCGACAGACTATGCAAGGTCTTACGTACGGACATGAGCTTGTTCCTCAAGTCGAACACCTCTCGCTTCATCAGAGCCTGGGCCTCTTCAGATTTCTCGATGTACTCCCCAATGCGGCAGTCGGCAAGCATATCGGAAAGCACTGCATATCCTTCATGCAATCTCGCAATATCCGTCAAAAGTAGCTCGTCGTTCAGAGCGTCCACTGGCGTCTCGGATTTGAGCACTGCTGGCCATGACTGATTGGTTGCTTCGGGTTGCTGGTATTGCAGGAATGCTGATAGCGAGCGACAATTGATTCCCAGGGTGTATACCATCGAATTGATATCTGAGTAAAGCCGCTCGATCTGTGCTGGTATGCCAGTCTTTTGTGTCTCTTCGGGGGCCCGCGGTTGATAAGTGACGAAATCGTCCAGCGTTTCCGACGGCGTGATAGGTCTCTCCAGCTCCTGGCGCAATCTCTCATCCTCGTCATCCTCGAGCGGTGCCAGCTCCTCAGCTTCCGCTTGCGCCTTTTCTCGCGCAATAGCCTCGCGGCGAGCCTTCTCTTTGGCCGCCTCTTCCTCTCTTGTCCTCGCTGCCTGGGCGGCCAGTCCAGATTTCTGGTACTCAGCCTTTCGTTGGTCGATGACGGACCGAGGATGCGCCGGTGCACTAACCGACCTGGAGGCATCTGCTCGAAGACCTTCGATTGAGAAGGCCTGTCTAACAGGGCTTGGCGACCGTGGGCTTTCTTGTGGTTTGGGTGGTGCGAAAACAGGTGCAGTACCAACCTCGCCAAATAGCGGTCTGGCAGGCTTGGGTGCTATGGAGGCTGAAGTAACCTTCGTAAATAACCCACCTGTGGGACTTGTTTCCGGACTTCTATCGCCACTCTTGAATGAGCTCTCCGGCGACGTCTCTAAATGCTCTGTTTGCTCCTCTGGACTCTCGTCTTCGACTTCCTCTTCTTCCTCGTCCTCGAATCCAGAGCTGAAGTCGTCTTCGTCGTCATCCGGTAGCTCTGGGTTGGCGTCTTCCACTTGGCTTGCTTTAGGCACAGGGAGGAAATCTGGCGGCAGGGGTGCATCATCTGGTGGCGTTTTCGATGTATTCGACGAAGCAGAAGTCTCACCCGATGCATATCGTGGTTTGCTGACAGTATCAGGAGGCAGAGGTGCCTCGGGAATACTCTTGAGATCGACAGACTCGTCTTCATTCGCGGGTTCCTTCTTGATATCTGGTGGCGGTTCTACAGAACCGAAAGTAGGTGCTGGAACGCTCTTTTGCACGGCGGCTGGTGTTTCTTGAGTTGTGGGTTTCGTGCCAAACATGGCCATATGAGATGGCTTTGGGGTTTCTTTGGGAGTTGTGGAGGACAAGCCGTCGAAGGACCAACCTGGGGTAGTGTTTTGAGCCAATGGAGTTGTGCTATCATTTTGTGGTGGTCCAAATAGGGTGGAAACAGCCGGCACAGGCGTAGTTTTGGGTTGCATGAGGGTGGAAGGTGGTGTGACCGATGTCTGAGGAGGGTTTGCTGAGGTCTGTGGTGGGTATCTCTCGGGCGATGTACCCTGGATTGTGTCGGATTCAGCCTCGCTCGCTTCGCTTTCCTCGTCCATTTCCTCTTCCTTGTTGTGAGTGGGCGACAATGCGGGCTTAGTGTCGTTTAGTATATCACCAAAAGAGGATCCGAAGCTAAAACCACCAAGTTCTTTGGGCGGCGGAAGGTCATCTTTCGCCGTTCCATCCCCTTGGAATGATGACTGCAACTTGAAAGCATTTGCCGATCCGAAAGAGTTGAAGGCATTATCGGCTTTCTTGGATGCAAAGGGTGATTCTTGGGGTTTCTTGGAGCTGAATGTGTTTCCTGATGTTTGTGCGAAGGGACTCGTCCCGCTCGCTGCACCAAAGGGGCTTTGGCTGCCTTGTCCCGTGGCCCCTCCCGCAAAAGAAGCAAATCCTCCTCCCTTCGAGAACGAGGCAAAGCCTGAGCTGGTTGAGTCACCCCCTGCTTTTGCAAAAGGACTAGAGGTTGAAGCGGTACCAAAGCCCGAAGTCTGACCGAATGCAGGAGTTCCACCAATAGCTGAGGGTTGTCCAAAAGCCGACGTTCGACTTCCCAAGGCACTTGCTGACCCAAACGCGGGAGCATTGGCGCCTCCCATGGGTGTGGCTGATCCAAATGCAGGCTGCCCGAAGGCCGGCGTCGAAGCTGCACCGGAAGTCGAGCCAAACCCTGTATTGGCCCATGAAGGTTTATCAGACGTTATCGGGGAAGAAGTTCCAAATGGTTTGGCAGAGGGGGCACCGAAGGGTGATGGGGCTGCAGGCGTGCCAAAGCCTCCGCTCGTATCCTGTCCGAAAGTACCGGCGGCACGTGGTCCACCAGCTGTAGAAGCCGCGGTGGCAGCCGGAGGGGGTGACGGGGTCGGAGCAGCAGGAGTTGCACCTTCCTTTGCAGCTTGCACAGACGAAAGACCGGAAAAGGTAGTCTTTGATCGGACTGACTCGTTGTTTATGACCCACCAGCCCACCAGAATGCCTTCATTGTTCAATATGAGCAGACATGGTACAGGTCCAGCAGTCTCTTCAATTTCCGGGTCTGACGGGATGGGGTTCGGAACCTTCTCAGAACTGGACAAGTCCACTACCATACCAATTGGAGAAGTATCCTCCATCGTTGCTGAAAGGGGAAGCTGGGCGCGCCTCGTATCATCTTCGATTGTGGTGAAAGTAAACGCCGAAACGACTGGATCTTCCTGTGACAAAGCCTGGTCTGACTTGGAAATCAGCCCGACGTCGGTAGCGGTCGTGGCAGTCACTATTAACAAGTCTTGAAGGGGCGGAAAATTCCTCAGTCTCGAGATGAAGTGGAAAGCAGGCAGTCTTGCCAGACCGAATGGTGGCAGAACCTCGGGCAGTTTCTGAAACGTGTAGTTTGTTTTAGTCCTCTGCACGATGTAGTACTCTGATGGCGGGATCTCATCGCCTGCTTGGTTGGGCGTATAGATAATGAAGAAGGTATCATTTTCGAGCCATGAGATGCCCGAGACATGAGAGTCTGCGGGAATGCTTGTTGACTTGGGAATGTTCGCAACAACAGTACCGTCCGGTTTCATCTGGATCGCCGTCCCGTCCGACATGCCTGCGACCAACTGCTTGCCTCTGTTACTCCATGACAGACAACTTGCGCCTCTTGTGAGCACATCGCCCTCGCTGCCAGATTTTATACCTCCGGCTTTCAAGTCAAGAAGCATCAGATCGCCATTTGCGGTGATGACAGCGAACAATTCCGCTGATTCCACGACTGGATTTGGCGCAATCATTCGGAGGTTCTGATTGTTGGTGGAGATCTCTAATGCAGGAGTAAAATTGCCCTTCTGCAAACTCTCAACCTGGAAGGCGACAATCCCCCCAGTCGTGGAGACGACAAGGACGCTCTCGTCACAAGAAAAAACGACATGAGAGACTCGTGGATATGGCAACTTGATCTCCGGCTGGAATTGCCGCGTCTGGCTCTTTTCAGGCGCTGGAGACTGGAAGGCTTCTCGAACCTTTGTCGTGGAGGTGATGTAGACCGCATCAGGCCCTGCGGCAGCTAACAAGCCTCTTACTGATGCGACACTGAGTAGCGACGACGAGGGAGGAGGAAGATCGTCCGTAGGCCATGGTGTTGGAAGGAGCCGCACTCTCGACTCGCCATTAAGCGCGGCGAATCCCAATTCATTTGTCTGAATTTCCTGTAATTCTGCCCCATCTTTGACAGTCACTCCAGGAGCACCAACAGCTGAGCCGCTTGACGCGACGTTCGAAAAACTAAACGCCATTCTTAGTCGCGGGAGCTCGGCCGATAACGACCGTCTTGCCTCAGTGGGTGAGAGGGGGGATGAGACATGCGTGTTGGATGGATTTCGTCTTGGGGTGGGTGTTGCAAAGGTAAAGGAATGTCGCAGGAGTGCCTTGGGCCTCCAAATAGATGGGGTTTTCTTGGGTTCAGCAATTTTGAGGGACAGTCATAGAGAGGTAGGCAACAGTCGAAATGCGGCACTCCTCCTGATGGCACAAACAGGCAGTGCGCAATTGTCGACCAGCACCGACGACAGCCTGCGCAAACCAAACATGAAAAGTCGCGACGGGGGCATTGCAGCATCGCGTTCGTGTGCAGAGCCGTAGGGTACGGTGAATCAATGAAACTGCGATTGTCGCCCTACTTTTCAACAACCCCAAGCTACTAGTACATGGCTACCTATGCGAGCTAGGTACTCGGTACCTTTGTAGAACCCAAGCTACCTTGTATGATACCCTCCCACGGCTGCCTCTGAGATCGCACTTTCCAGAGCCTGGTTGCTGACATGCATGACACTGCGAATCTGGTTGCGTTCACACTTGGAATAAGGTGAAAGTCCAAAATCGTTTCATGAGACTCCATATTCAGCACGGTGACCTGTTTCAATATCCTGGCAGCAGTGGGCATGCATACTAATGTGATGACCGGAACAGCAGCGAGCTTCCTGGTCTGCTCATGCCACGTCCATCTCCTCATGAATTTGGGTATATCTCAATAAAGGACCTCGTATTGCCTTCCAAAGATGTTTACCTTTGCTCATTTCCTTCGGAATTCCACTACCGCCTGCACAGTCTCTCGACTGTACCTTAACCTGTTCAGGACACCTAACAGTGAGCTGGAACATATGGACGGAGAAGGAATCCCACCTTCCAGCTTTTCTGACTCAGACACCTCACGTCGTGTATTGGCATGGATGCGGAGTATGATGCAAGCTCCTCGCAGGACTCTTCAAGCCACTGCCATGTGCATTGTCGTCGAACTCCAGCGGTCACATCTCCTACGCACTTTTGCCATGAACAACGAAGTTTATCGGAGTACGAGTAGACATCCACCGGAAGCTCAACTTTGAAGGGAGAAAAAGTCTAAAAATGAACCAAGTTCGCACTCCGGACACGAGGAGCTTTGGAGCGGTACCGTCGAGGTGGGTTTCGGTTCTACATGGACTAACCTCCCCAGGTTGAGGCCTCCTCGCGGGCTTGCCAATAACACGTGGGGCAGGCCTCCGGTGGCCAGAGGGTGCTGTTCTCGCCCGATGGGACAATTCCTGCGCACAATTTCCGCAGAAACCAATCGTCTGTTCACCACGCCGTCAATCTTGCCTTCAGCAACGCCCGTTTCTTGAGGGCGGTTTTTCTACCCGAGGATAATCGACAGCCACATGAAAGTTAAATAACCCGCCCTTAACTGTCATGGGTAGGTCACTATCAAGGCGATAATGGTCAACCATTACGAAGTACGTTCGCCAACGAGCAACTGGTGGATTCCCTAACTGTTTCGAGAATTCGACCTCGGTGATTCCCCCACAAACCCGGGGGATTCGAGACCTCATCGACTACTCCCCGCACTTCCACCGGCCCCAGCCCGAGGGTGAAATTTGAGCCACAACCAATGCTTATCGAATCCATGAACCTGGCTCTCGCTTCTCTCCTCGTCGCCACCCTTCTGTCTTGAGTTTAGATGGTTGGATTGATATTACACGTCTGCTCTCCCACGCCTAGCCTAGGCCACTTCTCAAAGTTCGACCAAGAAAGCATGTTATCATATCCAATCAAAACCACTGGATCTCTCCTCAAGAGGACTAGATGGCTGGTGTTTTGTGACAGATGGTCTCTGTCTATTTCTCGTAACTCGGAGACCAATGCAGACCACTCGAGATGGTCTGGCTTGTCCTGAAATCCGGAGCTTGCCATCAGCACGCCTGACGCGTGATATAAAGCTCCCCCGTGGTGCCAGGATCGAGCCAGGCGGCTCTCCGTTCTCTCTATCTTCTAGTACAAAGGCGGGTTCTCGCAGAAGAATCACGCAGTCTCGAGTTGGATATCCACGTTTCATAAGCGCTTTCTCCCACGATGGGGAAACTCATTCCCAATGCCTTTAACCTGGCAGTCGTCATCTTTGTCGCGCTGGGTTCGACATCCTGTTCCTATGGAATGGCCATCATCGGGTAAGGACCCGCTCACTTGATTTCAATTGAGTCACCATCCTAACACAGAGTCAGCTCTACTATAGGACAACCCAGCTTCTACAGATCTCTCCACCTTGCTCCTGACGGCGAGCCCGGCTACAGTCGCACCACTCAATATATCGGTGCTTTCAATGGTAAGACTATCAAACTTGCGTGCAGGAAGAGAAAACGTTCTGATGATCCGTTTGCCTAGGTGTAAACTCTGCGGGATCTGCCATCGGCGCAGCGGCCTGTGCTTATTGTGCCGACAAATTTAGTCGCAAGCACACCATCCAGGTGGCAGCAGTAATTCTTACTATTGGGGCAGCTATTTGCGCAGGTGCCGTGGACAATGCCATGTTCTTGGTCGGTCGTGTCATCAATGGCCTGGGTGTAAGTCTCTGGGGATCCTATGACGGCACTGCAACAGCTTCATCATGCTCGCCTTGCCTCAATGCTGTTGATCGTGCTAACCACATTATAGATCGGTGCTTTGGTGACTGCGATCCCCATGTACCAGGCCGAGGTGTCAACACCAGAAAGTCGCGGCTTCATGGTCTCGATGCATGTAAGCACTCGTCAAACCGCTAGGCCGCTTTCCAGCCACTTACGATCCACAGGGAGTCATGTTCGCAATGGGCTACACTCTTTCCGGTTTCATCGGCTTTGGAGTATACTTCATATCGGCAAGCGGATCGCAATCATCATTCCCATGGCGGTTCCCCATCGCATTCCAGATGGTCCCGGCTCTCCTCCTGCTCGCGGGCTCTCCCTGGCTACCATACAGTCCCCGCTGGCTCATGATGCACAAGCGCTATGACGAAGCCCATGAAGTGATCAAGCGTCTGCATAGGTCAAAAGAAGACCCTCATGACTCTCTTGCCCGCAAGGAGTACTATCAAATGAAGAAGCAAGTTGAGTTAGACCACCAGATCAAAGCCACAACTTCCAAGTGGGAAGTCTTCAAGACGGCACCAAATAGGAGACGAGCTCTCGTGGGTTTCATGCTCATGTGGAACAATCAATTCACGGGCGTCTTGATCATCGCAAACTATGGGGTTATTCTTTACACCCAACTCGGCATGACGGGGTTCTGGCCACTGCTGCTCAGTGCCTTGTGGGTCTTGTCGACAGTAAGTTTCCCTTGTCTTCGAGGGACTCGTCTATTCCCACACGTTGGGTGGTCTCTGCGTAATGGCACATGCTAATGGAATTGCTACAGTTCCCTGGGAACATCTTCTGTGCTTTCTTCGTCGAAAAATTCGGCCGACGGAGGTTCATGCTGATCGGATTGAGTGGTATTCTTGTCAGTCTGATCTGTGAAATTGCCATTCAGGCAACCTACTTGGGCTCCACCAACCATGTGGCTCTGGATTTCGGAGTCTTCTTCATATTCTTGGTAAGTTCTTTGTCACCAGTCGCTCAATGAGAAACAGCCATAAATCCGAATCCAGCACCCTGCATTCACCGTCTGTCCCTGTATCTGACTGACGTCTAATTTGTAGTTCATCACACCTTTTTGGTCGACTTTCATGGATGCCAGCCAGTTCCTCTATGTGTAAGTTTTGCTCAGTTGAGGGATCACAAAGTGGTGTCAATCCTCGGTACTAACGTGAGATGAAAGGTCTGAAATCTTTCCGACGCATATCCGCAGCCAGGGTATGGCTGTCGGTATGTGCGGTCTCTATCTGGCAGACATCATCCTGCTCGTAGCAGGTCCGATCGCGCTGAACAATATCGGCTGGAAATTCTTCCTGGTTTTGATCATCCCTACGGCTTTCCACATTGCCTTCGTCTACTTCATGTGCCCTGAAACCAAGGGCCGAAGCTTGGTACGCTCGAACACGATGAATTGCATACCTGGACACCTGCTGATACCTATTCTAGGAAGACATCAATGCCCAATTTGGCGAGCAGGTTGCTATCCACTTCTATGGCGCCACCGACGCCGAAAAGGAGGAGATGGAAAGAGCTGCACAACAAGATGAGGAAGAAGAACTCCGCAAACGTGGCTCAATGGGTGAAAAGGCTACCGGTGTACAAGAGCACGAGCTTGTGGAACCGAAGGCCTAAACAGTCTGGGTGTAAGCTGGATCTAAGCTGTGTTTGATGTCTGTTGGACGAAATTTCTGCCAAAGCTCTCGCTGCTTCGTCCAGCAAGGTCTCAAACGGCCCAGAAGCCAACGTAGAGAACAAAGTAGACGTGGATCTAGATGATTAGGTAGATAGCGGGAGAAAACAAGAATACAGGGCTGTCTGGTGTCCCGACCGAAGTGGGTTAGCATTGACATCCCTGTTAAAGCAGCGGATTCTCGCGCTGCCGCGTCCTCAAGTATTGCGCATCACGAAAGCTGCCTTCAGGTTCCGCTGCAGACCAGCGTTCAATTGTCCCTTCTAGCTTCTCCCTTGCACACAACATATCTCTGCTTCAACACTCAGATCAGACATCATAATTTCATCGTCGTGCCCTCACATCAGCGTCAATACGTGCAAACTCTGTCCTACCGAACTCGGTGGTTTCTCAACAGGTACTATCCTCAGTCAAGGCTCTGCGCCTCTGCCGCGAAGATGCCCGGCTTCGACTTTAGCAACTACAACCGCAACGCGGCTCTACATGCACGAGGGGTCCCATTACCAAAGGCAACCAGCACTGGGACAACTATTGTTGGGTGCATATTCGACAACGGTGTCGTGGTACGTGAACAATCCGATTCCACCAACTCGACATCAGATTGGATCAGGACTGACCAGCTGGATAGATCGCTGCAGACACCAGAGCAACGAGCGGACCTATCGTTGCGGACAAAGTACGAGCACACTTAACTGCGCCCCACGAAGCCTATGATATATTCTAACTTTGAGCAGAACTGCGAGAAGTTGCATTATATTTCGCCGAACATCTGGTGTGCTGGTGCCGGTACTGCAGCAGACACCGAATTCACCACCGCCCTCATCTCCTCCAACCTCGAACTACACTCCCTATCTACGGGCCGGACACCCCGAGTCGTCACTGTGATGACAATGCTAAAACAACACCTCTTCAGACACCAAGGCTACATCGGCGCATATCTTGTGGTTGCGGGCGTTGACCCTACCGGAGTGGGATTGTTCACTGTACACGCTCACGGATCGACAGACAAACTGCCCTACGTCACTATGGGCTCTGGTTCGCTTGCGGCCATGGCAGTCTTTGAGTCGACGTGGAAAAGGGACTGCAACCGAGAAGAGGCCATCAAAATCTGCTCGGAAGCGATTTTGGCGGGTATCTTTAATGATCTGGGTTCGGGAAGCAATGTCGATGTCTGCGTGATTGAGAAGGACAAACCATCGCAGCTGATGCGGAACTACATCAAACCCAACGAGCGGGTAAAGAAGGAGCGCAATTACAAGTTTGCAAGAGGCACTACGGCGGTGCTGAACGAGAAGGTTATCACGAAGGAGGAGATCGGCCGCTATGTTACTGTGCATGAGATTGGCAGTGGCAGTGATTCGGACAGCCTAGTGGTTGTGGAGAAGATGGATGTGGACGAGGTATGAGAAGGACCGCACTGAGATGGGGGAAAAGCTGAACCTGTATCATCATTGCCATGTCAGGCTTGTTTATGGACGGGAGCAATCCAACTGGGCATAACTGTGGCAGGACATGGGCTCTGGCGCTAAGGTGCATCTAGAGGAGAACAACAGGCTTTGCAAAGGCTGCCGAGCCACGAGAAAATCCCATTTTTGATGTAGCTCGGCAGGTATTGGAGTGTGAGCTTCAAGTTGATGGAGTGCTCCTGATGTCCAGGTACATACCTAGGTAGGTATCTGTGTGCCTCGCAACGAGCAGGCGGAGGAGCAATGGCATCGACTGCTACTGTTGGAGCTCCTGCTCTCTGCTTGATAAAGTCAATATCCTAAACTCTCAACATTCAATGTAGACTCGAGATGCATCTTGGCCCAGCGATGTGATATCGGGAATGCGGTTAGATTCTTTCCCCAGCGCTTCTGCAAAATGCCCCATTAATACTTACCTAGGTACTTAGGCAGGTATGCTCAGCGGAGAATTACAAAGGCCACGTTTCTCTCTTGGGATTCTCGACCGTCGCTTCGACAGGCCGACCCTCGCTGGGAGGCTATTCTGCGCGAGAACCTTGAACGAGGCCTGTGAACATGTTTTCCGAAGCCAGTTGACCATTTTCTGCTGGTTGCCTCTTCTCACCTGAGGTTGACCATCCCTCAACACCCAAACAGCAAAGCCTAATCCAAACCTCCAGACTTCATAATGTCAGACGCAGAAGAGTCTCGCCAGGCGGGGAGCGGGACGTTCTTGCTCATCTTGATCCAGGTAGCCTCCAGAGCGCTCACCTTCGTCGGCAACCAAATCCTTCTTCGCTTTCTGTCTCCATCGCTGTTGGGCATCGCCGTCCAGCTCGAACTTGTCTCTGTAACGAGTCTATATTTTGCTCGAGAGAGTCTTCGCGTGGCTTTGCAACGGCCGCGTCCATCTACACCGTCAACAGATGCCACTTCTACCGAAAAGCAATATCGAAAGGTGGTTGGAGCGGAGACACAGACTGTGATCAACCTCTCCCACCTGGCCGTGCTCCTGGGTTTGGTTATCTCGACATTGTTTGGTTTCTCTTATATACGGAGTGCTCCAGATGAGGTCCTCGACAGTCCTTATTTTGATGTATCGTTTCAGATCTACGCGGCGGCAACGTTGGTCGAACTACTTGCTGAACCAGCATTCGTTGTCATCCAGCAGAAAGCTCTGTACAAAGACAGGGCAAGGGCAGAGACCTGTGCAGCAATGGCAAGATGTCTTTCAGCTTGCATCGTTGCGGTTCTGCTACATCAGGAAGGCCTCGCTCCTTCGATCCTACCCTTTGCCGTGGGACAGGTAGCATATGCTTTTACCCTCCTGGCTCTTTACTTTCTGCCAATACTGAAACTATCGAGAGCCGAGAAATTCAGCCTCGTTCCGAAACGAATACTCTCAGCCTCGTCAGATCAGACGTACTACCTGAAGCTCTTCCACAAGGCAATCCTCTCTCTGGCAGCAACAATGTACATGCAGTCTATCTTCAAACTACTCCTCACGCAAGGCGATGCCCTGATCATGAGTTTCTTTTCCACTCTCGCAGACCAAGGGGCCTTCGCTCTGGCCTCTAACTACGGCGGCCTGCTAGCCCGCCTAGTCTTTCAACCTGTGGAGGAGAGTAGTCGAAACACATTCGGACGACTTCTCTCTCCATCCCCGTCGAGCAGTACCAAAAGCCCACCATCCTCGGATTCGCAGAAACAGATGACCCCGAATCAGAACACCGATACCCACCTTGGCCTCTCATACCTCTTTACAACCTTACACGTCTACCTTCTCTTCTCCCTGCCCTTGATCAGTCTCGCGCCCAGTATCCTCCCTCTGCTCATCCCCTACGTCCTCTCTCCTCAATGGCGCACCCCCGCGACATCTCTCCTCCTCTCAACCTACTGCTATTACATCCCGCTCATGGCCGTGAACGGCATTCTCGATGCCTTCGTCACTAGCGTCGCTTCTCCAGCACAGCTCCGGAGTCAGAGTCTCTGGATGCTCGCGTTCACGGGGATCTACGGGGTCGCAGCCTGGGTCATGTTGAAGATGTGGAGGATGGGCAGCGTTGGCCTTGTGGCCGCGAACATGGTGAACATGGGCGTGAGGATTTTGTGGAGCTTGTGGTTTTTGAGAGCCTGGGTCACCCAACGCGAGGACGAGTCTGGACAAAAGGGATTGGCCAGGACGACGATGGTCGGGGATGTGATGCCAGCAAAGGCGAGCATGGCTGTCACGCTGCTTGTGATGCTCGGGCTGAGAATGAATAGCGCAAACACGACACCGGATGCTGGAAAGGGCGAATTGAATATCCAGTTTCTTGGGATTTGGATCAGTGGCGCAGTGATCTTGGGTTCTACTATGTGAGTTGTCTGCACTCTCTTTGGCGTTCTCTTTGAGGGCTTCTAACATCTAGTTTCTCATGTTCATTCAAAAATACTCCCATGGCTAACTAGTCCGTCTAATTTCTAGTCTCATCACCGAGCGCGAATTTCTGTTACAACTCCTGGAATCTATCCTCCCGCAACGCCTCGCTGCAAAGATTCCCGGCTTTTTGAAACCCTCTTCGACGAAATCGACACGCGAAGCTGCAAAATGACAACTCCTTTTTTCTCTTTAGACTTCGTCAATCGTCAAACGTGATTTTCGTCGAGGTGGTCTTCTCTCCTTCCTCTGCCTCCCGATAAAAGGCACCGTACTCACTATGGACCTTCTTCTTCACCGTGGTGCCGAACCTCAATAGATTTTCGGGGACGTCCTGCTTTGCAGCTTTCAAGACATTGATCAGCGAGCCTGCCAGGCCCTTATCCTGTTCGGTGAAGAAAGTGATTGCAAGACCGTCCTTGCCGGCGCGGCCCGTGCGACCAATGCGGTGAACATAGTCTTCTGCAGTCAAGGGGAATGTTACATTGATGACCAATTTTACCTCGGGGATGTCCAGACCCCGTGCTGCCACGTCGGTGGCCACGAGGAGGGTCGTGGCGCCAGACTTGAATGATTCCAAGCTGTTGATGCGCGCAGACTGCGACATGTCACCGTGGATTCCTGCGACATTGAACCCGCGCGAGCGGATGAAGTTCTCGATTCGGAGGGCCTCCTTTTTGTAAAGGCAGAATACCAGTATGCGGTCCTGGCGCTTTTGGCCTGCAGTGTGCTGCTTCAACAACTGCAAAAGGCGCTGCTGCTTTTCAGAGCCGTCAATGACTTCTACTTTCTGCACGATCCGCGCGTTGGCTCTCAATTCTCCCGAGTCATCGGTGTCCTCACGCCCGATGGTGATTTTAACGGGTTGCTGCATGAAGGTTGCGGCCAGCTCGCGGATCGATTTCGGCCAGGTGGCGGTAAACATTGCCGTCTGTCGCTTCTTCGAGGACGGCATCTGGGAAATGATCTGTTTGATGTCGTCTTCAAAGCCCTTGTCGAGCATACGGTCTGCTTCGTCAAGGACCAGATACCGCGTCTTGGACACATCGACCGTACCGTCGGACATGAAGTCCTTCAATCGACCCGGGGTTGCAACGATGATGTTTGCCCCTTGCAGACTGCGGCGCTGTTCATCCTTGTTGGTCCCTCCGTATATACATGCCGCCTTCAGCTTTTGAGTTGTTTTGCTGAGCTTGTCCAATTGTTCAAACACTTGGATCGCAAGTTCCCGTGTGGGCGCCACAATGACCGCTCTGATTCCCTTCTTCTTCTCGTGGGATGTGAGACGGACAACAAGAGGTAGTCCGAAGGCTAGTGTTTTCCCGCTACCTGTTTCCGCCACACCAACCACATCTCGACCGGACAATAGAAAGGGCCAGGCGGCGGACTGGATGGACGAGGGCTTTTGAAAGGAGGAGAAGACGTCCGAGAATTGGGATCCCAACTCTTCGGGAAGGTGCGAGAAGGCGAGGATAGGTTGTACGTCTGTATTCTGTGGATCGAAGATCTGCACAGATTGTGTTTTCAAAAAGTTGTCGACTTCGGCTTGCCGGAGGGTTCCCATAGCTGAGACAGGCTTGCTGACGGCATCATTGTCGACATTGGCGATGTTGGCATCCTTATCCTCGGGTACCGGAGTCGAGTGGGCTGTGGCCTCTGTCGAAGAGGGTGTGATATCTTGCAGCCGAAGGACTTCCTTGCGGTCTCTCTTCCTTCTCTTCCGCTCCTGCTTGGCCAGTTGAGCGGCCTCATCGTCAAGTTTGTGCTTGCTCATATTGATCGCCTTGACGTACTCTCACTTATCTGTTTGAGTCTGAGAGAAAGGAAGTGAAACTGACGCAAGGATAGTGGGCGCACTAAATCTTCTCCGCCACCGCAATTGGGAATTTTGAGAAAAATAAATTTCGAGGCATCCAGCACCAGGCCGTTTACTCCGCCGTACCACGTTATGTCAGCAAGGCTGCCCAGTCTAAGCCCCTTTAGGCCGCATACAAAACTGCCCACCTACAGCCATCAAGATTTTCTTACAACTTCGGCTTGCTCTTGTCCATGAATGCCTTCATCGCTGCTTTGGCCTCGTCACTGTTTAGTCGTACCTTCAAATCCACTGCTTCCCACATGCTCGCCTCCCGCTGCTCGGCCAACACCGTAGGCCTGTTCACCTGTGCCTTGGCCATTCTCAGGCTCTCGGCGCTGTAGGTGCCTATCCTCTTTGCGATCTTGAAGACCTCGTCCCGGAACGCCTCGACCGTGTCGCCTCCAATGACCTTGGTCACCATGCCCGCGTCGTACATCTCCCTGGCATTCAGTTTCTCCGCCGCCAACAGCAACGCGTTTGCGCGCTGTTTGCCCATGACCTTGGGGAAACTCCAGCTCGACGCCCCTTCGGGCACGAAGCCCAGGCTCATAAAGGGTGTCTGGAACACGGCCGCTTTCTCCCAGGCGTACACCAAATCAAAGTTCCACAGTTGGGTGCATCCCCATCCGATGGCTGCACCGTGGACCGCTGCAATGAGCACCTTCGGGTAGCCCTGCAACTCGTCTCCCAGTTTGCGGCCCGCTTCGATTTCTTGCTCGATCGTCGGTCCAGATTGGCCCGGTGGGAGGAGTACTTTCCCGGCGCAGTAGTGTTTTCCCTTGCCCGTGAGGACGATCACCCTGATGGAAGGGACATTGCGCGCCCAGCGAAGTGCATCGGCGAGGTCGTGGTATTGCTGCAGTGTGAACGCGTTGGAGATCTTGGGTTGGTTATATTCCAGCAGCAGTGCCCCTGGTGAGAGGCTCGTCGCGACAATGGTCTGATAAGTCGGGGGTGCAGTGGTCATTTCGAGGTGAGTTGTTTTGACTATCACTCAATATTTTCAAGCAGGAAACGAATCCAAGCGGTTCACGTCGGAGAGGGTCTATACGGAATAACCTGGCACTCTCGTCTACATGTTTCACATCTTTTCTATACTTTGGGGGTCTTGAGTCCTCAAGGCAATAGGACCTCTTGTTGTGGACCTCGGGAGCAAGGCTATCTTGATCTGGTAAGACCCCGCATCCCCGCAAAAAGCCTGCTGTAGGTAAGGCTCTGGGCGTGGAGGACTAGCTGTGGAGTTGCTGCTGATATTGTCCTGGGTAAGTTGAGCACTTCTAAGAATGACTGCCACCTCTCGCTCGAGCATTGAGAACGGACAGCACGTTCTCTTGAGCTTGGTTCCGCAAAAAGCAGCCTGCATCGAGACCATTTGAGCTGTGCAGCCATCCATTTCCAAGGCCCGAGCTGACCTCGGCAGCCGAGCTGCCTATATCTGCCTCGGACATACATAAACGCGTTATGCACAGTATCCTACTATTCTCTAGGTGTACAAAAGCCTAATTCCCAGACGGATCCTAGTCTTCATTGTCACAATCATCGAGAGACAGCCATGACGACGACAATCGACGTCGAGAGCATCAAAAAGCGATCATGGAGCGTGACCAGCAGCTACACGCCCAACAACATCATCACCTACAACATCGCCCTGGGCGTCAAGGGCACCGACCTGTCGCGATGCTTTGAAGCACATCCCGACTTTGCGGCCGTACCGACGTTCGCTACACTCCCCGTCATCTCTGTCATGCGCGAAGTCACGTACGGGATGATGGAATTCCTGCCGAATTTCCAAGCACACAACCACGTCCACGGCGAGCACTATCTGGAGATGAAGGGCACGTTCCCCAAGCAGGCCACACTGAATACCACCGCGCGAGTGGTCGATGTTGTGGATCGCCGCACCGGCGTCACCGTCGCCGTGGGCATCACCACCGTCGACGCCGCCACGGGCTTGGAGATCTGCTACAGCGAGTGGACATCCTTCGTCATGAAAGTCCCCGGAAAAGGGGCCTCGACGAAACCCATCCCACGCGGTGCCGCCACGGCAGTCCACCCGACGCCCACAGATCGCAAACCGGACGCGGTGGTGGAATACCAGACCTCGCCCGAACAGGGCGCACTGTACCGCGCCGCGTCGGGCGACTTGAACCCTTTACACATCGACCCGGCCGTCGCGAAAGCAGGTGGATTTCCCGGCCCCATCCTGACGGGCACCTGTACGGTGGGAATGGGGGTGTTGCACGTAATCGACACGTTCGCTGGCGGGGATTTCAGCAGGTTCCAGAGCGTCAAGCTAAGGTTGAGTAAGCCCGTGTTTCCGGGCGAGGTGGTCAGGACAGAGATGTGGCGAGAGGATGGTGGAAGGAAGGTTGTGTACAGACAGGTTGCGGGCGACCGCGTAGTGATTTCACAGGCGGCGGTGGAGTTGAGAGATGCGTCGGAGAAGCTGAAGGCGAGGCTGTCATAGCTGGTCGTGTTCGAGTACGAGATGTCAAATAATCTTGTTGGGTGAAGCGATACAGTGCCTACCCAGGTATATTTAATTTCTTGGGGAACATATGCAATTGCTATGCGATTCAAGACGCAAGGGAATTCTGTTTGCCACGATACCCAGCTTATGGTAGCACCCCTTGGACGCCATCGTTGTACCTGTCTCCCCCGTACGTCTCTACAATATTCCTTTCCTTCTCATCTCGCGGCAATCCACCTTGTCAAATCAAACCCGATGGCACCAGATGGTTTATTCCTGCTCACGCATGTTCCCTTCGGCAAGTGAGAGTCCACGCTGTGTGTACCTCGTATCCCCGTAGCCCCCACACTTTTCTCCCCCAAAGTGGAGGCCCCTGGAATTCCCCTCCACTTCAAAGGCCATTACTTCCCATCTTCTCTCCATCCTCCTTTACCGAACAAATCCTCGGCACCTAACCCACCCGCCGATGGCGGTACGGGCATGTCAAGGTGACTGACACGGCGCACAGCACAGGCGCTGTCAGAAAGTCGGACTCAACACAAGATCCGTGGCTAATAACCATGCCCTTATGGAGGGTTGAGTTGAGTCGAGGATTCCACATGGGTGTCAATTGGGCGGCTACCTACCTACAGTTAACCTAATCCCCTGTCTTCCGCCGTTACAAGGCTTGTATACCTACTAGGTGTCTTTCGCTACCAACGCGCTTGTCTCAGAGCGCGCGTTTTACTCTCCAGGCTCTCTCTTACAAGTCGTCCCCCCCCGGGCGCGCCGCTTGATTGACTCTAGGTACGGTATCTGGAAGAAGAGCAGGTGCGACACCACTACAGCCACAATCGCACTCACAAGCCCATCTAGCAAAGATGCCGTGGCTCAGTCAAGAATCTTACCCTCTCCCTCAGAAAGATCTCATCTCGCTCGTCTTTGACGAATGTAAATATGACCCTGATAAGCCGGTCAGTATATACTTTTCCATCCATCCATCCATCTATCTAGCAATCCACCGATATATCTACACCTACATAACGCTTCAGCTCTTTGGGGAATACCCGAAAACTCTTTTCAACCCCCTACAAGAAAAGAAATCATCCGAATCTAACACGCAGGAAACCAAAGGTCTACCACGATCTAGAAAACCCCAATCGCACCATATCATGGCGACAAGGGCGGACGCTCACGAGGAAACTCGCCGCGGGATTCCGCAAGGCTGGGCTGCAGAGGGGCGATTGTTTTAGTATTGCTGCGTTCAACGATGTAAGTTCCACTATTTCGAGAAAGAAACGACGCCCTTTACGGGCGACGACCTGTTTTGGGTCGAGCCGCATCTTCTTCTTCTCCCTCCGCCTCCATCACTCTTCTGCAGATCTTGGGCTCTGATCAAAGTGTTTGCTTTCCCTCTTTGGAACATAAAAGATCATGTATTCGATGCTCTTCCTCGGCGGAGTGGCGGCCGGTGGTATTTTCAGGTAAGTTTTGTTTCGGGAAGAGAATTTGAGGAGACAATCCCTGCCTTTTTGTCCAAAGAGCTCTCTCTCTCTCTCTCTCTCTTTCTCTCCTCCCCTTTCTCTTCCCGATATAGCAAGCATCTCTGGATCGATGGCTGAAGACGACAACCCTCCGCAGCGGCACGAACCCAGCGTACCAGATCTACGAGATCCGGCACCACATCCGCACGGCGCAAGTCAAGATGTTCATCGTCGAACCCGAAGTGCTGTCCCCGATCCTGGAGGCGGCATCCCTCGAGGGAATCGCGCGGGACAAGATCTTCATCTTCAACCCGCTCCCGCACCAGAAGGTTCCCCAGGGGTTCCGGAGCTGGGAGTGGCTTCTGCAGCACGGGGAGGAGGACTGGGTACGGATCACCGACCTCGAAGAGCTGCAGTCCACGCAGGTGGCGCGGCTCAACACTTCTGGCACCACGGGGCTGCCCAAGACGGCCATGCAGAGTCACTACAACGCGACATCATGGCACACGATGCTGCACGATATATCCCCGGTGCCCTGGGAAGTGCGCAACCTCTACACCCTGCCGGGATTCCACGTGGCCACCGTGCCCCTCGTCCACGCCTGCCCATTCATCACGGGTGACCAATGCTGGATCATGCGGCGGTTCGAGCTCGAATCCTTCCTCGCCGCACTCGAACGCCACCGCATCACAAACATCGGCATCGTCCCGCCCTTGGTGATTGCCATCATCATGTCTCCGCTCCGCCACAAATACTCACTCCGAAGTCTCCGCAAGATCAAGTGCGGCGCCGCGCCCCTGGACGCGGTCTCGCAGAAAAAGTTCCAGGACCTGTGCGCCCCGGACGCCAGCTTCACTCAGGTCTTTGGCATGACCGAGACGACAGGTACCATAAGCCAATTCTTTGGTACCGAGAGGGACGAGACCGGGTCCGTGGGGAGTCGGTTTCTGCCGAATACGGACGTCAAGTGAGTTTCTCCGCCCACTTTTTCCACCCTTCGTCTGCGCATGATAGATAACCCCTTGCGACGTCTGTGTTCTTTGTGAACTAACCAGGACGGGGTGGGGGGCCATATGTAGATTAATCGACGACCTCGGCAGGGACATCACCGCCTACGACGTCGAAGGCGAGCTGTGCGTGCGCGGCCCCACGGTGATTAGAGGGTACTTCAACAACCCTAGCGCAAACGCCGCCGCGTACGATGCCGAGGGATACTTCAAGACCGGGGACGTGCTGTACTGCGACGGCAAGACCAAGAAGTGGTATATCGTGGATAGGAAGAAGGTGAGCCGCTGAGCGAAAAACACACAGATCTAACCTCACAAACCCCCTCCATACTCTGAGGCACAAGATGATTCAACTACAGTACGCAGTACTAACCGACAACTAATTTATTTATGTGAAACAAACAGGAACTAATCAAAGTCCGGGGCTTCCAAGTGTCCCCCTCGGAGCTGGAGGCCGTGCTCCTCTCACACCCCGGAATCGTCGACTGCGCCGTGCTGGGCTTTCGACCCAAGGGCCGTCCCGTACATGCAGACGAGTTGATTCGCGCGTACGTGGTGCGACGTCCTCCGGAGGAGAGGGGGGACGATCCATCGGCGCCGTCATTGACAGAGGACAACGTCAAGCAGTTCATCCGCAGCAATCTCGCCAGCTACAAATCGCTGACGGGCGGGGTGGTCTTTGTGGACGAAATCCCAAAGAGTCCCAGTGGGAAAATCCTCAAGAGGGTCTTGAAGGAGCAAGCTGAAAAGGAGCAGGAGCTGGAACAGGAGCGGGGAACGGTGGCGAGGGCCAAGTTATAAGTATATGTGTGTGATAGGACTGGGTCGGGGGGGGTTAACTCATAGTGATTGGTTATGGTGGCAGTGGTGATGGGGAGAGATGGAATGGGTTTTGGGGGGAAAAGGGAGGAAGAGGGCAATAAATGAGTGAGTGAGTAAGTGAGTAAATAAGAAACAGGGAGGGAGGGGGAAAGAGAGATGGTTTTCGCTGGAACCAGAGATTATGGTGGCGTAGAGACAAGACAATACATATACAGATATATGTACTCCGCCAATACCCCGTCCAGACAGCCTCGTTCTCCTCACTCGCTTGCTTTCTTACCACTTTACTTAGTCCCTCCATCCCAGCCTTGCACGGACCAAGCCAACTTGAAGCACAGATCGTCTGCAATATTCCGGGTCTCGACCGCCGTCTTCAACCCCTTTGGCCCCTGAACTTCCCACCATCTACCGCCGTCGTTAACGACCTATAACTTCGCCTTTGTGCCCTGGCCCTCCTTCAACGCCCGCATCATCCGATACGCCTCGTCGAGACTCTTGCGGGTATTCTCGAAATACACGTGCGAGAAGTCACTGCTGGCCTGGCCACTAATAGTACGTGCCTGGATACCGTGCGAGATGGTCCCGCCTCGCACATAATGAAAGATCTTTGCGATCTGAAAGTCCTTGCCGGGAGGGGACCCTTCTTTGCGCGGATCAAACCCTGTAATCCGGGCGTAGCGATCCAGAAGCTCGTCGGGCTCCGGCATGCCGGATTTGGCGCGGTTGGCCGGGGCGTAGGGCGAAGAGAGATACCCATTGGCGGCGGGTGACTTGCTGTTGGACACAGGGTGGCCGGCTTTGGTGATTTCGTTCCAGAACGGCCCAATCACGTAGACGGCGTCCATCAGGGGGTGGCCGATGGTCGAGAGTTCCCAGTCGAGAATGGCGATAACGCGGGGCTCTGTGGGATGGAGAATCTACTCATATCGTGCGATTAGGTTTCAAGATATAAATATCGCCGGTGCAGAAGATGTTGACCTCACTGGCCGTCTTGATTGGGCTCGAACTTACCACGTTGTCGAACTTATAATCTCCATGCACGATGGAATACCTGTCACTGGTCATATTGGTCCTGACAAAATCAACCATCTCGTCGTAATGCTCATGTGCGCGGCCCAATTCCCTCCCCGTCTTGATGTCTTTGACCTTGGACTGTTGATTCTCTATGCGCTGGAACGTGTTACAGTGCCGTTGATAGAAACCTTGCTTTTTGCCAAAGTTGGACAAGCCGATAGAGTCTGGGTCGATGCTGTGCAGCCAGCCGAGGGTTTCCACGAGAGAGATCCAACTTGAAATTTCAAATTAGTTGTTGGCTGGAAGGAGACAGTACAAGAAAGCTTAATGAAGCCATGAAATCGAAGGCAATCGGTCGGAGAGCTCGAATGGCTGGTAGCGACTTACGCCTTTCTTCGATCCGATGGTGACAGCTCTCCCAGGTCGGGATCTGTTATTATCCTGCCCTTAACGAATTCCATAACCTGCCGTCGCACCAGTCAGCCATATAAACATACCCTGCGTCACCGGACCGCGGCCGCCATCGGGTCCAAGAGCAGCTGTTTGAGTCTTACGTAGAATGGCGTCCCGATGACGCTGGGGTCCATGCAAAGTGTATAGACTCTCGGCACAGGAAACCCTTTGACCGAGCCGAGGGCTTTCAGAACCCGGTATTCGCGATCCACTTGGTGAGCGACGGGGCTGATGATTGTCCCGGACGGCTTCTTGCGCAGGATGAAGCGTGTGCCTCTGTACAGAGGGTCAGTCACAAGAACGCGGGAAAAAATGGAGAACCAGTGAAACGTCAAAATTCCGGCTCGATCTGCATAACGCGCAAAGGGGGTTTCCATAAGACCCCTCCAAGACTGCCAAAACCATGCTAGCATTCAGATATGGATAGAGACTGAAACGCAGCGACAAGAGCAACACCATCGTGGCTACCGAACCAAGGACAAGACGTAGGCTGGTTGGGTGGCCACGGAACGGAAATGAACGTACGCAGCATCGTCGACAAAGTAAGTCGGATTACTTTGGCCGTAGCCAATTTTCGTCGACACAACAGGTGCCTTCAACCCCGGAATAGTATTCGAGTCGGCAAGATATTTGCTAAGCGAGGCGTCGTCGAGCTGATGGCGCGAGCCGGATTGTGCTGTAGGGTTTGGGTTCATCTTGCCGGTTTGAAGTTAGATACTAAGAACAAGAAACGGCCACTCAGAAGACAGCCCGATTGTACAGTAGATGTCCCAGTAGGTATGCAGTATACATGGATGTGTTCTCGGAGTGATATGTATAAAGGCTTGAGTATGACTGGCCCGACCTTGACTCGGGGTGTTTTCTCCGTAACCGAGATGCACCGAGGTAGTTTACTCGATACAAGTCAGTGAAAAAGGAGGGCTGGCCTTGTTCGGATCTATACGCCGAGCTCCGAATCAGCCTCAACTGCTCGCTAGACACTCCTGTACGGGAACCAGGCCGTATAAAAAGGAGAGAGCACGCAAGTGTTAATGCTTTACAGTCAGCAACTAGAGACGTGCCCCGTGAAATGCGTGCATATCTGACAATGATCTTTTGGCTAGGTCGCGTCTCAAACGAAATCCGGCCGTAAATAATATATGTAAAAGGACAGCGCGCTCGTAGGGGAACGAGGTGGAAGTAAAAGGTATGCCTGTACATCGTTCCGAAGGGGAGATGCAACATAGAACGGTCTGGTGCCGAAGGCCAGGACCGCGAATTGAGTAACATGTGTCGTGCTTGGTGTTCTTTCATCTTTGCTGTTCTTCGTCTCGCTTTAGTATGATCTGTCGGTAAATGGCGTCTCCTGATGTTACCATGTCCACCCTGTGAAACGGATATTCGATCCTTCACTCAATTCTCGGTACACCTCCATCCAAAGTCCTTAGCATCATCCTGGTATGCTTGACAAGCTTGAGACACAGTAATCCATCATCGGCAGCGCCACTAGAGCGAAGCTCGTCTTCGCACTTCTGAAGATCCTCGAGCGTCATGCCTGCTGCGTACCCTCGCGGCAAGCCATGAACATTACCATGAGCAGCATGTGAATGGAGGTGCTCTAAACGAGGGGGGAACTCCTGCGAGTGGTGGTAGGGTTCAACATCATGCCATTGCTTTTGGCGCCGTTCGATAGCTGCCACGAGCGATTCGAGAGTGTAAATTGTGGATGTATCACTATCCTCAGAAGATATATGCGTAGGTGTCGGTTTTCTCGAAGGGATAGCGGAGAAGGGAGCATTGGGCGGACTAGGGATTGATTCGTCGCCAAAAACATACGCTCGAATTAGATGATATCCAAACGTGCGCCACTCGAGATCTTCGCGGATGCCCATAAATCCCGTGATATCATCCGACGGTTCTGATTCTGAGCTACCAAATCCAGACTTCAACTCTTGAGCACTGGCCTTTTTGACGCGATGCCAATGGTCAGCAAGCACGGTAATCAGCATAGTGCTCAGAAATACGTTTTGAGAACCCGATTGCAGCTTCTGAGGGCAAACGTGACAATAAAGAACTGAGCGACCGGTACGATGTGCGGCGAGGAGGGTATCAATCATGCCAGATGATACCGGAAATGCGGACAGAGCGGAAAGGGTTGACAATGTGAGATAGAGGTTGGGCAGGCAGGGGCAAGCTGGAAGGGTGGAGAGTTGCCCCACTGTGCTTGCATTTGCATTGAGGTCGGCGTGCTGGTTCGGATGCAGCCCAGATCCTGTGCCAGAAGACCGAGAAGAATTGGGGTCCGCATTGTTGGCAGAGTATAACTGTTTCTCCTGCTCATGGCTGTCTTGTACCAGCATTGGAAGCATAGTCATGTCACTGAAGTCAGGCCACAGCGAGACATCGACGGGGTAGTTGATCTTGGACATAACATCATTTCCACCTGGAGGCGTGCGAGGCCCATCGTATGGTGACGTGCTGCTCGAGCCTTGGGAAGGCAGCTGGCTGCTGCCATTGCCAGTGTTTGAGGACTTTGCCCTCTCCGCAGCGGCGCGAGCGTCGTGGCTAGACCGTTTGATAGACTGGCTAATGGGAGCATTGCAGATGTTCTCAAAATTTGTACGCTCAACAGCTTTTTCAGAGAGTTCAGGGTCAATGGCCGACTCGACGACGGCGGGCGGTGGAGGATGAAGAGGATGATGGTAAGGAGTAGGAATGGAGGCACCAGGAGTGGGTTGCAGGACGCCATTGACATAAGACGTCTCTGCAGAGGAAATGCCCTCGATGCCGTCAGCCTGCGGGAAGTCGTTGGCATCGTCAATCTTCTGTCTCTTGCGTGGTCTCCCCATCTGCTTCTGGGCCGAGTAATGGCATGTCAAGTTGTGCTTGAGGCATCGTGCGCAGCCAGCGGGCTCGCCCGAGCACTTCAACTTGCGCTTTCCTGGGGCATTGTGAGTCTAGGTAAAGGGTCATTGCGCATTCAGAGGACGGACGGCACTCATCGCAGGCAGAATGCCTCTTGACCGAAGGATCCGCATCAAAGGCGGAGCTGTAAGCGGGAATTTCTGAGTCCAGAAGCTCGGGCACTGAATCAGTGGCTGCAAAGGTCCTCGCAATGGGGTACGAGCCATAGGCCTCGAGCAGTGAGACTGCCGCCTGCCCATTCGACATTTTCCGTCCAAGAGGTTGTAGAGAGTTGACGGAGGCTCTAGGTACAGGCGAGACTATGTAGATCTTGGGATCATTCGCCCTTCCGTCTCAAAAGCCGGGGAATCTGTTGGATGGCAGCCTGGTGGAAAGTTAAGGTCCTCATAGGGTGTGGAAGTCGATCGTCTGCCCCAAACTCGCTAGGTAGCTAGGGACATGTCCATCCGGGTCATTCCTCTGCGCATAATATTAATGGTGGCCTGAAGTTCCCCATTTGTGGTTACTGCAAGACCTGGGGCATGAGTTGGAGCCAAATTGGAGTCGCGACTAGAAGGCGACCAGCCAATGTTTACGAGAATCAATCGTGACTACTTGTCTCTGAGCAACGATCTTCCTTCTTGATTTCAACGGTGTTCATGAGACATGTATTAGCAGAATGGTATCTTGCGCTTTTCCCCCTGTCACTAGTACTACTACTCGGTACTGCATCCCCAATTCTCTACAAGCTTGTCCATGCAGAGATTAAAGAATCACGCACTTCTTGGGCAGTCCACATGGCCCGCTCTCCTCTTCCTTGTCATCTGTCTGGATCGGTTGTGTTGGTTTCTTGGGCGCCGTCGCCGTCGTCGCCGCCGCCGTTGTTCCTGCCGGCTTCACGCCATTTCCTGCGGCAGGCTCCTTCTTTTCGGCACTGCCATCTAGTCACGCGAAGCTGACCTTGCTGACCAGCTCATAGAAAGACTTGCCCTGGATGGAAGCGAGCTCCAATTCGGCACTCGAGGGCTGTCTGGAGCCGTCACCAGCGGCAAATGTACCTGCGCCCCATGGGCTACCACCACGGACCGCACTGAGGTCGGCCATGATAGGGAAGGCTTTGGCATAACCCAGAGGCACATAGATCATGCCCTGGTGAATCCAAGACGAGAGAGCCGTGATGGCTGTGGTCTCTTGCCCACCGCCCATGGTGGCAGTGCTGATGAACAGGCCAAAGTATTTTCCAAAGAGTGCCCCAGTCTGCCAATGTCCGCCGAGCTTATCGATGAAGGTCTTCCATTGGGCGGAATATGTGCCATAACGGGTGGCAACGCCGAAGAGGAAAGCGTCGTACTTGAGCAAGATATCGGGGGTGATGACGGGAACGTCCTTGTTCATGCCTGGTGCATGCATCTTGCCCAGGACCTCTTGGGGGAGGGTTTCTTCGATTCTAGGAGGGTCCAGGTTAGTCTCTGCCGGCCTGTCTTTCCATGGGGACAGAGGAGTCTCCAAGCAACGTACTGGTAGATATCGGCTTGGCCACCGGCCTCTTCAATACCCTTCTTCTCGGCCTGTGCAAGTTGGGCGACATGGCCGTACATAGAGTACTGTTTGTCCAGATGGATCGTTAGCAGCCACGACAGGTATATATGAATGTGAGACGATGATCACAGGAAACAGTGGTAGGCAGGAAGGGTAGAGGTGGGTGCAAGCGACGTACGTAGATGATGGCGATTCTGGGAGCCATGGTGGACGAGCTGTGTGCAGGGTATGAGTTGAGATAGAGACAGAGACAGGTGGGCTCGAAGACGAAGCTTGGGTGAGATGGAGAAGAGAGGACAAAGCAGATACCAGAGGGAGGGAAAGGCTCGAGGTTTTTGTATCCGCTCACGGTACTCCGTAATCCGTGGCAGGTGTATTCGAAGTAGAGTGATCCCACGATGAAGTTTCAACCACCTGCACTACGGCACATCCCCCCTTGGACCTCTTTTACCTTGAGTTTCATCGACATCCACCTGGTTCGGAAAATACGAGGGGCTGTGCCGGGTGTGCCTGGAACTCTCAGGGCCTGAGCTTCAGAGCCGACATTTCCTGAAGTCGCATTGGGAAGGTCTCGAAGGGCAACGCAGGTAAGGGCAGGGAACCCCGCACAGGTTTAGCGGGCAAGTCAGTAGGTGCTGGTAGGGGTGATTGAGCTACTAGTGGGGCCTAGAATGACGCCAGAGCACTGACGCAGTACCTACCTAGTACTAGGTACTACTTGGTACCCGCCGCTGCGCCTACCACCTGCGCTGCCCTCACTGTCGCTGTTCATTTGGACAGCATTACAGCAGCATCACTCGAGCGAATCCCTCGTTGCAACTCTCGCCGTCCCGATCCAGGCTCATTGAAAAGTTACTCGTACGAGAACCACTCACTTATCTGCCACCACCGCCACTGGCTCCCGAGCAAGAAGTCGATCGCTGCCGTGCCTTTCCAAATCTCCCCAACCTATCGAGGGACCCAATTTTCAGCCTCGGGAAACATGGTGGGTGCATGCTCCTCTCGGCGGGCGGCACCCGGGCGGCCAGCTTCTCTGGGAGTCTGAGCTTATGAAAAGCTGACAGAGGATTGCCAAAGCACGGCCAATCACCCTTGGGCTGCTGCTTTCGCAGTGCGGAATCAATCCTGTGGCCCGTCTGTGCGCCAATGATGTGTTCTTTGTAATCCAACCAGTGGCCACCCAAATCGACCTTATGGAGCTCTGCTTTGGGCGCTCTTCTTCCCAAGCTTGTCGTCCTCAGATAATCACACCCTCGAAACCGCTGTCGGCCATTTGTCAGCTCCCACCCGCCATGTAATATGCAGGACTGAAACCATACAGGCCCAGCCGCCGTTCGCCGACACCCTCTCGACCATAGACCACCCTGGGCTACCCTCGATGCTCGATTCACATCGTCGCCGGTCGGCAGCTTCGGCGAAAGACCACAACACCGATCAATGATCACATAAACCTCTTCACCGGGTAATGCCCTCGCTTGCATTGCTAGGCTGCAGCGCATCTCCAACTGGTGTTGACAGTGCTCAAATCGGTAAGGACCTGTTTTCCCCTCCGTTGTCCGCCTGGACGATGCATGGCACCGCTAATGCAAGGCACCAGGAAATACCTTGACCCTCACAGCACCTTCCCATTGAAATGGAAGTTGATCGCCCAACTCGATTGGGGGAGCTGCACCTCCCGAAAAGGGCCTCATGCCCCGGTATATCCAAGTCGTCACTCCTCCTCCCACTGAACCATTTGTTGTCTCTCCCACAGTCTGTTCGCGCTGCTGACTATGATCTCTGCCTTGGATAATAACTTTGCCTTGAATTTGACGGCCGCCTCACCTTGCAATTTTGTTTTCCTGGCGTGGGCCTGCATCATTATAGGCACCAAAGCCTGCGGATCGGCCTCACTCAGAGCTCGAACACTCTTGAATCCATTCTCCCACAGCATTCGGGCCATGCGACTCTTGACGAATGCTATCTGAGCCATCTCCAGGAGATCGGCCCGTGCGCCGGCACGAAGGCGGTCCAGCATATGTTCCAGCACAGCTGCCAGCATTCCCCATTCCATTCTCTCGCAAAATTTGATCATCCCCGCTGCGAATCCGTGGCAGTTTTCAGCTAGCGTCTGCACCTGTCCCCGCGGAACAGAATATTTCAGGCTGACTTCGTGAATTGGCATCTCATTGCAGAGGTCTCGTAGTTGGAAGGCGGAATATGCCCGACGATAGACTCGCGCCATACGGATCTCTTCGGTCGTGTTTTCCTTCAGTTGGGCGCCGCTGTTGACGAGTCTGTTGACAAAAGCTGGGTTGATGCCAATCAGTCGCATCGCGCGCATCCCGCTGTCGTCGAGATCTTCCAGTTGGTTTCGGAAAGTCAACCATGAGATTTCAGCGAGCCCCATCGTCTGGACCGGAGTGAAAAGATAAAATATGTGCATCTCACCATCCATGACGAACGATTCAAGTGCTCGCCGCAGTTCAGAGTGGACAAAAACCCCGTCCTCAGGACCGAGCCCAGACGCAACGACCGCAGATCCCAATCTGGTGGGTTCGAGGCAACCTTCATACTCCCCTTCTTGGATCAATCCATCCTGGAGTAATGCCTGCTTCGCCATTTCGACCATCTCCGCAACTTGTGAGTGATCAATGCTATGCCAAAGCAGCGATGAGTGTATGTATTCATCCAAAGACGACTTGCTGGACGCCATACGGGTACCAATGACTTCTAAAAGAGCTCTCTTGAATCCTCTCTTCTCAGGTGTCAAACAGCTTTCCACCGGAGGCATTTCCGCCTCAAGGAGTTCTGCCACTGCCTCCAGATCGACCTTTTGGCAGCAAAGGTAGGTTTCACCGACTTCATCCTTACCCTTGCGGCCAGCACGGCCTCGCATCTGTCGAAGCATTGCGGGACCCACCAGCTCTCGGCCCATTCGAGGTCCATATAATATTACCCTCCTCGCCGGGAGATTGATGCCGGCCGCGAGACTGCACGTCGCCACCATCACCCGCAGGATCCCTGCGTCGTATGCTCCGCAGACGAGCTCTCGCTCTTCAGTTGTCAATCCTGCATGATGGAAGCCGATTCCAAAAGGAATAATTTTGGAAAATGAGGGCTCAAATCCACATGGAAGGGCACACAGCGATGCCAGGAGATCCTGCCGCCTCTCCAGCTCGTCTCGGTCAAGATGATCCGTAGGTAAAGCTTCGCTAATCAAGAGCGCTGTTTTCTCTGCACCCATTCGACTACCACAGAAGATAAGCGCGCCATGACCCGCAAGGGCCGTCTCAACGGCCAGTGCGACAACGGCATTGGGCGTCGCGCCTTGGAGTTCTTGGTATTTTGATCTAGCAATCGTCCGCTGTGGCTGTGGTCGTTGTGTTGGGAGTGCATCACCAGCAGCCAATTGACTTGCTGTGCGGAAGAATTCTTTTGCGTTTGCTGTGGGATAGATAGCATTGTCATACACGAGATGTTCCTCGATGGGGATTGGACGGTACTTTGCGATGTAAAATTTCGCGTTCAGCCATTGTGCCAGCAATTGGGGATTTGGGAGGGTGCCGCTCATGCCCACAATCTGAACTTTCTTCTCGCTGGAGGCAAGCGACATCAATTTGGTGGCAAGGAGTTCCATAAGGTATCCCCGGTGTTCATCGTTGATCATGTGAATTTCATCGAGCACCACCACCCCTATGTCGCCATATTTGGCTTCTTCAATGGTGCTGTTGACCAACGAATTGGCCTTTTCAATGGTGCAGACAGCGATGTCGCAATCCGACCAGCTAATGTTCGATCTGTTCCCACCAAAGAATCCGCCGACTCGAACGAAGGGGCTTGGCCGGCGCCATGTCGGTGTTGACAGGCCGTCGGGGCTGTCGCCGACTATTCTGGCTACCTTATCCACCAAGGTGCGTAGCCACCTCAACTTCTCCTGGACGAGAGCGACGTAGGGGAGGACGAGGATCGCCTTCGCTGTCGGATCTTCAATGACTCTCTTGATTAGAAGGACGTCTGCCACCAGGGACTTGCCTCCACCAGTGGGGGCTGTATAGACCAGATTTTGCTCTCCAGTCAGTAACCCCCGGCCCAATAGGCACGAGGATTGCCATGGGTATATGGCACGCACACCGAGTGATTCGAAATTGTCGACTAGCTGGGAGGGCAAACCATACCGCGGATGTCGAAGGCTAAGGAGAGGGTTTTGCGAAGGGCCAGGGGTAGATGACTTGGGTGAAGGTAGATGAACAGGAGCGATGTCCACGGCTTCTTTACTGTCATGGCTGCAGCCTACCAGAGTAATGCGGCTGGCTTGAAGTCGAGGTGGGTGCCAATCGCGACGGTAAAGAGGCGGGTTCATGGTCTGTGGCGGTTGGACAGATGATCGACCGTGGATTGGAAGACCCAGCTGAACATCATGAACTTCGTCAACGGTACGTTTCATCCCTGCTAGTGGTCTCGTGCTGTAGCTCTGATTACGGGCGAGGTCAACAGAGGTGATTAGGCCAGTGGGCATGGCTAACTGATGCCACGATGGTGCCATCGGATCTCATGGTGGGACCAGCGTTTCTACGCGAGGGGGGACGCGATATGTCGTGGTTTGGATTCAACAGGAGCATAAGTCCTTGAAAGCGATCTGTTCAGAACCGTCTCTGGCATATCAACCGCGTAAAATGCCTTCTATAAGATGGTCGGCATTGAAAGAGTAACGAGATCTAGATCATGCCAACCAAGGCAAGCCCACGCGCGACTGCAAGATACCAGGTAAACAGGGAAAGAGACGAGTCCGAGAAAGGAATAGATCAAACTCTAAATGTTCGGGTCAGTTGCCAAGTCCGAAAGCCACTTACCGCAGGAGCCGGAGGCCCCAGACCACCATCGTCCCGGCACCACACACGAAACGGTCTCTGACAGCCCATCGCGCCTATAAGACCGCCTTGACGGAAGATGGAGGCTGATAGTCCAGAGTCGCAGCCATGCGATCATGTAGCATCATAGACATGACAAGAGCTCTGCGACGAGTACACGGCAGTGGTGTAACAGCTGCAAGGTTCAGACGCGGAATGGGTATGATGTGATGTCCATCGTAGCGGCGGAAACAGGCACATTGGACCCGGTGGAGTTGACTTGGAAAGGGAGATCTAGGTGCTAAGTGCAGGAAGTAGAGGCACAGACTGGCAAAGTGATGACCGTGTTGAGTGCGAAGTGAGTGGTGAGTGCAGGTTCGGGGATGCCCCGACTTGATTCTGCGAGAAAACGCCCCGGGCTCTTGGAGCGCGATCTTGGGGGAAGAGACATGGCAAAAGCGGTTGTAGAATGGCAAACGGACAGCGCCCAGTCGATTGACACCATTTATCGGGCGTCCAAGAGCAGGGTTGGATTTACGTGGCCATCCCAAGGATAGTGAGCAGAATAGAGATGTGGTCAAAATTAAGAGAGCGCAATCCTGGGTCAGGTGACGCCAAGGGGTCCTCGGGCACTAAGCTGCCGGGCTCGTTGGTCGCCACCCACCGACCTCACTTCTTCCGCTGCTCTCTGGATGCGCTGGCCCAGGAATTGCTCCCCGACTCGATTTTCATCCAGAAGACAGGGAGGAGCCGGTCTTGATACTGATGCAAAGATGCGATGACCTTGGCCGACAAATTATTTGCTGCACATGCCGTCGCTTGCTGCACAGGGACTTGATCCGGGGCCGCCTTCGCCCGCAGATATAGGCGCGGTATGGAAGGAACGAGAACAGCTGTCCTTTGTGTTCGGAACGAGACGAAACAATACAGATCTGAAGACCGAATTGAGCGGGATCGTGGCCCATCTCACATCACAGTCTGGCGCAGCGGTGGTCGGTGGTGGTAGGTGGTGGTAGGTGGTGGCAGCAGCCCAGAGAGTCATGAGTACTCGGTTATGTCGTCAGCGTACCGAATCACGTTAGGGAGACCCTGCATGATTTGCTGAAGGTTTCCAACCTCAAACTGCACTCCAGGAATTCTTTCTTTTCTCTTTTGTCTGCTGTTCATTTTTAGCGTTTCCTTGCCTTGCAGATGATCCACATATTCCATGTCACTCATCCACTTTTCCCAAGCACATCTCGTGTGGCCCCCCTTCCTGGCTCCCTCTCCACACAGCTGGACCTGCCTCTCAGTCTCTGACCCGCGCTCTTTTTCGTTGCTCATCTCACGTCTTTCCGTCTCTTGTCTGCCTTATTGTGTGTCCCTTAGACATGTCTGTGCCCGCGTCTGCCTTTCAGTTGCCTGGGCCTTCTCGACGAGCCCAACTTCACCTCTTCTTTGACTCCCATGGCCATGCTAATGACACCGCCCCTCCCCTCCTCGTTTCCCCGTCACCCATGGGTGCCCAGTGCTGCTCGCACTTGCTGCCGATGCTCCCTGTAGACAACCCTCGTATTTGGCCCATTGTGTCTTCCCGCAGGTTGGCTCTGACTCTCTTAGCTCATCTTTTGCCGTCAACCTGGGGGCATGAACCTCGCAATATCTCGGCATTGATCCGGCGTCCACTCAGACTCGCTTCCTCTCCCTTGTCCCTCGTCCTCATACACTATCTTTCCGGACTAAGGCTCAAACCTTGTCGACTAGGCCGCATTTTTCCTTGCCTCTGCCGAGTGTCTGTCCTTCCCATCAACCTCTTTCTCATCCCATTCCTTTCTTGTTCTTCCTTTTCCCTCAGCCTCTTTCTTCCTTCCTATTCTATTCCTCTCGCCCTTTCCCTTCGACTCACCCAACCGCTTCCCGACTGCATTTAAGAGGATTAGTCTCCTCTGTGCTCCCACACCCCATTTCCGCATCTCGACTTCTGGACCTTTGCCGCGTCGACTTCCACCAACCGACTAGGCGCTAAGACCCGCACAACGCAGCATCCTGGCGCGTGCCTTGTCCGAGATATAGTCCATAGTATCGCCCACTCCGCCGCCCACGGCAACTTCCTCCCTTCTCGGTCACGATTGCCCTACTCAAAGCCTCGACGTTTTCTGAATTTGTTTTCCCTGTTCTCGGACGCTGGGAGTCTCCTCACTAGTATCGCTCCTTTTGTAAAGTCAACGTTCAGAAACCATCACTCATTATTATTTGGTGCCGAGACGTCCCTCAGCTGATTAGCTGCAAGGGAGCTGTCGTCGTTGCAGCCCTACCCAGGCCAACTTCTCCCCCGGTCGCCATGCGATAAAGTAGGGCTTACCGCACTGGGTTTTCCACCGCTCGCTTCCTCTCAACTCGTCATGTCGACAGTTGAGAGTCCTCCGGTCGCGACGGCACCTCCAGACCCCCAATCCAACGAGCAGTCAGATGCACCAACACATGCACGGAGTGATGCATCGCCAAGCGCATTCGGGAAGGGTAGTGGAAGTGCAGATGTGTCGCCTGCACCCGAGACTGCGCCCGCGCCCACGCCTACACCTGCGGGCCCCCTCGACACGCCCCAGTCACAGCCCATGACTGCGACCGCGTCCACTTCCTCGCTACAGCCGCCCCTCGAAAATGGAGACAATTCCACCTCTGGTCCCTACGGTACTCGCTCGAGAAATCGGACAGGTGGCTCTCGCCCAAACTACGCCGAGGATAAGGAGTTGGATCTCGAAATAGAGGCACTGTCAAAGCCGAGTCGTGCAAGCAAGCGATCTTCTGCCGCAGCGAGCGAGCAGCAGCCTTCGACTACGAGCTTTGCATCAGTCAACAACTCTCATCCCGATAAACCCTCCGCCTCCGAAACCACTCCTGCGGCCAATGCCTCCACGCCAGTTCCCGCCGCGGCTCCTGCACCTTCGAAGAAAAGAAAACATCCTGGGAGCAATCATACTGTGGCCGCAAACTCAACGATGGGCAACGGTTCGCGCTCGAAACCTATCGCCTCGGTGCCCTTCAAGGGCTATGTCGAAACAAACATGATGAGTTTCAAACGCTGTGGATACAAGCTGAATGCAAAAAATCAACTGGTTGCCGACGACGACACCGCCGTCCAGGCCAACGGTACTTCGGCATCCTCAGGTATAATATCTTTTGTATTCAGTGCTAATTGATATCTAGATCATGTTTATCTCATCTGCGAACCTCCGGGAGAACCCTACTACCTTGCCCGTATCATGGAATTTCTACATGCGAAGAACGACCCCGAAGGTCCCATCGATGCCATCCGAGTCAATTGGTACTACCGCCCGAAAGACATCCTGCGAAGAGTCCAAGACACGCGGGTTGTCTTTGCTTCGATGCATTCAGACACTTGCCCCCTCACTTCGCTGCGCGGGAAATGTAACATCCGCCATCTCTCAGAAATCTCTAATATGGACGAATACCGTGGTCAGCAAGATTCTTTTTGGTTTGACAAATTGTATGACCGATACATGCACCGATATTACGAGGTCATTCCGACGAGCAAGGTCGTCAACGTTCCCCAACATGTCAAGACTGTCCTAGATCAACGCTGGAAATTCGTCTTGGTCGAGATCGGCCGCGGTCGTGAGCTGACCAGTGAGAGCAAAAAGTGTACAAAGTGTGAACAGTTTGCCAGCAATCACGACTCCGTCGACTGCGCAGTTTGCAAACGGACATACCACATGCAGTGCGTCCGGCCACCGCTCCTGAAAAAGCCCGCTCGAGGGTTTGCATGGGCCTGTGCCTCTTGCAGCCGGGCACAGGAAATGAAAATGGATAATCGAAATACGCCCGCAGGCTCCGAAGCTGGGCATGGGGACGACGACGAGCACATGGATGAAGACGAAGATGATAATCAACCCAAGAGTCGGGACACTCGTGAGAGCAGCATCGCACCCGAGCCTCACCCAGCGCCCACCAAGGAACAGATTGCCCAGGCAAATCTGTGGCCGTGGCGGTACCTCGGTGTTCACTCACGCGTTGAAGATGCGCTGGACTATGACGACCGGATATATCCTCGAGCAAGCTCCAGATTGGGCCCTCGGCACCAGGCCAACGTCAATGTGTGGCACGGCCGTCCCGTTGAGTTAGTGAAGCCCGCCGAGATCAAACGAAAGTACATGAAAACTGCCCATCACATCAAAGGTGCTAAAGGCTCCAAGGATACCGGCACCGATACCGACAGGGATCAGAAGTTGAAACGCCCTAAATGGGTAATTGATGAGCCCATTGGCTATGTCCCTCGAGGGCAGGATGAGCCGGTTGAAATCAAGGGCAAAAAAGAACATACTGCTCAATTGCTTTTCAAGATGCCTGAAGTTGGACAGCTTTCAGGAAGAGGCGGTGATGACGTTTCGGGACCTGAGGATCCGGAGCGTCTGGTTGATGATTACATGGCGAGGGTCAAACCGATTGCTGCCAAATACAATCTGCTTGATTCGTCTGTCGACTTTCTCACCAAAGCGATCGAAAAGCTGCAGGAGAATGACTACGATGTGGAAAAAGCATTGAAAGCCATGGCGGAACTTAGCTTGAAGAGTGACTTGAAACAGCCCGAGCTTACCCGTGACGAAATTAAGCGTTTCGAAGAAGGTGTGGCTAAATATGGAAGTGAACTTCATGCTGTTACCCGCCATGTTGGGAATGTCAAGGAGTCTCGGATTGTTCGGTTCTACTACATGTGGAAGAAGACCGAGAGGGGTCGACAGATCTGGGGCAACTTCGAGGGACGCCGTTCGAAAAAGGAATCTAAACGAGCAGATAAAGACGGCAACGTGCCCAAACTCCTGGACGATGTTGCCGATGATCAGGATGACTCGGCCTTTGATGATGAGAAGGCGGTGCAAAAGAAGCGAGGGTTTGTCTGCAAATTTTGTGCAACTCATCATTCGAGGCAATGGCGACGTGCGCCGGGGACGCCACCCGGCACACTGGTACCCAAGGATGCCTCTGCGAAAAACAGCAAAGACAAGAGTGGGTGGCTCACCCTGGCTCTATGTGGTCGATGTGCCTATCTTTGGCGCAAATATGCCGTCCAGTACGAGGATATTGAAGAAATCTCAAAGAAGATTGCATCTTCTGGAAGCAGGGCAGCAAAAAGGAAAGTGGATGAAGAACTCTTGCGTCTTATACTTGAGGCGCATCAGATGTCTGGCGACCCCATTCCCCCTCGAGCTGTTGATGAGGTCAATAAGGCTGGCCTGGAAGTGCCCCAAAACATCATCCAACCTGAGGAACCTCCCAAGAAAAAGGGCAAGCTTGACAAAGACGCCGCACAACCCACTCCTGATGTCGTCCCAGAAAAGAAGAAGGCGCCCGAAAAACCGCCCGAACCTGCCGCGATCGAGCCGGATCCACCCAGGGTCAAGGTCCATCCCTGTGCCGTGTGTCGGGTTATCGAAGCCCCTGGCCTGGAATTACTCAAGTGTCGTGACTGCAGACTCCATGTACATGGTGCATGCTATGGGGTCGGAAAGAAGACAAACACTAAACCATGGTTCTGTGATATGTGCAGAAACGACCACAACTTACAAGTCTCAACAACCTACGAATGTATTCTCTGTCCTGTCAAGTACACAGCTCAAGAGCTTATGGAGCCTCTAAGAACATCTCACAAGAAGAAGAGCGATCGGGAGCGTGAAAAGGAACGCATTGAACGAGAGATCATACAAGAAGCTAGCCGAAGATGGCGTATGGAACAAGAAGCAGCAGGCCGTCCTGTCAACCCCCGTGAAGCTCTCAAGAGAACGGCATGGAACAACTGGATCCACATCACTTGTGCCCTCTGGACCAAGGAGATCAAATTTGGCAATTCTGAATTGCTTGATGATGCAGAAGGCGTGGGTTTCATCCCTACGGAGCGCTTTGAACCGATCTGCAAGATTTGCAAGCTATCTGGCATGCCTACGGTCAAATGTCATATGGCCAGTTGCAACGCCTATTTCCACGTTGGTTGTGCCCACCAGGCAGAATACACATTTGGCTTCGACGTGCAACCCGTCAAGAGCAGCAGACGTGACACGGTCAATATCATGAAACTTGGTTCAGAGACTGGTATTGTCACCGCAGGGATCTGGTGTCCGTCGCATGTACCTACTACCTGGGTGCACAACATGCTCGAAATGACAGACGCTGAGGTGACGGCCATGCAATTGTTTGCCCGCACTTATAAGCAGGTGGACAATTCCATTACAGGCACTGTCCGGCGCGCTGCGCAGTTTGCCACCAATCTGGCGAGCTCTGCACCAGCAGGTCAGCCTCCTCAGCGGCGGGAAAGCACCGTCAACGGGGCACCGAACGGCACCATCAGTCATACTGAGAGAACTGATGGCACGAGCCTTCGAGAATCTCCCGCAGCCGCTGGAGCAGCAGAGTCGATGATGGACTTAGACACAGCACCGACGGAAACCACGCCAAACGAGAGGAAACGAAGCGGCAGTCAGAAAAAGTGCTGTACTTGTCTTGTGGATGTCAGTCCCAGATGGTGGCCTCTTCAGCAAGATCAACCGCCAGCGCCCAACGGAATATTGATGGATTTGACCACAGACCAACATCAAGTGAATGGTCCGCGGGATGCTGTTCTAACCAATGGTGCTGTCAAAGCTGAACCGGCCGACAGCACGACCCTCGCAGCAATCGCTGGTGCCAAGGACCGTACCATGTATCAATGCCACAAGTGCCATGTTCTCAAGCGAACACCCCCTTCGTCGCCATCACAAGTCAAGCCTCGTGAGAAACCTGTGCTACTGGATCCAGAGCCATACAAACACCCGCCGCCGTTGCCTCCACCCCCAAGCGTCTACGCATTGAATAGACCGCCAATTGAAGCAATACCCCATTCTCATCCTCATCCTCACTCTCTTCCAGCTCCGACGTCTCATTATCAACCTTGGCAGGGTGCTCCTCCCCCACAATGGTCCTCCCCTGGGGTGCGAGCAGCACGTCACCCTTCTCCGCCAGCTCCGCCACTTTACGGTCAGCCTTTGTACCGGCCCCCTCCTCCTCCGCCTCCACCACCACCACCACCAGCGCCCGAATACAGTCAATCACCGTACGGCCGGCCAGGCCATCCTTCGCCTTATGCCAGCGTACCCCCTCCCCCACCACCCGGTCCTGGGCTGGTGCCTCAGCATTCCCCGGCTGCCTCAGCTGCTTATGCGCATCATCCTCCACCTCCACCTCACCCTCACCATCCTCATCATGCTCATCATAGCATTCCACCACCTTCGGCTCCACCGCAAGTCACGCGTCCACCATCACCCCCACGATATGGTTCTGACCGGCCTCCTGTCCCCCCAACCCATCTTGGACTAGGGCCTTCGAGCCTTTTGTCGCGGGGATATCCTGAACCACCCCGCCAGTCAACCCTCGATTCTCCTGTGAATGGGTATGCGGCTCCTCACTCTACTGCTTCGAGAATGTATGCTCAAGGTCCTCCGCCGCCTCCGCCGCCTCCAGCTATGAGACAATCTCCGTCAGCACAGTCTCTGGCGCAAATTTCCCAAGCTGCCGGTGATCCATCAGTGGGAAGACCGCATTCAAGGCAGGCGAGTGTTGAGATGTCAAACACCCCGCGCTTTGGGCCCAGGGCAGTCCCCGGGAGTCCTCAACAGAGACCACTTACGCCCTCTACGGGGCCAGCTTTCACCAGAGATGAAAAGAGAGATGGGCTAGGGGCAAGTGCTAGTCCGAGCGTGAAGAATCTGCTTTCTTAGGAAGATGAAGATACCACTGAAAAGAAGAGTGTCAAGAGTAAACAGGTTGGTTGGCAGAACGTTGTCTTAAATCCCAAGGAGGACGATTGATTGATAAGTTTGTGTGATATTTGCAATGAGCTCTGTGGACCGCTGAGACCGTGGTCAGCCAGGAAAGTCGGTCCCTGTCCAGAAAATGGGTTTTCGAACTATGTTGTATTAGATACCCCTGGTTAAGGCAAGCCAGCCAGTCTCTTGAGCTGTATAGAGCAGCTCTTCGTGAAGTGTTCTCGGAATATTGCAAGCAAGCAAATAGCCTTATGTTCAGCGTCAGTCTTCCGTTTCTCCTGTTCTGTCGGTCCAAAAAAAGTTGATTACTACGAAGACGCAAAAGGATTCGCATGGACGGAGAATGAAGCAGGAGAAGAAAAATTACATAGAATTGACAAGACGAAGATTCAGAAGAAACATTCAGAACACGATCCAAGCGTTTCTTGTGGGAACAACTTGATCATTTCCAGTGGCATAGTATCTCATATTTTTCTTTATCTCCCATTTTCCTGCCCTGTGAGGATAGCCCTTTGTCAAAGCAGGGCCAGGAACAAGATGGAGCTTGGTCTCTAGTACCCTCACAAGTCTCACAAGTCTCACGAGTCACGACGGCCGGGTCCCCCGAGTGATGCAAATGCCGCGGCGACGCGACGACTCCTATTGTGACTGGGTAGCTAGCTAGCTAGCAATCGATCCGCCCAGCACGGGGGGATGGGAAAGCCAATGGGTATCCTGACATCCATCATGTCTGTCCCATCTCCGGCGGCGCCACGTATCTGGTGCGGGATGCAAGAGGATTGACATGGTTATTTTTGGTGACCATGCACATTGCTGGATCTCCCCCTATGGCCGCCAATCCAGGTCGTTCAATGCCTGCTCTATGGCCTGAAGATGCCTTTGCAGGTACGAACGGTCATACTCACACTGGCACCGTCCAAAGGTTACCCAGTCGACCTCAAACCCGATGCCATCCCATGACAGGGCAAGAGGGGAATATGTGTGGCCAAGACCACTGAGATGACCTACTCCTCATCTTCGTCGTCGTCGTCAATGACTCTCCGCTTCTTGCGGGCCGCAGGACTTCCCACAGCTCTTCTGCTTTCTCCAGCCTCGTCATCGTCTTCGCCCTCGGCATCCTCGTCCTCGTCCCGCAGAGCGCGTTTGGGAGTTCTGTCTCGGTCCCGATCTCTGGCACCGCCCCGAGTGCGGCCTTGAAGCACCGTCTCACGTCCCTCGATCTCCAAATCGTCAACATCCGGATCTTCTTCTTCGGCTTCGACTTCCTCCTCTCCTTCATCCTCGTAAATCTCGGGTTCTTCATCGCTCGCCGCAAGGAAATCATCTTCGCGATCATATTCATCTTCTCTGCCTCTTCGGCGGAAAGTCTCCTCGTCCTCGTCGTCTGAGTAGATATCCCCGCGCCGATTCGTCTTGCGTCGCTTAGCTGTGGCCTTCTTCCCTCTCGCCGTGGGCATTCCGTCATCATCTTCCAGTCCGGCAATGGAGAGACCCGCACCACCCGTTGAACGGCCGAGCCCAGATTTCCCCAGAACGCGATCCCTACGCATGAACTGCCGGTCTTGAGCAGCCTCTCTGCGACGGTCCGCCCGAGCACGCTCCTTTTCGAACATTTCGGCAGCCTTCTTGGCGAGTTCGGGGTCTTCTTTGACAGACTTGAAGGTGGTGGGGGACTCATGCATTTGCGTAGTGGCAGCAATAGATTGTCGCAGTTTCATTTCGGCCTCATCCGCTTGGTCGCCCGCCGGTTGGATCTTCATCGATGCATCGAAAGGGGCAATGATCTGGAGATCTATCCCTGCTGCAGCGTGAGGTGCGGCGAGAAAGTGGTTTGTTTCCTTTGTAGGGTCGTAGTCTTGATGTTGCGAACCAGAGAGCTTCTTAGGCCAACCTTGTCGCATGGCGGTAGTGGAGATACGGTAATGGTCTTGCGGCTTCGAGGCGATCTGCAGAGTAAAGCTGCCGTCCGACCAGCGAACTATACGGGAGTTTGATTGTATGAGTTCGGGGTTCTTGGGATCGCGGCGCCAGAAGAGGGAAGTGTTGGCTGTGGAGAACGGGGAGAATTTGACCGTAGGATCTGCCATGGGATCGCGACCATCATGGGGTCTGGAGGGCGGTTCGTAGCTCGAGGGATCAAAATTTCTGTGTTTGATGCCTAGAAAGTTCGGAATGTTGAGGAGGTATAGTTCGTCACCTTCGGGCGGTTTGACTCGCGCTATGTCCACGTCCAGAAGTTTGAGTTGTTTCTGCTCTTCATAGAGACCCTCCTCGTCTTCCACAGTGGGTGCGACACGATCGTTTCGGCCCTCATCATCGCCGGAGTCCAGTTCAGAGTCGTCTAATTTTCTATGGAGGCTGCCGCAAGTTAGTGAAAGTTCCAAGTGTCCAGCATAAGCACCATACTCATTCGGCTGCTCCGCATCGTCATCGTCATCTCCAAATAAATCTCCGTCCTCGTCGGACGCAAGATCGCCATTGTGATCTTGAACTTCATCTTCCTCCAGGGTGCTGCCGTGGGGAGCAGACTCGACCTCAGCGGACATCCTGGTTGCTTGTTGTGGAATTCAGAATTTGAGCGCAGGGAGACAGAGGCGTGCGCTAACAATTGCTGCGAAAGGCCGGATACAGGACTTGACACATCTCATGAAGATATAACGAAGAGATCAAGACAGGACGTATTCATCGTCTGAGATCTCCACGTTCAGTGCGTGGAAGTGAAATGTTTGGATTGTGAATGGTCATGCTGGCACCAGGTACCAGAATGCGGTCTTGGATTGGGATTGTCCACAAAGGGCTAGCGTAGAGCTCACGTGCCCTTCCCTCGGCTAAGTTGCATTATGGGGAGTTAATTGTTTCAATGAGAGGCTCCTTCTCCTCGCTGTCGACAAGTTAAACTGGTTACTCCTTTTCACCATTCCCACCACGCCGACGACAAGCAATTGTGTTGTGAACAATCGAGAGTATTGCCCGACCCTTTGCGGGTCCATCTACCGATATGGCAACCTTCTTTCAGAGCGTGTAAGTTAGCCCGGCCATCTTCAACTTCCCCCGATTTTCAAACTCCTCTACTTTCACCGCCGACACGAACTGTCTTGATCTTGTCCTTGCTACTCTACGCATTCAAGATGGGCAAATTCAAATGGAAGATTGCTTTGCGAGGCCTCAAGCGCCCTGTCAGTCCTACGAAACATGCCACAGTTGCTGACCCTTCTCCCAGTCGTCAAGGTTTCACTCGAGCCAACACCAAATCCAACCAAAACCTCAAGGCTCAGTACAACAATGGCCAATCTCAATCTCCCATCTCACAGCAAGCCCCTCCTCTTCCTCCTCTGACCAATTCGCCCTCCATCTCATCCACATTCAGTGAGCAAAGTGGTTATGTCGAACAAGAGCCCAAGAAATTCCTGAATGAGAAATATGCCAAGTGCTCGGTCAAGGGGAACTTCCTCACACTCGCTGCACAGCCGAAGAATGTCGAGCTTGGAGAATGGCTAGCCCATCAATGTGAGTTGACATGCAGTCTTACAAATTTGGTGAAGCGAAGCTCATTTCGCACAGTGGTCGAGATGAACCGACTCCTCACCGGCATGATCCAAGTCATCCAGGAGGTTGACACCAACACCGGATTGCCACTCTGCAATGAGCAGCAATGTCCTACAATGTCTGCTGGGCGGTATGTTTGAGCGACCTTCAAGCAGCGAATTTTCATCAATTGACTCTTCCTAGTCTCACTTACACCTGGCTCGAAAATGGCCGACCAGCCAAGATCCCCGCACCTCAGTACATCGTCCGGGTTCAACGCTGGATCGTTGGCAAAATCCACGATGAGAAGACCTTCCCTACCGCACCTCCACCGACTGTTGACCAAACCTCGTACATGTCCGGAGACACTGGCGCTGCCACACCCTCGGCCACCACGCCAATTGCTGCGCCCCCTACCAACCTCCCCTTAACCACTCTCGTGGGTGCTCAAGACGAATGGACCGGAAAGTCATCAGGCTTCCCTCAACACTTCCATGCGGACGTCAAGGCGATTATCAAGCAAATGTTCCGCTGCTATGCGCACCTCTATCATTGTCACTTTACCGATCCATTCTGGCACATTGGTCGTCACGCAGAATTGAACAGCTGCTTCGTCCACTTCTGCACGGTCGCAATGTACTACGACCTGATCAGCAAGAAGGACATGGAGCCATTGCAGGGCCTCATTGACATCTTTGTGGCGCAGGGCGTCATCCCGAAAGAGGCTGTCCAGCAGCATGTTTCCTAGGAGTCGGTTGGACTGATCGGGGATATGATAGCATTGAGATGGTGAAGGGGCATTGTTTACGGCGTGTCATGAATGAACAGTGATGCATTTAGCGAGCTGGCGTCCGGCGATTGCGAATGAGCACGGCTATCATGTTGCCGAAAGAGAGTGCATATGAGCTTGAATTGATGGCATCTTCTTGCCAGGGGCAAGCCCCTTGGCTTCACACGATCAAGTTTTCTTGTGCTTCATCGTTACTCCGTTCCATGCTATGCATTGCTAACTTGATATCGGCAAGCGCCACGAAGCAGGTGCCAGGTTGGCTTGAGGACCCAACGGAGAGAGTCTTACCTAACCAGTGGCATTCAGCGTTCTGGCGTACTCGCCCTTCAATCTTCTTTCGGTTGCTCCCATGGCAAACATGGTCCTGGTGGTGATTGTAATCCATCTTGTTCTGTCAGAGACTGAGGCCTGCTAGAGACGTCTCAAGAGGATTTTGGAACTCCAACATTCTCCCCTGCCTTGAGCCAAAAAGCGATCTCTGCCGGAGCGTGGTTCTCCGAGAAGAGCGTTTCCGTGGATGACAAGCTGATATTCCCCCAGCTAGATGCAATCAACTCTTGAGGGGCTGCTCGATGTACTTCCCAAAACATTCCTCGCTGCTTAACCTGTCCACTTCGCCTTCCATTACACTCACTATCACCTCTGCAGCGCCGTCTGGCAATTTGGGCATGATGCAATTCACCCCGGGCTCGCTGGGATATCTGTACCTCACTGGGGCTCCACCGAATGCGGTGCCCCAATCCTGTTGATAGAGCGCCGAGCTCGTCCAGTCTGTGCCCATGGCCACTCCGGTCGACGTGTAACTGCTCAGAAATGCCCAATCCACCCATCTCTCGTTCGTTTCGGCGATGACACTGCGGACGAGAGGAGGAGTGACGGCTGTGATAGCGCCACGGACCGCGCTGGCAGCTTCCTGCAGCCCGGAACGCGGGGCGAGGAGGGTGCCGAGCTCGAGTGAGACGGAGAGTTGGTAGACGGCGTTGCCGACGTATGACGGCGGGAGATCCAGGTGGCGGCGGGCATCCGAGGGCATGAATAGGTTGGTTATCGTGGATGCGGGGACGTTCCGAGCTCCGGCGGGACGTTGGCTGCGTATCAGGATGAGACTCCGCCATATCAGGGCGCATATTGCATCGTGTGTCGAAATCGGTGGTGCGCCCGGCTGTGTGGCATCGGCTTTGAGCTGCGCTACACGAGTTGCGGGGATGTAGAACAGCACAGACACCTCGGCCGACGTGGCCTCGAAAGGATGGCTGGGTGGCAGGTTTGGCGGGTTGGCCATATATCCCGGATGATCTTCTATCCTGAATGGAATCTCGCTCGACATGCCACGCATGATTCTCCGATCCAACCCCATCTGCGTCGAGGCGGCAGCCTGTGCGAGCACGTCGTCCGTAGCGCACCCTTGTGCGAGCTTCGTAGCCTCACTCAGGACGCGCATCAGCTCGTTGTTCCCGCTGCCGTCAGCCACACAGTGTGACATTGCCCACGTGAGGATAGCACCGCCTTTGATTGTGCTGAACTGGATCTTGCAGGCAGCGTAAGGCCTGTCATTGCCAATGTCCTGAGGCACAGGCACAAGCAGGTCATAGGTGAGTCGAGTGATCGGAAACCCGGACGCTTGAAGCTCCTCGAAACAAGGCAATTCCTCGCTGAGGTCTTTCACCACCAGTTCAATGCCACGGTCAGGGCGGATCGTGCGCCAGTCCGGACTGGAATTGGTCCCATTGAGCTCTGCAGGTTGTAGAGGAGTGACGATGCCACCCAAGATAGCACACCGCAAGCCAAGGGCTTGTAAGCCAACCTTCAAGGCGGCCAGCTGAGCATCCCGCTGAGAAAGTGACGCACAGCGAAAGATGAGAAGGCGGCGGCTGTAGTGAACCCTGGTCTGCCATTAGCATTTAACAAGTTGGCCAGCGGAGGGTCGGAGTTTTCGAAGGTCCCGCAACACGGTCATGATCGTGGGTTTTGGTGAGACCTACGGATGTAGAGCATCGAGGGCGGCGAGCTCGACATGGAAATGCGGGACTGGGATCAGGATATTGTCCGACATGACTACGAAAGGACCAGATGAGGGATTTGAGATGAGTGCTCGAAGCTGTTGGTCGGTTGCAACAAGCTCAGGCGTGATGGCGAGGCTGGCCTAAACCCTGATAGGCTCGCGTCGCACGAGGCTGGGCACTTTTCTTCTCCTTACTGGGGCCTCGTAGTGTTTTCCTGCTCGTCATCTGGATCATCCCATGTAACTCATGCTCGTCCTTCATCGATCTGAACATGGGACGCCTGTGTGCCGTGAGAAATCGCCCGGTGCAAAGTTCCGGCCCGTGCACTGGCGAATCGCGTTTCTCCGGGTGCTGTCTTTCTGCCAACCTCCCGGGAACTTCTTTGTTAATGGGCGAAAGGCTCACCTAGCTCGATTGGCTTCCATGCCCATACTCAATAAGAAAGCATCCATGTGCGCAACCCTTCGCTAATGATCGCAGTCCCCACAGTCCCAGGCGAGCCACACAAACCCGGTGAGACGGCTGGACGGGTGCCCTAAACATGGTTGTGTGAGCAAAGACCATCCATTAAGGCCTGAACATCCCCCCGTATTCGCATGAGGCTCTCAGGGTGCCGGAATCTCGCCGAAAAGGCCAATCGAGGATCCCTAAGCCCCTGTGTGACTTGCCGCGACCACCACTCTATTCAACCTGGTCGGTAGCACGCCTGAAATCCCCCACCACGGGCGGTCAGGTCAACACCCACTGCACTCTCTGGAGAGGCCCATGAAGAAGTTCAGCAGCGTTCCATCCGGAAGGGCATTGGCGCGAATCGCTCGTTTAGAGGTCTTGACGGCAAAGCAGCCCCAAGGTTTGCAGTCTTTGGAGATCCAATCTCATTCCGCAAGGTCGCTCAGGCCTCCCATCCGGCGATTTGCGTCCTGCTTGTAAGCCACGTCGAGTCTACAAGGGGCAGGTTTACCACCTAGATTCCCATACTAGCCTAAGGAGAATTTCTTGATGGATAATGCTGCCTCTATAAGGACTTTCAGCTGGTAAGCGCCGGTCATGGCAATGAGATACAAATGTCGATGCTTGAACATTGGGAGACACCAAATCCTTGAGCACAAATTCCCAGCGCAAGGCCCGAAACTTGCGCCCTCATCATCACAATGACCACGATACAGCAACCCAACCCATCAGGTCTGCCGAGCAACAATGACAAACATTGTTCCAACAAGCGAGCACATCATTCCAAAGTCGTTACTGGCTGTCTCACCTGCAAACAAAGACACATAAAGTGCGACGAGGAGAAGCCAAATTGTCTGAGATGCAAGCGGAGCGGTCGTCACTGTGGCGGCTATGTTGTTCGCAGAGTCTGGATTTTTGAACCTTCCGGGAAGAGGTCATCAGAGACCTTTCCCGATTCTGCGCACGCCCCAAGGGCTATATCAACAGAACAATGCCCGGCTAACGACCGCTGGGCTTTTCAATACTTCCGTGAAGTAATGACGCCCGCCATGGCAGAATGGACATTTGCCACTAGCGCCCAGGACTTTTGGTTTCGTCATGTTCGACAGTGTGCAACGTCGATACCGGCGGCTCGTCACCTTGCGGTTGCCCTTGCTGGAAGGTATAGGAGCACGTGTGACTGGGTTTCAGAGCCCTCCTTTGCATCTGAACAGTATCTGCAAGCTTTATCCTGGCTCAACCGAGAAAAAGACGTGATTTGTGTGGATACGTTGCTCCTGTGTTGCGTCTTGATCGCCGTTTACGAGCATCTGGATCCACATATTAGGTCTCATGCAGGCTTGTCGCATCTCGCCGCGGCATTTCGCATCATGAATGATCCTCATACCAAGTGGACTCCGGCCACCAGGGCAACCTATTCAATTGCTACGCAGGTCGAGACACTGGTTTCCATCTTCAGAACTCCCATCTTTCTTCCCGGCACGGAGCCCACCATTTCCTTTGACCAGAGCGTACCACATCTCCCGGAGACATTCCACAATACCGGCCAAATGCAACGGAAGTTCTTTGAAATCCTCCGCTGGCGGTTCTCGTATGCACTTCGCCACAGCGAATGGACCAGTCGCTGTTCTGGCTTTCGCCAGCTCCACAAGCTGTTGCGCCAATGGTACGGGTTGGTTCGCCAATTTATCTTGGGAATCAATGACCAGAAACCTACAGGCGAAGAACACCAGCTTGCCAAGATAATGTCCAGGCAGTTTCGGATGATGTATGCTGCTCTTTGGTATTCGACCAGTGACGAAACCCACCAGTATCACCATCCCGGTCATGCCAATATGGTTGACTTGTCATGTCCTGACAAAGTAACTGTTTTTGTTCCTGTCAAGTTTGACCCTCAATATGACCGTCAGTCTGACTTTCAGGATGACAGCATGGATTCGCAGTTGGATTCTGATGCCCGTCACAAGCCACTCGGGATCTGGCCTGATATCGAAGTAATCATCTCTCCTGATCGGTCTCGTTATGTGCGGTTCACAGTGGTTTCGAATGGTTATGATGAAGGCGATGATGCATGAAATAAAAAACAAGTGTCATGCTTCGCGGAACCGACTCTGCAGCTGAAGGCACCAAAAAGCGCCTTCAGGCCGGCTCGTCTATACAGTGGCCGAAATAGAATCTTATCTGGCGGCCTCTAAAGCTGCGCTACAAGGAAGACTGGAGGAGATCACCATGGAATTGCATTTGTCTCTGTTACTCACCTCTGTTGTGTCTTAAGGTGTTGCTGATGTGGAAGGAGCCTCTCCAAAGCATTTTCTTTCACTTGATCATGCCATATGCCTCTGAATGACTGAGGAAGGCGCAGGCATGGGCCTCAACAGAAGCGAGGGAAAGCCTTCCTGGTGCTGACCATCGTGGTCTTATGCAAATTTCGGCAGAGCCTCACGAAAAATGGGATTGCCTCCACGATTTTATCACTGCTTTCAGCATGTAACGCGAAGCTGAGAGTACTTTCAGCCTCAGCCACCCAAGTCGTGTCTGCGACTTCGCACCTTCTGCTTGTCGACGCTCTACTCGGTCTGCTTCTCGACGGCTTCGACGACGTCTCAGGAATATAGGATCAAGAGATATCGGTACGAGAGACTCCCGCCAACTCTTTTGGACATGTCATGTTAACGTAGCACGTTTCAGGGCGAATCTGACTCGTCTCTGGCGACCTCAAGCACCTTTGCTTCAGGCGATCCACTAGACCACTCTACGTCAAGGGGAAAGAGGAGATCTACGCCGAAATGTCAAGCACCACCGCAACCTTGCCAGACGATGCCTTCCGATCCTACGTCCTGGATTTCCTCCGACATGTCCCTCCGGCAGCCCTCAACAACTCAGATGCAGCCCGCTCGGAGCTCGAGGCCCTGACTGGAGAGTTCTACGAGACAAGCCAAGACATCAACATGCAGGAACTCATCTTTGCTCTCCACGTTCGCTACGATCTGGTGGGTCTGGGCTTCTTTGAGAAAGCCGCCCTCGACGAAATCCTCGTCCGTGTCAACAAGGCTCGTGGCAAGACTGGTACCAAGAACCGACAAACGACTGCGCATCAAACACCGACGGTGGCCCAGCAAGGACCGGTTGCGCCTGATGAGGTGGCTGAAGATCTTGTGGGCGTTGCATCACAATTCTCCGCTGTTGCTCCTGTGCCTGCGGACTTGGACCCCAAAGATTTAGACCCTGCGGAAGAGGAGGACAACAGTGCGAGACTGGATGATGGACCTGGAGAGGACTACGTTGTCGGGTGGAGGACGGAGTTTCTAATGACGCCAGATGGAACGGCCATGGTGTACAGGCAGTTGCAGCGCCAGAGAGGGAGAGGGGGCAAATGAGGTAGTCAGGCAGCTGTGTGATTTTCTGTCCAGGGTATCTGCGGCGCTGGTTTTGGTGGTTGGTATAACAGCTTAAAAGTTTGGGCAACAGAGGGCTTCATCCCTGAGACGGAAGTGTATTTACCTCGAGGGGAGAACAGAGAAAGGGGTTGGTAGAGAGCACGCCCATCTTCAGCAGCTGGTGCCAGGCCCACAGAGTATTGTTTTCCATTATAAAATCGTTGCTTCGTGTCATACTTTTAGTTTGTCTCGTGTCTGTCTCTATCAGTTTTGACGGGACTTTCCATATTATACCCGTACTCATGTAACCCATCCCATCCCATCTCGTCAGAGTGAACCAGTGAGTCCTCGTCAGTCATCAGACGGTCAGCCATGCAAATCAGCCCCCAAAATTCCCCAGATCCTGAGAACGGAAGGAAAGACCAGGGATTTCCATCCGACCTTGAACTGGATATCTCAATTCCACTCATCCGCAATCACATTCTTGGCCAACTCGATATTCCCCGAATAATCAATCTGCACATCCACAATACTCACGCCCTTATACGCCAGCGCCTCCCCGAGCGTGCGCTCAAGCTGATCGGCCCTCTCGACACGGAACCCCTTGGCGCCAAAACTCGCCGCGAATGCCACAAAGTCCACGCCGCCGAGCTTGACGCCGCTGGCGCGCCCGTACTTCATCACCTCCTGGAACTCGACCATGTTGTAGGCGTGGTCGTTCCAGATGACGTGCGTGATGTCGCACCCTTGTTGGACGGCCGTGGAGAGTTCCTGGGCCGAGAACATGAAGCCGCCGTCGCCGGAGACGGAGATTACTTTCTCAGAGCAGGGCGTTGGGGTTTGGGTCAGGGAGGCCGCGATGGCCCAGGGGAGCGCGACGCCGAGGGTTTGTTGGCCGTCGGAACTGCAGTTGTCATTTTCGTCATTATGATGGATATGGGATATCATTTTTGGTTGTGGATCTTTTTTCATTTTGAGAGGGAGGGGGACTTACCACAGCAGCCGGCGCGGCTCGTAGGCGAAGAAGAATCGCATAAAGTAGATGTACCTGCACAAGAACAAAGGGACGTTAGAGGAAGGGGTCGGTATCTTTAATGGAGTGTAGAGCCACGGCTTGTCTCCCTCCTCTCCCTTCCCCGACACCCTTTGGGAGCACACTGAGAGACGAGAAGACCGAATCCAGATCGCGAAGGAGGGACCAAAACTTACACAGAACCCACATCCACACAGACAGTAGTATCCTTGTCCACCATCCGCTGCAAGGTGGTGATGAAATGCAGCGGATGGACCAGCCCCGCCGGGTTCGATGAGCCTTTCGCCTCGGGCCTCTCCTGCCACAGGGTATACTCGTCGCTCAGACCCTGACAGAGTTGCGAGATGGTAGAGGGTTCGGAGATGCGGGAGAGGTGGTCGGCCAGGTACGAGATGTTCTCGACGACGGAACCCAACAGCTCTTGGACTGGGTGGTAGTAGGTGCCGTAGTCGCAGGCGGTGAAGTCGATGTGCACGATGTTGGCGGCGCCGTGCGGGTTCCACAGATTGGCGTCGTACTCGACGGGGTCGTAGCCCACGGCGAGCACCAGGTCCGAGCGCGAGAGGAGCTTGTCGCCGACCTGGTTCCGGAACAGGCCCACGCGGCCGTAGAACAGGTGCACCAGCTCCCTGGGCACGGCGCCGGCGGCCTGGAAGGTCTCGATTGTCGGCAGCGGGAATTTCGAGAGCAGGCGTCGCACCGCCCCGACCACGCGCGGACTACTCGCCCTCATGCCCAGAAACAGCACGGGCAACTTGGCGCCCTCGATCATCCGCACGACCTGGTCGAGCTTCGGCAGCGCCGCGGGGCCGTACAGAGGCGGCACGAACGCGGCGCTGGGAAAGGGCAGGATGGTCGACTTGTTCCTCGCGACGTCCTGCGGGATCGAGATGACGGCGGCGCCCTTGGGCGCGGCGTTGGCGGTGCGGAACGCGTTGACCAGCACCTCGGCGGCCTGGTCCTCGACGTCGATGCCCACGGCCGCCTTCGCCGTCGGGCCCAGGATGTCGAGCGCGCGCATGCTCTGGTGCGTGCGCTTGAGGTTCATGTGCCGCGGAACCGAGCCCACCAGGGCCACCACGGGGTCGTTTTCCGTCGTCGCCGTCACGAGCCCCGTCGCGAGGTTCGACGCCCCGGGACCGCTGGTGCCGATGCACACCCCCGGGATGCCCGTGATGCGACCCACGGCGGCGGCCATGAACGCGGCGTTTTGCTCGTGCCGCGCCACGACGAGCTTGATCTCCGGGTGGTCCATCAGGCAGTCGAAGATGGCGTCGATCTTGGCCCCGGGAACCCCAAACACCAGGCGCACGCCGGCATTGTACAGGCTGTTGACGATGATTTGGGCAACGGTGTCGTCGCTGCTCATGGTGGGCGCAGATGGAACTTGTAGAGCAGCAAAGGCTTTGGGGGGAGAAGGAAGGAGGATGGATGGTCCGGAGACAGGACAAACTGATATGGACGTGAACAATATTACTGAAAATATATATAACTCACTCGGTCACACACTCCCACACAGACATATACGGAAGTTCTTCTATCTATCTAAACACCCTCCTCCGGTTAAAGGAAGAACAACAGCCTCGTCCATTGCCAATTGCGATGAATGGATGATGTAATCGGGCTTCCGGTTATTCCTTGGGGCTGCCATCCCCGTTTTCCACTCCGGTACAGCGAGAGCCATCGCAGGCGTCGTATTCCGCGATTCAGGGCGAATCGTTTCGCTGACCAGACGTCACACCGTTCCTCACGGTATTATCTCGACCTCGCTGCTACCAGGTACTCTCGGGGAGCTTGATGATTGTCCGACGACTTACGCCATCAAACTCTTTAATAAAACAGTGAATTAAACTAACGGGGAAAAGAGGAAGGGGAAAGAAAAGGCCACGGCAAGATCCAAGGAACAGAGAAACGCGAAAAAGTCCGCGGTGGCAGGACTTGACGAGCGAAGGCCACTCAAAAAGAGTAGAAGAGAGAACAAAAATCACAGTGGCATATCCCCAGCAATCCCACCCAACGGCGATCTGAGAAGATTTTCCAACTTGTGACAAAAAAAAGATGGCCATCAACGAGATCTACCAATACTCCCTGGTCAAGTGAGTGTGTTTCTGTTTCCTCCCCTTGCTTCCCCCCCACGAACGCAATGGTTTTCCTCGACTTGAATATTGGCTGTGTCTCCTACAAACCCACCCGCCCTGGTCTTTTTGGCTATTACCGCTAAACAAACAAACGAACGTCTATTTAGTGCATTAATGTCCGGCGTCTCAGACAGCGGCATCACCGTCTCGCAACTCCTAGAAAAAGGAAACCAGGGCCTGGGCACCTTCGTGCGCATGGACGGCGAACTGCTCCTGCTCGACGGCACCGTGTACCAGCTGCAAGCCGAGGGTCAGATCCGCGTGGCCTCACCCACGGACCAGATCCCCTACGCGGCGGCGACGCATTTCCGCTCGCAGCGGACCCTGACGACCCGTCTCGAGGATAAGGACGCGATCGACAAAGTGCTGGAAAAGTTCAACGACCACGCGAGTAACCTGTTCATGTCGTACCGGATCCAGGGCGTGTTCGACCGGATAAAGTGTCGCACGGTCAAGGGCCAGGAGTACGACGGCCAGCCCCTCAGCGAGCTGGGGAAGAAGCAGTTTGTCGCAGAATATCAAAACGTCGAGGGCACCATTGTGGGATTCCGCTCGCCGGCGGCGTGGCAGGGCTTCTTCGTCGCCGGCGAGCATATGCACTTCATTGACAAGGACAAGAAGATTGGCGGCCACGTCCTTGAACTGCACGCGGATGAGGTCAACATGGGCATTGCTACAGTGAACAACCTTCACATTGAACTGCCTACCTCGGACAAGTTCAATTCGGCTGTCATGTCGACAGACGATATGGGTTTAAAGTCTGTGGAAGGGTGACTACCTGATCACCAAGCGAGGCAGACTTTACGGGGCAATGATAAACCATCCATCATAATTTTGGTTTCACAACGACCACCCTGCAACAAAACTTTCCAGCTTTCCCTCCAATACTCTCCCCCTACCACATTGAACCTTTCGAAACCCAAAAGTAGAGACCGCTTCCGAACGACAGCAAGACGGGCGTTTCTGAGTAGCCCTTCCAGCTCGTGGCACCTGCATCACCAGCTGCCGACAAATTGAGGCTGATCGGGCCTGCCACGCTGCCTCAGATACTCCACAACAGGTCTTCTTTTGTAAGAGAGCCAAATGTTTTTTGAATTGCTTCTTTCGTGTCCTCAATGAGCTTGCGTTCGTTTTCATTCCACGCCTCGAGCTTCCCCATTCGTCTGCCTTTAACAATACGATCTGCGGCGCTGAAAATCTCACTGCAGAAACAGATGCAGTTGATCCCCTTCTCAGCCTCCTTGTCAGAATGCATCTTGTCCGACAACTGGGAGACCACGCTGAGACATCGCTCAAACAGTGCAATGAGGTTCACCCGGGCCATAGGAAGGAGCCCGCAGTTACCCGTGGTGATTAATCGATGCGTCGCCAGCGCCAGCGGCAATAGCTTTGGATTTTGGCCTGCAGCTTCAACGATCTGCACATCTGCCTTGCACATCCTCGTTGTTGACCACTCTCCGCGACCTTGGCGACTACGCACAATGGGGGGATTAAGCGCCTGTATTTGAGCATCACTGATGTAGTAGTTCTGGTGCTTGTAGCGGAACAACACACAGCCCGTCATGTGCTTGTGGTGGTGAGTGGGAATATCGAATCCAGCTGCAGCCTTGGCCGCATGAGCCGGGATAGCAAGGCACCAGTTGTCATGCCGGTTCCTGCCCTTGTGACCCTGTTCGAATTTCAACCTGGCGCCCACGTGTCTCGCCCAACATGTGCGAAAGTTGGACTTTGGCGCCTTATTCGCAGGAAACATGACTTCGCCAAATTGAACGCATAGACTTTCCAGGATCGGGATTTCCTCTAGCCCGCCCAGTTGCCTGAGAACGTTGTAAGAATGCAGCACCGCGCCCACGTAATGCCGATATTTGAGCAGGTGCAACCCATAGTAGTGGCACAGATCTACCATTTCGAGGGCATGATTGCCGGCGACCCATGGCGATTGAAAAACAAGGTCCCAGCAATTGTAGCTCGCATACCCATGCAGCTGACTTTCCAAATCATGCAGGTGACAGGCAAGGGTTTGAGGACATCGGCAGGGAAAGGCACCTTTGTTCTTCAAGATCGTGGTGAGATGAAAGCGAGCTTGGTGTGCAAGCTTTAACGCGACGATACGACCTTGTGAGGCCATTTGTGGCTGTGGAATGGATCGAAGAAAGCTTTGAGTGCTTTGGACCAGGAGATTCATTCCCAGAACAGCCAACCAAGACTGTTGAGTATTCTTCGAATTCGAAATGGAGCAGCACACATCCCAATAGACTGGTGTCCCGGTCTTGATGACCTCGATTTCTGTTGCTTTGTTGTTCATGAAAAGGACAAGCTTCTCTATAATGGCTGGTGAGAGGTATTGGCTGCCGGCATCCTCTTTGATGACCCTCCGCTGGGCTTCTTGAGCCTCTTTATGGCCACAGCTGGCGCAAGATGTGTTAACCACAGGCAATTTACCGTTCGAGACATCTGATAGGTTTTGTTCAATTTGCCCTAGTCGATCCAGCAGGGCTTGCGTTGTGCGCGTCGGGTCCTCCGCACCACCTTCACTTTGACCTACCGCACGCTTGGAAGAACACAAATCACGGAGGTCTGCCAGGCTAAAGTCTTCGTCGTGTTGGAGCAAACCACTGACGACCTGGCGCAGCAACGCAAAAGCGACATTGGTGATGAAAGATGCGGATGCCAAAGACAGAGTACCCTCTCCAACAAGTCTCCAATATTGTTCGACCGACCTCGAGATGTCGTGAATTTGCTAGTCTCGTTAGCGAGACGCTCATACAATTCACGGTTGCCCTACCTGTGCGACGGCTGCCAGTTCGAGAGCGTTGCCCAGATCATCATCTGCAAGACAAATGTCTAGGTCTTGGCCCTCAGATGCGGAGGGTGGCGATGAAATGGGCTTAGACTGCCCTGAAGGCCCCTTCCCACCAGGGGTTTGTCCTTCGTGGTCTTGGACATCTTCGACGGTCAGGCCTTCGTAAAGATTGACCGGACGAAGTGGCTGACAGACGGGAGATGTCGAAGGCGATTTGCGCTGTGGTGGGTTCCGAGGCTTGGGGTCACCACAACAATCGCACAGATCATTGTAGATTTTGGTGAGACTGCGGATGAAGTCAGCAGGAGGTCGACACGCCATCAATTCACGACTTGCGTTTCAGTGAAGTGTTCGTGATTGATCGTTTCGACATCGTCAGAAGATTCACCGACTTGGGATCTGTAATATTTGCTGAATTTCTTGCGATCTGAAATCGTCTCGCGGAAGTAGAAGTGCACCACATCGGGCAGAGAACGTATCTTCTTGGACGCCACCTGAGCTAGAGACTCGAGGTCCTTGATGGTCAAGCTCTTGACTGGCTTGTCTGGCGTTGGGCTGTGCTGGAGGAACCAGGTCAGAAGAGCACGCGTGCTTTTCTTGTACCGTACATAGGCATCGAGCAGATCCGGGGGGAGGCCGCTAAAGCTGAGCTTGTGTGAGGCGTTGAGTAGCATTTCTGAAGACTTCTTGACGGAACAGAGAATACAGCGGGAAGATGAGCACAAGAATGTCAAGGTGAGAGGCTGGCGGGTTCACAATTTGAAGTATCAAAAATGTAAGCTGTGGAGCTTCTTTCCACACAGTGACGGGAAAGTGAAACTGGCAAACAACCTTGATATTTGGACGGGAAGGAGCAGGTGAAGGCAAACTTATCTCTTGGGAGCAGCAGATCACAATATAGAAGAGGATCTGTCATCTCGCCATCTCGTCATCGGCATCTTGAAGCTCACAGCATTGGATCCCAGACACGAGCGTCGCACACACAAATACACATGGTCCTCCATCCTGGGCTGAGCAATGGGGTCCCATGCAGGCCAATGCCTCAGCATCATTGGCGCAAGGGATTCCTGCGAGGTACACATGGTCTAGAGTCAAATGTTTTGTGTAGAGGCATCGAGTGAGGTGACGAATAGAGATGAGGAATGAATTTTGAGGACCTTAACGCATTTTCTCAGGGACCGCCACACGTGACCCGACGTTCGATGAGGTGATCCGAGACGCCGCCGAAGCATGGATACGATGAATTGCAAAGTGGAGCAGAATCGGTATTGTTCTAAAAAAGACTGTCATGTAGAAATGGTGAGTGTCGTGGATGAGGAATAGTCCCGAGATAAACCTCTAGTCAACCACCGCGCCCAGACATTGGCAGAAACATTCCAACTTTCGCACTCATGGGCTTCCATAGTACTCGTAGCCCCCAAAGACCTCTTCATCGATCCGTGCGGGTACACTTTGTTTGCGCTTCGCCAGTTCCTCGATGGAAGTGCTGTATTTGTGGTTGCTAGGTTGAGACAGCGCCCGCGCACGAGCGGTATTCTTGGTTGGGGTTGTCTGGTGTTCAAATGGAGTTCGACTGCGAAGGTCGGTAGTTGACGCCGCCGTCTTGGGATTCTTGTCATCCGCAATCCTGTGCTGGCCCAATGGATTGCTATCCGAATGGCGCCGCTCCAGCGGACACCTTCCCTGATCAACGGTGGAGACAGATCCAATTGAGAATAGCCTCGACTTGGGTGAGACGGCGAATTGAGCTTTCAGATCGTCCTCTTCGATATACATGGACCAGAGCACGTTGCTATTCTTTCTGGCCCAGTCACTTTGCTTCCGCTCAGAAATTCCGCTTTCGTTCTTGGGTGCTTGGGATGGTACTGAACTAATTCTCTTGGCCACCACTTGTTTCCAGATTCTGGCCAACACGAAGACCATGCTGCCGAGCAGAAGCGTTGAGATCACCGAAAGGACGATAATTGCGGATACGAGGGATTCGGAGGGTAGAGCGCGAGAGACAAGCTGTCGAGATGGAGCACTGAAAGTACTGATGTCGGCAATTGCGCCGATGGAAAGAATCGGCGCCATTTGAAATAGCTAATGAGTGAATCTCTGTCACGCGATTGTGGAAAGAATGTCTTGCCGGGATGGCAGCGGCAACGGATAGTACACGTGGAAAGTCAAAGGAGTGTTTGAGTAAAAAGTAAAGAGCGAAAGTAGTGATTGAAATCGAACTTGCCTGTGGCGAAGAGCACCATATAAAGCAATGATACCACGTAACTCATCCCACAATCGTGGTTCGAAGGGGGTTCTCCTTGCGCGTTGCATTCCACAAGACCGCGACTTTCGTGGCAGGGAATAGTGTGCCTCCTCCTGCCTTCCCAAGACATGCACGCGGGGATGTATAGCAGGGACCCGGATGGGCCATGGTCCGAGCACGCATGTCCGTGCGGATATCCTCCTCTGTGGTGGGCTAGACTTGGGTCTGCTTTTTCAGTCAAAACTAGCCTCGCCCCGCCCAGCCCCTCCAAAACCCCTTGCCACGACGTCAGAGTCTAGCGAATCACCTCTGTTGCAGCATAGGATGATCCAGAAGACCGTCGATGGTAACATTGCCATCGGCGGCTGGCGGGTGTCTCATAGCCAGGTATTGCAAATCCAGGGCATTAAGGGGGGATACCGGAGTGGGCGGCTGCGGAGCAGCTATGATGGGTACCTCCTCAGGTGGCCGTCTCGTAACCTGACTCGGCTGACGGACATAATCGATTGGGTTGTAGGGTTTTATGAACGGCTGTTCGTGGACGCGAGGAGGTTGCGGACCCAACCAAGGATCAGAATGTGTGGATGGCGGAGAAGGGTAGCGAGAGTACGGTGGAGGAGGATCGAGATGGTCTGGCGGCAGGGCAATGGCAATATTGACACTTGCCCTCTTGTTTTGGAAGCTCGACTCATGGCCATCAAATCCTGTCCATTCCCTTTGCGCCATTTCAGCCGACCTGCTGCGGTGTGTGCGAGGTGTAGGACTTCTGAGGTGGCTAATATCCAATACTGCCCGAGGCTCGAGGGCTGGAGGAGATGTTGTTCGCGGGCGTGGAGGGGGTCCAGGAAGTGGTCGATCCAAATAGTAACCATGTACATATCGAACCTCTGCTCTCTCAACTGGGCGAAATGCCACCGGAACATTTTCCCAATTGGTCTGCTCGAGTTGAGTATGTGTCGAGCCTGTCAGCATCATGCTGGAGCGAGATTGCCGCAGCTTTGAACGGACTTGACTGAAGACATTGTTGTTTGATGAAGTCATCATGGCCAATCGAGTCCTAAAGACAGGTAGAAACCACGATCATTGACTTATCAGGCTGCCCGAAAGAGTGAAAGAAATCTCAAAGGACGACAATGATCTTTCAAGTTCCCTCTGGCGGCATCCGGTGACCCTCGGGGCAGATCATTTAAAAGCAGACGACGAGAAGATATTGGCCACCAGCCGGGCCGCTCGTCGAAGGGTGAAGATAGACGCGGCTTCCGTGAGGCCATGGCGAAGGGCGACATATGAGTTTAACTGTTTGATGGGCCGAAAGGGCAACTTTCGACAACCCTCATCGTTTCGTAATCGGCGACCTGGAAACTGTCAGACTTACACCAGAGTCCGCGCCAACACTGGATCTGTCCATTGATAGTAAATGGTGCGGGCAGCGACTGTCAGTAAGCGGTAAGCGTCAGAATAATCATAGCAGAAGGGGCCAGCATGTCGCGACCGCAGTGAAGAATACATAGTAGCACTGTGGCAGCGAGGCGGGCTAAGGGAAGCAAAGTTTCTCCTGGCTGTGCAGCAATGCCCTTCTACTCCCAATCCCATGAGCTCACGATCTCTCAATAGCCCACCTTGGTAGCGAACATTTATCAGCATGTGACGGCAACAGTAAAAGTCCAAAAGGAAGATTGCTGCACGCCGGTCGCGGTAATGGGCGGGAGGCTCTCCGCGATCCAGTGTTCCTTCTGATCAGGTTGTAATAGAAAAGAAAACGAAAGGCTTCCTTCGCAGATGAAGCCGTTGCAAAGATTGCCCCTAACAAGTTTAGAGCTGACAAGCTGGGGGCGGAGTAAGCCTCTCAAGCCTTCACATGGCCACCCGCCCAGCCTCACTAGCCCCAAGCCTGGCGATCAAAATGGCTGTTTTTGGGGTCCAAGCTGGCAAACGTCTTAGGCTGGGGGCCCTTGGAGCCTCGATGGAATAATGCCTCAGGCGCGTCAGGAGTCAGCAGCGCAAAGTAACTCTCCATCTGGCTCAGCGCGAGCCGCCATGCAGAATGAAAACACACCGTCGATGATCGTGCGCACACGATCAATCTTGCGTTTCCCCAGTGGGATGTCGATGATGTCCACAAGGGGGATCTTGTATCATATTTGAAGTGTGTGATGCCCGGGGCCCGTCCCAGGGGCATCGGCCCGTGCTTGGGTTACATCTGTCCTCCCATCAACAGATGTTGGATCTCTCATGATGGAAAGTGCTTGTACTCGTAGGGTGAAGCGGCTGAAACGAGGAGAGGGCCAACCATATACCTGTCCAGTGTCCACGGGAAGATGTTCGGGGTGGGAAATTAATCGAGATGGTCTAGTTCGAGAATCAGCCGTTGTCCTCTGTGCAGAACCTTCCCCACAGATTTGAACACAACCACTGATCAACACCTTTTCCTGGGGGAAGAGAAATGCGAGCATCACGAGATTGCCACGTGCGAACCTGCCCAAAGACACACGATCCAGGCGAGATTGCTGGTGCCAATTTCGCATGCGGCATCACAGTGCCGTCCCAAGCGGCGCTCAATCTTCCCTCCCCAATGGAAAAGCAGCGTTGCTGTTGTTTATGAGTAATGCCAAGCCCTCTAACCATGGTGTTTCAACTCCTCATCGAAGAAGGAAGGTGTGAGAATCCAAGAAGACTCGGTACCTGGCGAGCTGGGTATATACGAGGTAGCGTGCGTGCGAGTCAAGGAGGACCGAGTGGCGTCTTGCGACATGCTAATTTCGGCCACATCCAATCTCCCAGACATCCATCCACCTCTTCGTGCCCGCCACCTCCACTTCTCCTTCCCCCTGATTCTCGGTCTTCACACAAAGTTCACGGCACGGGTTACAGCAGACGGCACAGTCCCAAAACAGGACAGATGATCGACGACAAGAAAACACAATCCAAAGAGATCTTCCGGTAAACAGGTATTACGCAATGCTGGCTACAGTGGTCAAGCCAGCACCTCCTTGCTGCGTGCAAAAATAATGTGCGAAGAAGGGACCATCTTCAATCATGCAAATAACTAACCCATGCACACTTGCAACTAATTACAGAAACACTCGCTGCTCTCCTTCACATAGACAACCTCCCCAGACATGCTGCTTTGTTCCTTGGTATCAAGCAGGACTTCTTTGCTGTTCCTGCAAATGCAATGGCCATGTGGATCGTAACAGAAAAATGTTCAAAAGCCCTTCGTAAAAGATAACCCTCGCTTATGCCATAACCAAAACGGCGGCAGCAGCGAGACCTGCAAGGGCGAAAGATCCTGTGTTGGCATTGGCAGCACCAGTGAAAGTAGCGACGGCAGGTTGGACGGGGGTGGCAGATCTGTTTGGATCGTTAGCATTTCTCATTTCTTGACGAGTTCCCACAAAAGACTTACCCGGAGTAGGACCAGACGCCAGTCGAAGCAGCAGCAACGGGAGAAGACCAAGCACCAGTGCCAGTGGAGGCGGCGGCAACGGGGGAAGACCAACCGCCGCTGGGAGAGCCAGCGGGCCAAGTGCTGGTGGCCGCAACAGGAGTGGCGGTCGTCGTGAGGGAGCCAGTGCTGTAAGTCCAGTAGCACCAGTCCGAGGGAGGAGCACCAGTCCACTGAGCTTGGATGGAGCTGAGCTGGTCAGTTGGCAGGAGAGAGAACCAGGCCGGGGGAGTGGTAGCGGTGTAGCTGCCGCAAGGAGCGGTGGTGGTTGCGGACACAGGAGTCACCGGGGTGGTCGTGGTAGCGCTGGACCAGTCGGCCCAGGTGCCAGACGGGTCCCAGGAAGCACCGCCAGTGGGCTTGGAAGCAGGGCCAACCGGGGTGCTCGAGGAGCTGCTGGCGCTGGACCAGTCGGCCCAGGTGCCAGACGGATCCCAAGAGGCACCACCAGTGGGCTTGGAAGCAGGGCCAACGGGAACGCTGGAGGTGGTCGAGGCAGTGACGCTGCTCCAGTCGCCCCAGGTTGGGTCAGAGCCGCCCTTGTAGGGGCAGTTGGTGACGGTGGGCTCGCACGAGGTGATGGTCACATCGACAGTGTCGGTGATGGTGGTGGTTCCGGCAGATGCCACGGCAGCGAGGCCGGCAGCGACGGCAATGGAGGAGCGCATTTTTGTTTTTTGGTCGGATTGATATCGAATTACCGGAATCGAGAAAAAATACAAACTCCGAAGAAACGAAGGACGTCGGCGTGGGTGCTTTGAACGAGCGTGGGTGAGCTGAACTCGAAAGAGTGGACGACCGAAGTCAAAGGGCTTTGCAGGATACTGAAGTCACAGCTTGAGTATAGGAAAGGAAAGAAGATGATGGCTTTGGGCGTCCTGAGCTTCTTGTACTGTAGTCGCTAGCCAGGGAGATTGGAGCCGGCTCGACAAGCCATACACCGATAGAGGCTAAAATCACAGTATTCCCAGTGCAATTTCCCCAGCGCTGCCCATCAGACACCATGTCTGGCCACTACCGCGAATGCGATGGACCCATGGTGGACAACGGCGAGGCCACAAACACCCAACAGGGGAGGGCGTCAGGGGGGATAGACCAGTCAGGAGAAAGGAGAGTTTCGCTTCAAACTCGAAAGGCACCAAGAGGCTTCCCACAGGCTCAAATTAAGGCTTCGGGGGCTTGCGCAGGTACCGGGGGCCCTCAGCCAGTGGGACGCGCCGAGTCCAGCCACAGAGGATCTCGGCGTCGCTAGAAGCCTGTCCCAGATCCCAATGTAGACTGGTCGATGGCCGTGGAGTGGATGGACGCCGTCGCTTGGGTATCACGGCGGGTAGTTTGGTGCGAGTTTGCCAGAACAACGTGAGAAAAGGAGCAAGATCCCAGTGGATGCCCAGTGGGGTGCTCAAGCATCCAAAATTGGAGAGAGGCTGTTCACCCGAGATGCCATCGATACCATCGACCGCCCCCGTGGTGCCATTGACGCGTTGGCGCTGATGGGTTGCAGCGTGAGCAGATGGACGCGATGGTGCAATATTAATTTTTCAGTGTTTGTTTCACAGTGGCTCTCCATTTGGATGTCCATTTGGATGTCCATTTGGGTGTCCCATTATTCAGGGGTTTGGCTGTCTCGATTGGATCCACGCCGAGCCTCGATGGCCTTTCAGCTGAGCATTGGCCTGACAAGTGCGAGTTCTTGGCCTTTTTCTTTGATTCGTTCTTACACATAATATCTGTACTCGGTATCATATGGGACAGGATGAGACTGTAAAGTGCATGGATCCTCCCGTGCCTCAATCATCGTCTTTCATCCCAGCGTCTTACGCTGCTCTTCGATGGTGTACAATTACCTCGTATCGGATCTGACCTGCTCACCAGATGCGTGCGCGCGTCCAATTTCTCTCGCCTGTTTGGGTCCCGCGCACCATCATATATGTGTATATCCAAAAACCCTCTTCATCAAGGCTGCATCACAAGGCGTTTCCTCGAAAGGAGATTGGCTATTGCTGAGGCTGATGCTACAGCTGCACCGAGCGAGCTGAGATCACGATCACCGGAAAGCGATGGGAATGGAAGGAAGAGCAAAGAAATCACGGACGTGGACGAGTAAATCTTACGCGCTCCGCTTGACTACTCTTCCGCGTGCATCCTACATGGGAAGGATGTTGGTGATCTTGACCGCAAGCAAAACTCAAACCCCATTGTATTGGTTGTTTGGGTTCGCCAGGATGTCACCCATAATCACCAAAAATCACCAAAAGCCCGAAAGTCATGATGCCATATATTGGCTGGACGTGATTGGGCCGGACATGTTATCCTTCCCTCCGCACTTCCAGTCATGCCCAGAAAGTGCGCTGCTCACTCGATGCATGGGCAATTCTTGGGTTTCTGCTCACTTCCCTCTCTTCCCTCACTTCCCCCTCACTCACATCCTTGCAACACGGTACAAGCCATGCTTCCTCTTTGGTTGATGCATTCAGGCACGGTGTGCTCCTCGACGACTGGATGGGACCCAAGTCCTCCAGAGCAGGGGAACAAGCTGACTTGTACCGTCCAGGTAAGTGTTGCAGTACCTACGGACATGGGCTAATGCTGGATCCAGCTCCTGGATAGCCTATCCGGGTCACTCACAAACGTCATGACAGCAGCTGCAGCTCCTCTCCTTGCCTCGCTTCCATCTCTTCCCTCTCTTCCTATACTATTGCGGCCTTGCCACTCGGAAGCGACACAAAAATCTCCAGTGGAGTTCTTGGTCCACGGACTTGCGCAGCCTCGTCTTACATCTTGAGCCTCTCCAACCTCCCCCGGGTGCCTCAAGCATCATTGACTACGTCACGACTCGAAAAGAGCTGTCTTTGTCGACTTGCCGTGGCATATTCATTGGGGGATTTGGGCACCGGAAATCCTCGTGTGGCGTACCATGACAGCTACATTTTCCCCGCCCCTCGCTGAGAATCACTCAATGTGGTAGAATATGTGTTGGAAGAACTGTTCGACTGATGCTTGCCGAGCCTCGTGTCCACAGGCTTTTGGACAAATGTGGACGAAATGGATCTGACACCCGGATGCTGTCGGTTTCGACGGAATGTTGAGGTCATGCTGTTGGGCAACGAGTCTGGTCAAAGGAAAGCTATAATTCACGCAAACTCCCACAATCGAGCTTTTGATGGTTCTTGATCCTCGTTCCGCTCCAGAATTCGTATTCTATCCCTACCGTGACAATGAAGTCCTACGCGGGTGTTCTCTTGGGCTTCGGTGCTCTTGCAGTGGCTGCCCCTGCTCCTCAACTCACTCTCACCCCTGCGAGCGCCCCCATTCCTCCTGTTCGAAGCAGTGAAGTGACGGGTCCGACTTCTCATGGCCCTTACAACGGCCCGAGTCCGACGGTGACGGGAGCTTTGAGCGCCCCCGCGGTTGCTGCGTCGATCGCTCCTGCTGCCCCATTGCCGGTCACATACACCAACAACAATGGGTTGCTGCAAGCTTCCAGCATGCCTGTTCCGTACCAGCCAGCGGGCGGACAAGGCACCAATGGAACTCTGCCATATTATCACCCGCTGTCCGACTTTGACTACGAGTCGTTGACTCTTGCTCTGTACCAAGAATGGATTGAGCTGGACCTTTTCCACAACGGTCTTGCTCGATTCTCCGTGCAGGATTTCACCAATGCTGGGTTGACTGCAGAGGATCGATTTTTGATCGAATTCATGGCGGATCAGGAGGTCGGCCATGCAACGCTGCTCAGCAACATCCTGGGACCTGCGGCTCCGCCCCAATGTACCTATAATTATCCCTACACCAACGTCCGGGAGTTTATCGACTTTTGCCAGAAATTGACGCGTTTCGGTGAGAGCGGTGTCTACGGTTTTTTGGGTCACTTGGACTCGCGAGAGTCTGCCACGCTGCTCCTTGAGTCTATCACTACCGAAGCTCGCCAACAGATGATTTTCCGGCAATTCGATGGATTGTTCCCGATGCCTCTGTGGTTCATCCCCGGTGTTCCTCAATCGTGGGCGTGGACACTGCTGGCACCCTATATTTCGAGCTGTCCCGCGAACACGACTCGTCTGGCATGGCAGAACTTCCCTCCGCTCACCATCATCAATAATCCCAACCCAGCTAAGACGAACCCAAATATTGGTCCCATGTCAAACACCACTGGATCTAACCCTCTGAATACTACCGGCATTGCCTCTAGTAACCTGTGTCTCAACGCCAAGGGTCAATCCTCGGACTGTGGTCCAGCTATCAGTCAAAACAAGTCCATCCCGCTGTCTTACCCTGGAAGACCCATTCAGTTGTCGTGGGGCAATGTGAACGAGACCGTTGGTCCTAATAACAGTTACATCACCGCGCGATCACCTCTTGCCGATGCGCCCCGCTATGCCATGTTCGTCACCCAACTCAATGCCACCTTCGTTCCACTAGTCAACATCAGCGGCAACACTGGCGCGGTCGTTCAGCCCAATATGTCGACCTTTGCTGGAGAGTGAGTTCTTCCCCGTGCATCCTTGAGCCGCCTTTTTGGGAGCTTAAGTATTTGCGAACACTGGCTAATGAGTTTGTCACAGTCCCGCCGCCAACGGAACTATGTTCATTGCCTTGACAAGTCAGAACCCATATGTCACACCATTCAATCTGTCGATGGTGAATCCGTAAGTCCTGGCAATAGGAACCGAGGAAATGGAGAATGTTGCTGACTATATAACAGTTATGTATATGCGGGACCAGCTTTGTACCAAGCTGGTTAAAGTGTCACCTATTGGGTTGTGAAGGGTGGTGTGATGATATGGGCTGCGATAATAGTGCAGTAATGGATGATGAATAGGATGTCTGCGCAGCAGAACTGAGGAAGAAGTACGACAAGAAATACGCAATTGGAGGTGGTTTAGCAGGAACATCTGTACAGCACGAGGTCAAATCCTCCAAAACAAAATCTTAATGGAATCATCACATTCACTCATCTAATAGCCTGTATGTGATTCGATCTCGATATCGTTCTCGCGTGTGGATCTATTCTCCAACCGAAGCAAATGGGTGGTGATTGATGCTATTCCCGAGCAGATACATTCAACATAGAAACCATCATGAGATAAGGACAGAAGACGTATATGGTCTAGCAGAGTAGATAAGTAAATATGCTGGTTCTTTAGCCCAGCTTGGTCGTCGGATCATTACGCTCAATGAACACACCCAAAAAAAGCGCCCTAACATCTCGGCCCTCCACTCAAATCGTATTCCCCTCCCTAACCCAGCTCCAATCCCTCTCGAACCGCGCCCACCCACCGGCCTCGGGCTCCTCCATCATCTTCATCTCGTGCACGACCATATCATAGGTGCCCTGCGCGGGGATCCGGCCCGCGCAGACGTTGCCGCCCATGGCAATATTCAGCAGCACCACAAAGTCGGCCATGGGCCGCGTCCCCGCGGGGATGGGCGCTTTCATGACGGCTTGCCCGTCGATCCACCAGACCATCCTCCCCCGCTGTCCCTGTCCTTGCATCCACGCGAACTCGAACCGCACGGGTCTCCCGGCGTTCATGCCCTGCACCGGCGTGGCCACGACGCGGTGCTTGTTCGTGTCCTGCGGCGTGTAGAACCCCCAGTGCAGGCAGCTGTGGTTGACGCCGTCGCCGTTCCAGGTCTCGGCAATGTCCACCTCGCCGTCCGTGGGCCACGTGAAGGGTTCGAAGGGTAGAAGCCAGAATGCGGGCCAGATCCCGCCCGCGCAGGGGAGCGTCAGTGTGGCCACCAGGCTACCCCGGGAGCGCGACAGGCGTTGTCGTGAGACGAGTCGTGCGGATGTGTATTTCTTCGCGGGATCCGGGTGGTTCGGCGTGGAGATGGCGCGTAGGACGAGGAGATTGTTCGGTGTGCTGTTTAAGAACCGAAAGAACGGGGAGGGGAGGGAAAATGTTAGACAGTGGTGTCGAGATAGAGGGGGGGGGGGTTGGGATAGGGGGAGAAGAGGAGATCAGGAAGACGTGATTTTCAGGGACAGAATAAACAACGACGAGAACCGTGTATCTCCCCTGAGATCGAGCCTGCTAAGGGGGCTTTTCTGCCCAGAAATAACCGCACACCAGCCGTTGAGCAAAAATACGCTCTAATCCTTCTGCCACACACTCTCTCTCCCAAAGACAGGAAGCGAATCCACCTCGTCTCCAGCCAACATGTCCAAAACCCGAACAAAAATGATAAGAAGGAAAGCAAGAGAAAAACGACCCTCGAGGTCTGACATGCGCTCGACCATTCGACATCTCGACCTTGACGATCAAGTCTTGGGCTCTTTTTTTGGGGAAAAACAAACAAAACTTACAAGAACGAATTCTCCCCCTCGGCCGTATAATGCTCCATCTCATTGTTTCCCCACCCGTTGTTGTTGCCCAGCTTGTGCTCCCACTCGGCGCTGACCGGCGTCCCTGGGTCGAGTCGTGCTCGCCAGTATATCGTCGGCTGCAGCGACTGGCCCTGCTGTGCAGGGAATTGTTGGTTGGGACGTGTGGATTCCGGGATCGGTGGCGGCTGTTGGTGCTGCTGTGCGCCGGGATATTGCTGCGGTGGAGGTTGATGGTACTGGCTCTGTTGCTGTTGCTGGCCACCGCCGGAGCCGGAGCCGCCAGACAGGATCTTCTGTCCTTCCTGCTGGAGGTCTTTGATCTGGGCTTTGAAATGTGCGAGGGCGTCTTTGAATGGCATGGCTACTAGCTAGGTAGCAATCTAGGTGGGTGGGTTTTTGGATATGGCGCCGCGGAGAGCCTGATGATGAGTTCACTCCCACCCAGCTCCGGCTGTTTCTTGTCGGACACTAGATATATATTTGCTGCCTTTAGTTCCCTCTCTTTGGATGAGATGCTGGAAGCTGTGTGATGGATGAAGCTGGTTTGTTTTCGTTTCTTGTTTTATTTTTGGTGGCTGTGCACTTTCGAAATGACGTTGCTCGCCGACCTGGTTCCTGGTTCCTGGAACCATTGGAGTTTGGGACGGCGGAATGCGTTCCGGTGCATCAAAGGCTAAAAAACTTGGTGTAGAAGACCACAACTCCACACGTTCACCTTGAAGGGTGTGATATACCAGTAGCGGATACGTCTCTCAACTGGGCCTCGCATCCTTGTTAGTCTGTTACTCGCTGCGATCAATACACTGGCGCGGATGTTTGATGGTGCTGAGGCATCTGTCCAGACTTTCAGTGGCTCCATCTTGTGGATATGCCTGTACTCGCTACCATCATGTAGTTGGCAACGATGCGATCGAGATGCTCCAGATGCTCAAGGAAAGAGAACGAGTCGAGGACGGAAACATGGTGTGAAATCTCTCTTATTCAGTCGCCCATGGCGACAGAGCGCACGCTCTCTTGAACACTTAGTAAAACAAACAGCACGTCGATCCTCCTCGGCCGAGGCCGACCGTCATGCTCGCTGGCGGGCGTCTTCTCTATTCAGCCTTGTCGGCTTCCTCCTCTCCGGCCTGCTCCGCCCTCAACAGCCCCCAGCGACGCATGACGGCCTCCTCGGCCTCACGCCGAATCCGAGCCCGTTCCTCCCTTGTGTAGCCGTCAGGGGTGTCATCGTCGTCGTCGACGACAACACCCCCGACGGCTCCCTCCTCTTCTTCCCCCTCCTCCCCCTCCTTCTCCCAGGCGGCCTTCTCTGGCGCGCCCGCCATGCCCTCGGTCACGAGCCATGGCTCGCGGAAAACAAGCGCCTTCAACTCCTTGATGGCGCCAGTGATTGTCGTGCAGGCCTGGCAGCGTTTAAGCTTGCCGCCCCAGGGCTTCTCCTCCACAATGGCGTTGCAGCCATTGCGAGCGCCCTCGTTCTGGACGTAGTCTTGGCAGTAGTCGTATTTCGCCTTCTTGCAGGCGTCGCACTTGTATTTGTAGCACATTTTGGCTGGAGAGGAAGCTGTGTCGGAGATGTTTGATTGGGTGGTTGCCGAGGAAGAGGTTTCTGTGTCTGAAAGGAATGCCGACAAGGAGATTTGGACTGAGTGCAGTGAATAGGTGACAGAGTGAGGCAGAGAGGCGTGAGAGAAGAGACGTGAAGCTGGTGAAGCTGGTGAAGCTGGATCGGCGGGCTTGAAGTCTTGTTTGAACAGGTTGCGCGGGCTGATCGAGCAGGATGATGGATTCCAGGCCTTTGACGCGCCTTGGATGATGATCTGTCTGAGTCTGTTCTTGAGAGTGATTCTGCAGATTTGAGATGAGTTGAAGACTGAGATGAATGTTTTCAAGGTCATGCTGGAGTTTTCACTGTTGACTGCGACAGCGACAGCAGCCCTTGGCGGCAGGGTACGGTAGAATCGGCCTTTAGAAGAAAACATCCTAGAGAGGAAGGCAGGGCGAGCCATCTTGTCTTCTTGCAGAATGATTTGAGACATCTTGTGAAAAGAAAGACACCTGGACCAGTAGATGAAGATGTCTGAGAGCGAGGATGAATCCGTCGTCCGTACCCTTTCAACAGACTGTTTCTGCAGGTTCAGGACAAGGTTCGTGCAAATAAAGACACAATATGAAGAGTGTTGACAGCGAGAAGACGATTGTTTAACGTGGCAGGCCATTTAAAGAGATTCGCTGTGCGTGTTTTGCCGAGAGGCGTGCAAAATGCCAAAATGGGTCGGCGACATCATCGCTTAGTCGGCGACCTTTTGGAGGGGACGACATGGTCGCCAGTCGTCGACGCTGCGTCGACCTGTTGGGGTCCAAGGCTTTCCCAGTCTCTCCAACTTTCACAGGAATCTACTCACAACGTGGCTGAGAAAGCAAACTGAGGGCTGGGCTGAAAGGTGTGTTTTCTCCAGTCCTTGTTTGCATCCTGCTATATAGGACGCTGACAGCAACCCTCCAGGCCGCGAAGACAGACAAGCGACTGACCCATAGCTTCACAGAACCGCAGAACAAACGACAAGAAGAGACTGAAGTCAATCATGGCCCACCAACAAGATGCCCGCGGAGCGTGGGCTGGTGCAAGATACTGTGCTGGATGCTGGATTTGGGGCCAACCTCACGACTACGCGGGTGACCCTGGCTGGGAAGGCTCAAGCTCTGTAGAAAACATCACTCAGGCCTATTACTCGGAGGAGAGGAGACATCATGAACGTGTAAGTCAAGATACGGATGGATATCATGTTGAAGCATGGAGAAGGAGGAGGTCGACGTTGATATGCGGACAATTATATTTCCGACCCTTGAATGCCCAGACCAGGCGAGCAGGGCAACTTGTGGCATCTGCCTGCGCCACACTCAGCGCCACACTCAGCCACTGTCCCAACACCGAGCCTCATTATCTTGCCTGTTCCTCTCCGTCATTGTCCATCTCAAGACATCATCATTCTCCATCATGGCCAGCCTCTTCGGGACATTTGGAGGGAGCTAACGTATCTTCTATTCCCAGGTCTCTGACCCTACGAGCCGCCAATCAGACGCTGATAGCAGTATCAATATGGCCGAAATCGAGAATCACTTCACAGTGTTCATCCGTCTTCCCTTCAATCGTGGTGACTTTGTCGACCCTCCCCCTGTGGCCTGGTCCGCCGCCAAAGAGCGAGAACTATGGAATGTCATGTCTCGCCAGTCCAAGAACAATGAAATCGACTGGAAGGCTCTGTCGGAGAAATTTGAAGTGACCCAGACGTTCCTCCTCCAACAAGCTGCATGGCTCTATGAGCGACAACTATCCCAAGTCCGGGCCCAGATGCGCCGAGTGGGAAATAGACAATCCGCCACACCCTCACCGGCTCCAGGATCAGCTTCAGCCAGCATGGTGGGTGGCCAGGCGATGAAGAGAGCCGGCAGTGGTGGATCACGTGTCCCTTCTCGCTTGTCCACCCAACACCTTGGAAGTCCTGTTGCCGGTGGGGGAGACAGTACGCCGGGGACTCCTGCTAAGAGCAGGACTTCTCTACCATTTCGGAATACGTCGGGGGTTGTTGCAACCGCAGGTGGCCCACAAACCAGAGTGGCTCCCGGAGCGACCAGGCCGTTGTCCAGGCAGTCTTCCAAGGATGCGGAGGCGCCGCAGTCTAGAAGAGGCAGCATCCAACATTCTTTGGCAAGATCACCAGGTCAGACGCGGACTAACCAACCTCAATCATCTGACTCGGAAGATGAAATGACCCAATCCCGTATTATGGCTCGTCGGCCAAACCCGTCGTCGATGCACCGACGCGTTCTATCCTACAGAAAAGATCTCCAATCCCAGAAAGGAGCCGCTGGCAATCTGGACGACAAGAGTCTTGCACAAAATCCACCTACGCATGATGAGGAAGATGACGAGGAGGACGAGCCATCTTTTCTACCCTTTGCCAATCACGCATCCGATAACAAGCCTCGGCCATCATCATCCTCCCAACAAGATCCCAGCGCAACGTTGCGAGGCGGTCTGCAAGGACAGCGCCCTGGCGTCCAGCGTCGCACGACATCTGAACGCGTAGTCTCGTCTCCAACCATCGAGCCGCCTACTCCGGTTCAGACGCAACGAATTCCATCAACCATGACATCCTCGACCTCGTCCCTGTCTTCCCCTACCAACCCTACTGCTGCAAACACAGCCTTGACCCGACCTACGCCTCGACCAGATGCTCAGCACTCGACTCAAGGTCATCCACAAACCCAACCGCCCGCCATTCCCAGGCTCGGCACACCCCTGTCTCCTCCTCACCGTGCTCTCCTACACAACCAATCCCAATCGGCATCAGCAGGCGCCTCCCCTCGCCGCCACGGCACAGGTCCGGGGTCTGACACCTCACCTTCTATGGGCTCTTCCTTTTCCGACCTGGATGATACAAGCGTGACGCAATCGGCGTTGGAAGAAGCGTTGTTGAGTGGGATGGGGAATACCACGATGACGACGCAGTTTGGGGGATTTGGGGGGAGGGTCACGAGTGGAATTGGTCAGGCTTTGAGGTCGAGGTATTTCGATGCAAGGGGCGGTGAAGGCCACGGCCGTGGAGGTGGAGGGGGAGCAGGTGGTGCTGCACCTAGTAATGTGAGCGAGAGATGAGAATGGCGCTGCGAGCGGTCACTGAAGCGAGGGAAATTCAAATTGAAATTGTGATGGATGGGACGAGATGGCCCAAGGCATGGGTTGGAATCGGAGTTACGGTCGTCAAGTTGCAACGAGAAAGGCCAGCCAGATTGAACAAGCATAGCATCAAGCACGCGCTGCAGGATAAGGACAGGACAGTCTTTTTGCCAGAATAGGATGTCACTTGACACACAATCATAATATTTGTACTACGACGTATCAATCAAGCCCTATCCAAACCCGTTATTCCGCCCTAATGTACCTTGTGACCAAACAGCGGATCCCCATCATATCTTGTTCCGGCCGGAAGACACACACACACACATTCAGATATCAAGGGGGGAGAACAAGGAATAGGAGATAAGAGGAACGAAACCGTCTGATTTGAGAGCTAATGCCAAAAAGAAAGAAAGGATGAAGATACAATATGATGCGGACAAAAAACCCCTTCGCGTCCAGAAGCCCTTGACCACCCTACCCTGCTCTGCCGTTCCCTCCCTGTCGTGTCCCTGATCTAACCTGACCTGACCTGTCCCGTCGACATCTTCGGGCCTGTTTACACCTCATCCCTCTTCCTTCCGGGCTTGCCGGTGCTCTTGCCCTCATGGACCAGGTTCTTGCCCACGGTGCCCGTCTGCGACCGTGTGGACCAGGACGGGGTGTGCGAAGAAGGCTTGCCGGAGTGGCTGCTGGTGCTGGAACTCACAGAACCGGCACCGGTACCGTGGCCGTGACCGTGTTGTGCGGACGCATTGCCCTTGAACTGGCCGTGGCTGGGGAAATCCTCGACGGTGGCGTTGTGGCCGTAGCCGCGGTATCCGCGGACGCCGCGCTTGCGGTGTTTGTCGAGGTGGCGGGCGGCGTGCTCGCCGGCGGCGCCTTTCATGTACTCGACCATCTTCTCGCCCAGGGTGCGCTTGCGCAGCGAGTCGTCGACCACGACGCCCGGGTTGTCTGCGTACCAGGTCGTGTAGGCCGGGCAGGTTTGCGAGACGCTGTCGGGGATCTGGAGGGAGGTGAGCTGTTCGGGATGTTCGAGCAGCATGATCACCATGCCCGCCGACAGGTGCCACGCGATGTGACAGTGCAAGGGCCACAGACCCGCGTTGTCCTGTGTGTACTGCACCACAATGTACGACGGGTTGTCGGGAGTCGCCTGGGCCCAGAGCATGTGCACGTCGCGACGCTGCGGGTTGGACGGGTTGGTGACGGTGCCGTCCCACGTGCCGAAGCCCTCGGCGAGCACTTGGAAGTCGTGCCCGTGTATGTGCATGGGGTGAGGCGCGGGAGTGGTGTTGATGATGATGATGCGCACCGTGCCGTTGGTGCCCGTGTTGTACACGTTGTACTGTGGTGCAAACTCCGTCTGGCCCGAGATCGCCTCGGCGAGCAGGCTGCTCGAGAGATCCCCGTCGTAGCTGACCCCGTTGATCATCCAGAGGAAGACACCCGTAGCGTCTGGAGCGCCGGAAATCGTGAGCGTGATGGTGGTGTCTGGGTTTGCCGCGGCGATGGGGTACTGCGGAACCGTGCTCGCCAGGGGGTCGTTCTGGCAATTCGTGTTCATGGGCGGTTGAGCGCCAGTGCTTGTAGGAGGCGTGCTGGGGTCTGATCCCGAATAGTAGATGATGCCCTGTCCGAAAGGTCCGTTCGTGTCGCCGCAGGGGCTGTTGAAGGCGCGGAGCCAGTAGCTACCGGGGGCCTGGTTGGCCGTGACAAGAACATCGACTCGTTGACCGACGCCGATGGTGACAAATTGCGTCTGATAAGGCTGTACTGGGACAAAGTCATTGGCAATCACCGTCAACTCGTGTCCATCGATCGAAATGGTCTCGAATGCCGCGGCGCCTGTATTGACGAACCGCAAACGGTACGTCTTGCCGGACTCGAATTCCCACGATGCATAGGGGACAACGGAGCAAGGAGCCCCGTTGGTGACATTTGCGCAAGGATATTGGCCGACGCCCGCCACGAGGTTGGAGTCTGAGAACGGTCGGAATGGTTGGCCCGAGGTGCTGGGAGACATGACCAAGTTGACAATATCCTCATAGGTATCGTGGAACCAATCTGACACAAGAATCGGGTAGAGGTCAACATCGTAGCCAGCGTCGTTGGGACCGTGGATGACAATCGGCCCGACGACTCCAGCAGAGTACTGGGCTGAGTAATGCGCGTGCCACCAAGAAGTACCATACTCATCCGCACGGAATCTGTAGGTCAGATTTCCACCGGGAACGATGGGGCATTGGGACACAGTGACGACTCCGTCGTAGTATGGAGTTCCAGGCTGGTTCAGGCCGTGCCAATGTATCGAGGTTGGCTCTTCGGGACCCCAGATTTGATTGTGAACATTCACTTCGATCCTGCAAGTGGTTCAGTAAGAATCTTCTGCACAGCCTCGAGCATTCCCATACCAGTCACCCCAGTTTGCCTCGATCAAGGGACCTGGATACTGCCCATTGACGACAATCATGGCTTGCTGCACTCCATCGGGAGCATATGTTCCCCGGGCAACAGTGAAGTCATAGTATCGTGTAACGCCTGTCATCAAATTCAGCCTCGTTTACACATCTGCTCCGTAAGACCATGCGGACCAGTATCTGGCATATCATTCTGGGGATGCGATCCAGAAGCCGTTCTACTTCCCCATGGGCAATCACCACCCTGGAAGTGTTAGCGAAAGTGATTTCCTGACATTTTTGATCCCTCTGCTTACTCCCATCCATTGTCCAAGAGGTCCGGGTGGACCAGCTAGAGCGTTTGTGGCAAAAAAGGCGCCCAGAAGGGCTGAGACCAAACTTGTCCTCATTGTCGACGAGGACGAGGTCGAAGAGAGGTCGAAGAAGTGTGTAACCAAGAGAAGAAGATCTGTACAACACTCGAGACTGACGGATTGTATTTATGTCGACGGCCACGGACAGAGCTGACCTGCAAGTGGCGGGCCCAGACTTCGGCCTCCATTTGCGACTCCCGCGAAGCAGTAAGATCTAGACATGCTGGGCTAGCCATTTCTGGGGTGTTACATGTATCTATTGTCGGGCTGAGGCGGGCATGTCAGTCCGCCAAAAGCACGGGCGCTTCAAGTAACAAGTGCTGAGGCGGGCAGCTCGTGTTTGGGGAACCACCAAGGAGCAAGGGGAGGAAGCTCGAACGGATCTTGAACTGTGGCAAAGCAGAACAGTCTGAATGAACAAGGACTCGGAGCTGCAATTCGGACTGAAACTCGGCCACTGGAGTATGGCTCAGGTAAAAGGTCTATTGAGATAAGCGACGGCGCGGCTCATTGCCATAGCATTAGCCAGGAGGTACGGAACAGCGTGAGTGAGGCGGTCAGATATCGTTGGATGCCTGAAGAAAATGGTCATTGCGAGCCGTCGACCGCAACAAGAGGCCGGCAACTCGGCCAGTCATTCCAATTCCTGCGCCATCTCCAAGAGGCCAGGAGGTCGTATGTAGGACAAGGTTACGACTGGGCGCCCTGGACTGAAAAGCAGTTGCTTGGACTGTACCGGGATCCGGGCTGAGACGCTTAATATAGCGGGGAAACCAGGCCACTTCCTCTTTGGAGCATTTCCAGAAATATTAATAGTCCCCAATGCTCTGTTGTCTTGACTCGGTCAGCTGCGTCCGAGAAGCTTGCCATTGACGGGTTCATTATTGTGACATCACGAGCAAGGCATAGTTGTTGATCGATGCGTATGTCGGTGAGAAGAGTCTGCTCGGACCAAAAGGCCAGGGGCTCAGGCAGTCAGCGTGGTTGTTCCATGAGAAACCATAGTGCCTTAATGCCTGTAACTGTGGGACCCTGGTGTTTGGAGGCTGAAAATAAGAATTCCTCCCGGAAATCATCCTAAATGGAATTTCGGCTTCCGTTGCGAGCTGACGCCGGTACTATAAGAGTTCTGGCGGAGGGGATGCTAAACGCAGGTCCTGCAGCGGCAAGCTTTTGGACCCGTCAGCACCAATGCCCGGATGCCAATAGAATGCTGCACGAGACTGGCTCCGCACGGGCACCGGCATAGCAGCAATAGTAAGCAAGGCTTTATCAGGTATTGCTCAATTGCAACAAGAGGAGCAGGTCCCTGCACAGTGGAAAAGGCAGGTCTATTTGATAACCATAGCGGCCCTGGCCAGACGAACGAGCAGCTGACACTTGCATGTGCTTACAGCCGCCAAAAATGCTTTTCTATAAGAGGCCAGTCGCTGAGCAGCAGCGACATGTCCTTGTTCTCTGTCTCGCGATTTCTCATCGCGGGCGAAACGGGAAACACCAAGATTCCCAAGCTTGTGAGCTCGCTCAGCACTGCTGGGACGTTTTCCGTGGAATGCCAATTGAAGGTATAAGATTCGTCTCTCTAGTCCGTTTTATTGGATTCGAAGCAGTGAGTTCTGCGGGGAGTCTGCCCCTTGCGCATGCAGGTAAACGTAGCGCGTCAAGTCACCGTAATCGTGGTCATTGATGTCGCAGTAGACGAGGCTGTCATTGCACGGTGGGCCGGTTCGGCAGACATGACCGGCCTTTCCACTTCCACGGAATCAACAGGCGCGACCTCATGCCTAACCATGGTCGGACGATCAGAATGAACTTGACCCTCAATGAGTCTTGGGAATCAGATCATTTTAGACCCATTCTCTGGGGTGCCTGAGGACTTCCATTAGCTCCTTTTCCTTCTCAAACTGGGAGTCCTCTGCGTCCTCCTGGTTTTCGGGAATGCCAGTGCCACACTATTCTCCACGTTAGCTTCACACAGCCCGATCCAAAACAAAAGGGGCTCGTATCAGAGCCCCGACAAAGCTCGCTTTGGATCGAACTTACAACAGGATGCATATATTCCCAACGGGCCGTTAATGGCAGACTCATCAGAATGCTTTCGACTCGGGCACCTGGAGTCCGCAGCCCAAAGCTGGTCCCCCGGTCATTGATTAGGTTGAATTCGACATATCTACCTCGTCGGATCTGTTGCCACTCTTTTTGTTCGGGCAAATAGGGCATGTCCTTTCTCTTCTTGACAATGGGTAGGTATGAGGGTAAGAATGACTCGAGGCCGCTGACAACAAATTGGAAGATCTCCTCCTGCGGGTTACGCGAATTTGGTCGTGAACTGGCTTCAAGGTCATCGAAGAAGATGCCACCGATGCCTCGCGACTCATTTCGATGTGGAATCCTGAAATAAGAGTCACACCACTTTTTGAATCTGGGATAGTAGTCTTTGTCGTGCTTGTCGCAGGCGGCTTTGATGGTCTTGTGGAAATATTGGGCGTCTTCTTCAAACAAATAACAAGGAGTCAAGTCTGTACCTCCGCCAAACCACCAATTTTGCTGGGACGTCCCCGTTGCATTGACGGGGTCCCGGGGGTCAGATGTCTCAAAGTATCGGTAGTTCATGTGGACCGTCGGAGCCATGGGGTTATGAGGGTGCAGCACTAGCGAGATGCCTGCCGCAAAGAAATTCAATTTGTCGATATCCGAAGCAACAAAGGATTTGTGGTCCGACCGCATCTTCTCAATGGCAGGGCGTGATAGCTCTCCATAGACGACGCTGATATTGACGCCAGCTTTCTCGAAGACATTGCCATCCTGGAGAACGCACGAGATGCCGCTTCCGCCAGCTGGTCTCGTCCACTCATCCCGCCTGAACTTCTTCCCATCCAGATTTTCCAGCGCAAAGACTATCCGATTCTGATGTTCCTTGATCAGGGCCTCCATCCGCAGTCGCATCGGCGAGTTGCGTGTAATTTTTTGCTTGCTCTTGGTCACCTCGTCTACCTCGGCGAGCTTAACGGGCTGAATGGGTGGCGAGTCGTTCGCAATAGGCATCCCATAGGACATGTTGTAGGCCAACGCGCCGACAAAGAGGGTTCCGAGGGACAACGGTAGGTACAGCCATCTCTGCCTGCGATGATTTCCTAACAGCTGGGGTTGTACGGCTGCTGAAGAATTGGTAGAATAGCAAATGCGTAAATGAGAGGGACGGACATGCAATTGAGATCCTGCTCTGAAGGACGAACTGTGGGAAGCTCGAATAGAGCTCCATGCAGACCTGGGAACAGACATGGTCAATTGTACATTGAGCTAACACAGCATGAATTTGAAGGAGAAGGCAGGTTGACAGATTGCAAAGATGCAGGTTTATTGTAAGTCTAGTAGCGCCATTGAATGCTTGTCGCCACAGCTCCACAGAAGAATAATGAAATCTTCGTGCACGTCGTCAGGTCATCGCAGGTGCACATTACGGCCGCCCAACTTTTTTGCGTGAGATGAAGCTGGAGAAACGCGCTCCAGGTTCCCCACCGTCACATGACAAGGCTCTTTGTTACCACCCAAACCAGCCATAGTCGACTGACAGTGGCACTGTGGCGATGTTGATCAGATACAAGGTACGAGGTACTTTGCAATTAATCGAGTCCCATCTCAAAAAGTCATCTTTGGGAATAGAAAGTCTTTGGGGTGGAATGCGAAAGTATTTAGATCAAGTCGCAGGTAACAATGAGGCGCAAGACTGACCAGTTATGCGCACGGGGCTTCTTCAGCAGCCAAATCTCGAACAAAGCGGCCACAAAGGGGTCGAAGCAAAGGACTCGATACAGTGTGTGACCTTTCACTCCTTGTGCCGTTCCTAGATTGACAATAACACTATGACGTGACTCACTCACCCGTCTTATTTAAGATCCAGCCTCGTGGCCAAACTCAAAGGCTGGTGGCTGGTCATAATCAGGCTGAGCAGCATCCCGTGATCACGGATCAGGGACAACAAAGTCAGTTCGAAGCTTGGATTGATAACGCGGGGCAATCATTCGCCGTTTGTGTGGCCTAGCACTCTCCCGTTCGTTGTATGGTCTGCGGGTGACTCCCTGATTACCTGCCGCCGGGTCCCTTGTCCTACTGCCTCGCGTTTGCACAGCACGGGGCTCTAGCCTGCCCTACTAGCCCTGCCTATCACCGCCCCCCTCCAGTCCCTCCAGTGCTGCCTGCCACGCCTGCCACGCCTGGCACCTTCAAACGACTTCATCCGCATCCCTCACTCACCGACCACTCATCCTGTTTTCATCTACCATTTAAACCACTGACATTCATCCCTTTCGCCTGAGACTACGAAACCCTCAGACTCTGTCTATACTTAACTGCACAACCCGAATATCACCTCATCTTCATCATCATGCGTTCCAAGTTCAAGGACGAGCACCCGTTTGAAAAGCGCAAGGCAGAAGCCGAACGCATTCGTCAGAAGTACGCCGACCGCATCCCGGTATGTTCAGTCTCGTCCTCCTTGTTGTCGCTCTCACAGCTCTTTTACTGACAATATCGTCTACAGGTCATCTGCGAAAAGGTCGAGAAGTCTGACATCGCTACCATCGACAAGAAGAAGTATCTCGTCCCCGCAGATCTGACCGTCGGCCAATTCGTCTATGTTATTCGCAAGCGCATCAAGCTCAGCCCGGAGAAGGCCATCTTCATCTTCGTCGACGAGGTCCTTCCACCCACTCATGCCCTCATGAGCAGCATCTATGACGAGCACAAGGACGAGGATGGTTTCCTTTACATCACGTACGTACCAACACCTCACAACGCAGGCCATTGTGCAGTTGCTAACGAATATCTAGATACTCCGGCGAAAACACCTTCGGCGACTTGTAAAAGTCCAGCCCTCCAGACCGACGACGCGAGAGCCACCTATGACATGCTGCTACCGGAGTCACGATGTGTATTGATTCGACGGATGGACAACCTCTGAGCTACGCCCTGGCGTTTGGACACTTCATTTATGCCTGCATAAGAGAACCTACACAACGAAGAGATGTGAGACACGCAAGTGGAACTCAACGTGGACGGGAAGCCGATACGAGAGATGAGAACTGCTTGCAACAAGCGGGGAGGTTTTGAAGGCCTTTGATTGATTTGTATTCATGATTGGTCATTGAACAATTCAAGTATCCTTTCCTCCTCGTGCCGCCTCGAAGTGAACATTCCCTGAGTCTGTAACTCGCAACTTCCCGTGAGAGGATGAATGAGGTGCTTCTGCCTCATACAGTTCGAAGCGCCAACTTTCGCCAACTTTGTCATGCCCCGAATTATCAGGTATTCTGCAGGCAAGCACCAAGTAGATATGAACAGAGAGTCCTCTCCAAGACTAACGTTCGCAGGTGCGAATCGGGCACTTACACGTTCATGTGGTGCTTGCGTCACTTGTTCTCAGCCTGAGATAGTGCCCAGTGACACATATCACGTGGACATGTATGGCACTCGGGGATACATTTCTGGCTCCTGGCTTATCTTCCATGCCTAATGACCACAGTGCAAGCTGTTAATAATGCCCCTTATCTCGCCCAGCGGCTTCATGTTCTTCTGACTCATTCCTTCAAAGACACAGAATTTCATATCGCGCCATGAAAATGCTGTGTTCGTCGCCCGCCAGTTACGCCTAGGACTCGGCACTATTAGCAATGGAATCGTCCCACTGTTCTGGCGCTCGAATTGCCATACTTTCGTCGTCGCAGAAAGGACTAGATGGCGTAGAAATGCGAGATCGCTTTCGAGGAAAACTCGCTCAAATCCAAGCCTTGGGATCTAGTCTTGTGATGGCAGCTCATCCTCTATCAAGCCCTTACAATAGGACATGAGGGCGACGAAACGAGGAGAACCCCACAGCTCCAGCGCCCTCGACAGGTGAGAGTTGGTAGGGGTGGAGTAAAAGGTGTATCACTCTCATTCTGGCGGCTAGTCGCTGTCATGCTAGCATAGGGACGAGGTGCTGTGATATATGGCCGCAATCGGCCTCGATCCCCCGGTTCATCCTCTCTTCATGACTCGATTCACTGCCCAGGACTCGCTGAGCACTGTCGCTTGACCGTCTGCTCGTGTTTGAGATGCAAGACACGATGAGTTGGCTACACCCAAATGCTGGTACGACTGGAGCTCACCGGAGGGGAGACCGAGTGTAGGTGGACGCACACGTGGACCTCAATAAAGCCTTGGATATGCTCCTCGGTACCTCAGCCTCAGGGTGACCCAAGTGCGATGGTTAGCTGGGCTCACTCAGCCTCATGCTCCTGCGACCATGAAGCTGCAAAGCGCTTAGAGCCTGATATGTTATACGTGGCGCCTAGGAATGAGCTGATCTCATCAATGATGACAACCCGGAGCATTCACTCAGGTCTCGGGTGCCTTCACTTCCCAAAAGACGGCCAGGAGTGCGGTCTGCATCGAGTGTAATGTCAGTGGTTTGTACAACGCGCAGGCACGTCGAGGTCTCAACCATCAAGCTCGAAAATTGAATTCCCTGGAACACTTTGATAATGTGAGTCACTGATGTTCAACGATATCTGAGGTAGGGCCGGTTGGGAGTCTGCCACCTTCCAACCTGCTGCGTCGATCAGTTCACAAGTGGGTTTTCAAGGCCCTGAAAAATGGTGTCCTAGTATATCAAGGACCGCAATAGGTTTACAGACCAAAAGCGAGGTCTCGTGAGCTGCAGTGCTTACAAACGCCATGGGCCTGCCGACGATCAAGCTTTTATGGAAAGGAGGGGCGTGGACGACTCGGCCGTATTGTGGTCGGTACTAAGTCAGTCCTCTGTCGCTTGCATATACGAAGCAAGAGAGAAGCTGAAACCAACGCGCTGTGCTTAGTACTTGCACGCCCAGATGACTGTCAAACCTTGCTACCGAGACCACACCAATTACTTACCCAAGACTACGACATCGACCCTGCGCGGCACATCGAATAGGGTTGGAAGCATTCATACCTACCTTGGTATAAGACACCAAACATCGAAATATATCCTTTTGAGGGAGTATGTGTACTGTACTGGCCCAATCATCGGGGCTCAGGGCGTTTGTGGCCCTTGTAAGGCGAGCGAGCGGCCTTTTCTCTACCTGCTGACACATAAATTCTCCAAACAACTAGGTCCACATGCGACTTGATGTTTGTCAAGTGCAGTAGCATGTGCGCTGTGACTGTTGTGACAAAGTCTGCTCGTGCGTTGACAGTCTCAAAGGACAGGATTTGCAGATTGCATCCACAAGAGGCCATGAACACTGCTACCGTTGGAGAACTATCCGGGGATCCGGTGGACTCCTAGTCCGTGCCCGAGCTCTCGTCTTTTGTTTCAGAATTCGCAGGCTTCCTAGCCGAAGACCCGGCTTGGGCTGCAACGATCAGCATGGAGCAAGGAGCATGGAATCGAGATTCGTCAGTGTTGGTGATTGAATGCGTGGATCATCAGAAAATCGAAAGCAATCCTTCTTCACAAGGAATCTCAGTTACCACTCCACATCGTGGCGGAGGCTCCATCCAGGTTTGAGGCCACCGAATACCATCTTCGGTTAAGCAGCTGCATGGGAGCTATTCGCGTCTTGCCCAAGACATGACACGAGGCGCTTGATTCGCCCGTCGTACTGGCACATCCTGGGGCCTTCGTCAGGCGGCTCCAAGGTTTAAACAAACCGCTATCCAAAACCCCCAGGGATATTACTTGTTGTGGAACTTGCCGACCCTGACACCCACAGGGCAAGACAGTTTGTCAGATAATATGACAGTCATGCCACCAGTTGAGTCGCTTCTCGGTTCACGGCAAAGGGTACCACGGCACGCCTGAAGCGGGTGCTGGACACTGCGTACAGGCGCTTATTCGCTTAGCCCGTCCCTGGCGGGTGCAGGCATGTTTTGACTGACTCCTGTCAAATCCTGTCATCCACTGGTGCTACAGATGGGACACGGGGTCAATGCTTCCTGGATGCCTGCTGCTACGCCTCCATCTCGCATGGATTGAGTATGACACACGACCCAACGCCACCCATGTAGTTTTACTCCGACTGGAAGACTCATGACCAGTATTATTCCCGGCTCCTAAGAGTAGCTCCGGTAAGGTAAGTGTGTCTCCAGCAGACCTGGCCAAGCCTTCATGATTTGAGCGTTCCCCACGACAGCAACAACAAGTACGTGTTCCAGTTTGGAATAAGGTGGAAGCGGCAGATCAGCGCTGCAGGGCATTGATATGTCCTGTTCAAGGATGGTACATCAGGCAAGGCGGCAAAGTCAAGGGCACAGGGCTGACATTTATAAGCCTCGTGAGGATGACAGGCATTTAGGAGGTTAGCTTTGAACGTCTTATTATCATTGACGTGACGTGGGCGTCTCCATTTTATTCCATAATGAGCGGGTCTGATTCCCGAGTAGAAGACTCGAAGGGGGGTTTGTGCTCTTCGATGCTTAAACGATGCTTAAACGATGCTCGGTGAATGGCATCTAGTTTTCCCGGAGGCGAATACCGTTATCACCGATGTCGATGCTTACCAGGCGAAGGAAGTCCAACCAAACAGACCTTCGCAATCTGATCCTATATCGGGCTGGCGGCCTCCACCTGGGGTGTGCATGCCAGTCAGGAATGCAAGAAACGCTCCACGTTGCTGGCCAACAACTGGTCATGTCAAAGTCGTGCGTGGATGTAGTTCTCCAATGGACTCGATAAGTCTCCAGGGCAGGACAGATCCTCCGGCTTTATCACCGGAGAACGGGGATCCGATGATGACAAACGTAGGCGAAACAATGAATGGCACCTGGGTGGCACCTGAACGGAGCCCAGTGATCTGTTGTTCATCCGTCTTTCCGTGCGGAGGTATGCCTCGAGACTGTCTGACTCTGTTGCTATTACCCGTTGTCATCTTTCTATACTTGCCAGGTCAGGCTAGAAAGGTAGTGGTAATCGATTATAGAGCTCACTGATGCGGGAACTCTCGAGCAGTTGGGGAGATGTATTGGGTGTTTCCGAAGGCGGTGAACTCCCAAGTGATGGCCAACCACGCGGTGACAACTTTCCTGGAGGGTTAGTCAGTAGTGGTTGGGGGAAGAGGACAAATACGAGGTTATAGTCGAGAGTCAAGCGCAGATTCCAGATTCCAGATTCCAAATTCCAACCTCGAGTCGAGCGGTGGACAGCACCTGTAGTCAGCATTCAAAGCCAGAGAGTAGGTCAAGTTCAGGGAAAGGGAAACAAGGCTTTCACTACTCGTTTGAAGGAGGCAGTCCTTTTCCCCCAATGGCGCCCGAGTCATGAAAGAGAGTAGGCTTATTCCCCCGGCGTTCATTTACTCCTCTTGAAGACCCTTCTTATAGCCTAGGAAGCAGCCCGTCTGACATCCGACCCAGCAAGCGGTTTCTCACCTCCCGGCCGTTATGATGCTTCTTGCTTCCCCCACTTTTCATGGATATTGCGACTGTGTTATTGGTCATCAGCATGCATCTCTTGGCCGAGGACAGGCCTCTTAGTATTTTGGCTTATGAAGTGCGCCGGAGAAGGGGTGTGGAAGAGGAGGAGGAGGAGGAGGAGGGGGGGGGCCGAGCGAGAAACCCAGGGGAAAGTCAGGTCGGTAGGACGAGTAGGCCAGGTACGGGGGGGTCACCCGTTTACTGAGGTGGCTCGCTTACATGGTTTCCACATGGAGGTTAGCCAAACTATGGCCAAACCGTTGGTGCCATGCCCAAAACCAATGATGAAAAACTTCGCTACTGACCTAGGCACCTGCCTGGGCACCTACCTAAGGTGGGTAAGCAATCAGTTAAAGCCGGATCAAGCCAGTAGGTAGCCGGGGACCCTAAGCGTCTTTGGAAGTACCTACGCCCGTTTCACAGGCCTGGGGCATTTTGGGTAACGGGTTGGGGGGACCTTGTGGAAGGAATGGTCAATGGCCCAGCTGGGGAGTTGGGAGCGAGCCCAGGCGAACCCAGTGACATTAGGTGCGAGGGGGGACTAACTGTAGGCGGTGCGTGCCCGGCCCAGGTGGTGCTGTAGCTAAAAAGTGCCCAGTGGCAATCCCTTGACTTGGGTCTAGGTACCTGTTAGGCAGTGTCACCAGGTGCCTTCTCTCCCCCCAGCTCGCAAATTCTTGTATCTCGCAGAGTTTTTGGCTCCGGGGACAGCGACTGACAAACTGACGTGATGGCCTATGGCGGTGCAAGGGCCTATCATCAGCACCACCATCGTCGTCATCATCACTTCCTGCTCTCTTGCTCTTCTTCTCTTCTTCTCTCCTTTAACGAGCTACTCAACGAAACGACCACTCACCGGGCCCTACTCGTATGTACGGAGTCGGAGTCGTTCGTTACTCCTCATCCTCCTCCTTGCTACCGACTACTGCTGGTTCCCGCTTGCCGGCTCCTTCTTCTTTATTGCCTAGGTTCTTTTTCCCCTCCCCTTGCCCTTTGGTCATCATCCTTGCCTTTTTGCCATCAACTGACTACGACTGAAAAACCCGATTGTCGGACTGCACATCCCTCTCCCTCTTCTCTTAGCCCACCCTCCCTTCCATCCTTCCTTCCGATTCACTCTTGGCCCGCAGACTGGGGCATCTGGTGGCATTTTTGGCGACCCCAGAATTTCATCCATTTCAATCCTTTCTCTTGACTCTCGGTTTTCTACAAGCAATATATATATCGCCATCTCCAAGCAGTACTTTCACTGTTGGCCCCCACCACACACCCATCCATCAAACGCGATTCTTCTCTTGGATATCTTGTTGTTTTCAGTCGACCGTGCATCTCTTACAAGTGGCGGACCAGCCTTGCCGCGTGCTGTTTCCCGCCGTATGACCTCTTGGCCTAGCATGAGCGTCTCTCAATTATCGCATCGACCATGAAGAAGCCGCGCGGATCGGATCGCCCTGAAGGCCAGGTGTTTCTCTTCGTCAACAAGAACCCCAAGTCTAAATCTCTGTCCAAAAGTGATGGCGCCGTCGCCAAACAGATCAATCGCCACGCTCAACATTTCCGGAGTCGCAAGGTCGAGGCTCAAAAAATCACCTCTGCTCGCTCCAACTGTTCTTCGGCCCGCCGCATCGCTCTGGATGGGTGGCACCGGAAAGAGACCGGCCAAGGGTGAGTTCCTCCTAATTATCCTCCCTCATGGCTTGATTGGGATATTCGAGCATCGGCCTCGACCAAATCACTGTTCTCCCAAGCTGACGAAGAATTTTTAGCTCCAGCAGCGATGAATCCTCTCCGGTGTCGTCGCCCAACGAGGAAGGGGCGGCGGCATCGCCTCCGCAGGATTCCACGCCGATCCGTCAGATCTTTTCACCGTTAATCGACACGCCATCTATTGAACTGCCTCCTATTGCACAGAGAATGCCACGCAAGCCACTATCAGTCCAAGTCCTAGCCGGCGGCACCGATCCGGATGTTGATGATGATGAAGGACATCACTTTCAGGACGAAGGAGCCCTGGAGTTGTCATCACCGGTCTACAGGGCGAACTTCACCTCCTATGACTGTATTGATCCTTTCAGGAGTACTCCCGTCCGGATCACCCCTCGAATTCACGTGGTTTTGCAGTATACCCTGCAGATTTACTCCTACGCTGGCAACAACTACAAACTGGCTTTTTTACCCAAGCATGTACGGTCGACCATCAGCCAATTTCCCATTGGAGCGGTCGTCCAGCGGAGTGTTTACAAGGAGCATCATCTTTATTCGTTGATGGCCGCCATGCTTGCTCGGATGAAGCACGTCTTTGCCCTGTCGCCCACAGCCGACGACCCTCAAGCGGTTCGAGCGACAGCCTCGCATTATCTCCGGAAGGAATTGCTTCGGTGCTCGCGATCAGGAGATGTCGACAAACAGACCATATTGGACATCCTCTTCCTCTGCGTTAACGAGATGCAGTATGGCATGTATGAAGATGTCAGAAAGCACCTCCAAATTGTCGGTAAGCTGTTACACCTGCTGGATCCGAGCCAGCTTCTTGACCGGTGGATATCGGAGACGGCTGCTCACGTGGATAATCAACTTTCTCTGTCCACGGCCAAACGTCCCGTTTTACCGAACACATTCGACCCTGGCCCCATGCTTCCTGAACGGATGGCGATCCTTCGGAGAGAGGCACAGAATCTAAAGTATTACGGCTACCCCAATCCGACTTCGCTGATGGTAACCCGGCCCCCCAATGGTTCCATGGGCATTACCGACGCCATCGCCGATCTCGCGGCTACCCTCGACATTCGAATGGGTTCTCAGTTTGTCCAGGCGTTGAAAATGGGAGCTTTCCCGTGGAACCTCGGCCGCATCATTTCAGACTTGGTTGACTGCATCGAAATAGCCAAAGTGGTGTGGTTGTCTCCGCTGGCAGTATGCTTCGACGCCGAATGGTTGTGCCGCAAAGCCAGAGCAGTGCTTCGTGCGCTTCTCGCCATTGCCCCAGACCGCAACATTGGAGCCATGGACCTGATGTGCAAGTGCACAGAATGCGTCAGAGTGTGTCTGTTGATTCTCATGACCCACGCATGTACCTTGATCGGCTTCCAGACTGCCAGGTCCAACGTGCAGCGGCTACAAGCAGCAATGGAGTATGCCCTTACATTTTGGTGTCCTGCTGTGGGTTGGACAGTTGATTGCATCCCGCTGGATCCTACTGCTCAGCTCGATCCTTTTGTTGATATGCAGGCCCGATTCGTCCTATGGGGTTTGCTCACTGGTTGCTGGTCGGCCGAAGACCAACCCGAGGAGGAATTCTTCACGCGCCGAGCGCTCAATATTTGCCGCCATTACGGCTTCTCCACTTACGAGGACCTACACAACCATATGGCAGGATTTCTCTACTCCAAGACTCTGCAAGAACGCAGTCTCAAGAGAATAAGTGCTCGGCTGCAGAAGCTTCCCCTGGAGCCTTCCTGATTGATTGCTTCCTGAATGAGAGAAGTGCTAGGCAGCTCACCTGAGTATTACTTGATCGCGACCTCCTCCATTGCCCGGTCTGCTCATGCGAACGCGAACCCGCGAGCTCTATGTGGAAGTGGCTCTCAAGCTTCTCGCTGCTGGCTGGCCCTCGGTGCTGCTCGGTTCCGGTGTCTGTCGGCAATCGAACAGAGAACGCCATCTGCGCCGTACAGGCTCAAAGTGTTCGGCGTTCCAGCAGCTTTGTGTCGAGCTTGGTTGCCATTGATAGGTGCATCTCAGAAGACGATCGCCCTGCCTCGACACGAGAGTTCGTGTCGTGTCCAAATCGTTGAGCGGCCTTTGCCCTCGCCGACACAAGACTCAATTCGTTGCCCTACGAGCTCCAAAGTTGCACTTGCATCGGCAGCTTGGTAACTCGCGATACCCCGTCGACTCTGGTATAGCGGGTTTATAACGTCACTGCCCCGAGATCAGGGACCATGGAAAAGTCCAAAGGACCAGCACGTTTGTACATACAGGGAGGACGAACAGACTGTACAAGCACGAGAGTTTTGAACGGCAAATTTGAAGGATCGTATCGAGCGAAGGTCAACCGAGCGCATACGCTGCCATTCTGCCAACCCGCTGTCGCCCTCTTTCTCGACACGCTAGCCGAAACTACGATGGGTGCCTGCAGATGAAGTTCGCAGATACGGGAGGCTGGGAACGTCAAAATACTGCAATATTTACCATATGGCAGCTTGGGTTTGATACGATCGTCGATGTACCTACCTTGCCTACAGTCACAGACAACCATATCTGGTAATTGCATTACTGAGATGAGTGGGGTCTCGTCGTGCCGAACTTGCTGTTTTGCAACATCCTTCCTTTTGATACCGGCATTTGCCATGATTTGCTATGCCTCGCAGCATCGATCAGGTTTTGTGGCATAACGCGTGCTTACACAAACCAAGTATCTCGGTTCTTGTGTATATATTTACATAGTAGCATCCTTTCCGCAGGGTGGGGTGCATTAGGTGTCAGACTCGTTGATACCCCTGTCCAGGTTAATTGGTTGCAATCCTGACAATATTTCCGAAGCAGCTCTATCATCGCCATCCCTGGCTTACTTATCATTTCACACATCTGCTTCCACTACCGACCGGTTAATCTTGCCTCGGTTGGAACGGTCGGACTTACTAGAATATCTAGCCTTGACCCAACCCCGGCAGTCTAGGAAGTCTCGACATGACATGACCGTGACTGGGCTCATTCACCATTATCTCGTTTGGTCCTAGCAAATGCAACACAGACGAAACACATTATTAGGATAACGTGGAGTATATCAAGCTTCAGACGCCCAATCAACAAAGGACGACATTGATCATGGGAGGTATTTTAACAACACGGCATCCGAATAGCACAAATTCAGAAGCATCGCCCCAGCCGACTTCTGGCTATGATGTCGATAAGAGTAATAGCCAGTGTCGGCAAGGTCAAAAGCGCCACTCAACAGCTTTAGTTGGTCACTAATTCTTTGCAAAGGCCCGGACGGACACCGAAACCTTTCTCCCTCGATGAATTGAGCTTGACGCATCCGACTCTCCACAGGCACATTTTCCAGGCCGTCCGTCCTGTCCAATCTTGGAATTCAACATGCAGACAAGAAACTTTCACAACGTTTTCAGGGCGCTGAGATGTCTGCCTGAGGACTTGATATGTGAGGAGGCATTTGACAAGAATCATGTATGGTATTTCGCCTACCCATGAGACGGGTCACCCGGCTACGCACATGTCATCCATGCCAAATATCCAGGTTCATCGACGAAGGGCATCTCGGACATTCCCCATTAAGTCCAGGCACGCACTGGAAGCAAGACCACAAAGCTTGTTCAGAGACCAATCTGTGCCTCGCTTCCTCTTTAACGAGATCTTGGTTGAAACGTGAAGCCAGCCTGGCCAGCACTGTACTGTCCGAGCAACAACCACAGAGCGAGCCGTGTGGTATAATATCTGCTGAGGCACATTGCTACGTGCTGGAGCAGGAAAGACAAAAGGGAGGGGCTGTCTATGGAAGAAGCCGAAATGCGGTGGTATGGAAACAGTGTCTTGGGAAGGCGGTTCGGTTTATCGCGGCTGGAGACACCGCAGTGAAGATCCGCAAAAGAGCTCAGCAGGTGCTCGTTCCTCGACGACCTGCGGGGGTTTCGAAGTTCGAGGGTACATGCACACAACAAGCGGCACATCCCCCTGATTCCTGCGAGACAGGGCGGGCACAGCAGCTGGTTGGTCATATACCATATGGAAACACCCATTTTGTGCCGCTACGATAGAACGTCTGGACGACTTCAGCCCCTGGAGGTACCTGCCTACGGCTCTTTACCTCAGCCCGATCCGACAAACCCTCTGCTCCCGACAGGGACGTATCATCTTCCTAATGGGGCTCGGGGTGCAGGTACGGGTGAGTATATGTCGGACAAGACTGAGAAGCTGGCCGTCCGCCTCACTTTCCCTCGTCACAGCATTGCCATCTCTTGGGGAAGAGAGGAGAGGAGAAAAGAGGGACGAAAAGTGGCCAACGAAACAAGCCCGGTCTATCGGCAGAGTATAGTATACAGGCCTACCGGGAGATCGGCTGGATGAGGGGAGATGTTTGATATCAGTCGAGCCAGTATACAACCCTGCTGGGAGGTCGACTGGATGAGTGGAGCTATTCACGAACTATACAACGAGTACTCCGTACTGACAAGTCAACCCTTCATCCCGCGAGCTGCTCCGCCGAGCCTTGATGCTGGCGGTACGGAGTATCTACACAGCCAAGGCAAAACAGCACGGTCTTTTCTTTCTATCTATCCCCAGCCTTGATCGGTGGCAAATCCAAGCTTTGTGCTCCTTCAAGCCTCCTCCTTCAGGATCTTCCACACCAGCTCGACATACTCCTTAGATCGATCATTTCCCATGATCCCCTCGCCCATCTTATTCATGACGTATGTGAATGTGACGCCGCGGTGGAGGTCCATGATCTCCAAGCTACCGCCCCATCCGCCCCAGAAACACATTTTCTCCGTGGGCATCCAGGTGACGGTCTCTGCCGTGGCGCCGCCACCGAGACCGTAGCCGATGCCGAAGCGTATGGGCAAGCCGATGACCAGGTCTTTGCCGCTGGACTGTTCGCGGAAGATCAGCTCGATGGTTTCTGGGGAGAGCAGCTTGACGCCATCGACGGAGCCGCCGTTGGGGATGGCGGAGAGGATGCGGTTCAGACCCCGCGCGTTGGTGTGTCCGTTGATGGCAGACATGTCGGCACGGCGAAAGTAGGGTTGCAACGCGATGGTCGCGTCCATGGGCGGGTTGCCGAACGTCTTGACTGTGGGACTGTTGGGGTCCATCTTGGAGAAGTCAAACGGCATGGGTGGTGGTGGGATGATGGGCGAGACGCGGGGCCAGTCCTTCTCGAGCGCCCCGATCTGTAGGTCAGCGCCCAGGGGTCCCGCGATCTCGTCGCGGACAAACTCCCTCATGCCCTTCCCCGTCGCACGCCGGATGACTTCACCCAAAAGGTGGCCCATGGTCGCCGAGTGGTAGCCGCTGGCGGTGCCGGGCTCCCACCAGGGCGCCTGCTCGGCCAGCAGCGCCGTGGCGCGAGGCACATCGCTGATTTCCTCGGCCGTCATCTTCTTCTCCCACCCCGACACACCCGAGGTATGCGACATGAAGTGGCGCACCAGGACCTTTTCTTTGCCGTTGGCCCCGAACTCGGGCCAGTATTTGACCACGGGGTCGTCGACACTCAACAAGCCGCGCTCGTGGGCCAGCAGGCACGCGAAGCTCGCGATCGTCTTGGTCGAACTCCACACGTTGGTGATGGTGTCCGACTCCCAAGGTTTTGTTTTGGCTTCGTCGAACCATCCCCCCCACATGTCGACCACCACTTTACCGCCGATGTTGAGCACCATCGAGGCCCCCAGCTCGGCGCCGCTGGCGATCTTCTCCTCGAGCAGGGCCTTGAGCTTTTCGAAGCGCGGGTCGCACTGGCCTTGGACTTGGGCCATGATGTGATGTGGTGTGGTGTGTGTGTCTGTGCCTCTTTGGGCCGCTGGTTGGTTGATTAGATGAGAAATGGTACTGAAGAGAGAGAGTGAGAGAGAGCGAGGAGGGGCTGTATGACCGTGCCTAACGCCAAGATAAAGTATACTAGATGAATGTTACAGGCAGGCCCGTCTCTGTTCTTGCTCTTGAGCTATTGCTTTTGGTGCTCTTGTGTTTCTAGAACGACCAAGTCCGGCAATTCCCTGTTCCCTTTTTCCCATTCCGCGCCTGTTGATTATCAATAGCTAGGGTATATATATAGTGCCCTCCTCTTTTCCAAAGGTTCTTTTCTCAGGCCCACCAGGCTCCAGCCATTTCAGAGACAAAGCAAAACGGCTATCCTTGTAGCGCAACCGAGGCAAGTGCAAACACTTCCCTCGCTGTATTGGCTCGCAAGATAGAGCCCGGACGTTTGGGGGCGCGGGGAAAAAGGGCTGCCTCTCCCTTTGTTGCCCAGGACCAAGGCAAGGCAACCGGCTTACTGTGTCTGAGCCAATAGGCTTGAAACCAGATAGCCGTGTTCGCCGGCTTTTTCTTTGGGGCCGGCGCAGTGGGTTTATGCATTATTTGGTGGATTGGTCAGTAATTACCTGTGGTATTATGTGGGCGGTCCTGCACAACCAGCATCGGCGCTGGGGAATGGACAGAGAGTCGGAGTCTCCCAGGGGCATTCAAAACATGCATTGTAAAGCCAATTAATTTTTTTTATAATGCATGTACGGTATCATTTACTCGTAAGCCCCGTTTGCATAATTAATCAGATAATCCTTCCTTCGCGCAGGATCTTGGCTTGGGGTGTTGCACGTGGGCCCCCCCGCACTCCTTCGTGGATTGCTACGCTACTGCTGATATTGAGACTAAACTGGACTTCCCTTCGAGTAAGCCCTTCGTATGGATTTCTATATGTAGGTAAGGTAGGTAGGTAGGTAGGTAGGTACAAAGGACGTGGGCAATTAGGAGCTGATCATCAAGGCATCCTATTCAGTGTACCGGTAACAGTGTAACAGTGTTGTGCCTCTGGCCAGGGGATGTGTTTTCTTCGGCCCAAACCTCGGACGGCGATTGCTTGCTTGCTTGCTTGGGCGCAAGTTCGGGTTGACATTATTATTAACGAGTATTACGAGGGACTTTGGTGGACTTTCGGAATTAAAACCAGCAGTGTGTTAGTATCGAGTTTTGCATATGTAACGCTTCGCTGGTTCCACCGGGTTTTTCGGTGATAAAAAGTTAACGAGGAAAATACCTAAGGAAAGAGAAGGGACCTGTGTGGTTTGACTCCCGTTCACATTTGCCGAGCGGTTCACTTACTTGCCACTGTTACCTACCTGGTGTATGCCGAGACTTGGATGTCTGTATAGGGGGATAGAGGATCAATTCGAGGACGGAGGGGAGAGGAAAGAGGAGAATCGGAGACGGAGAAGAGGAAAGGAAAAAAGACGAGTGGAGGATGGATGAAGGGGGATTACTCGGTATATCGTGGGGAGAGCACAGAAGACAGAAGACAGAAGACAGAAGACAGAAGAC